AAATTGTTAACCTTGACACAAGCAGAATTGACAAAAATCTGAGAATACTCAAGGGCAAGTCTCATTCTACCTTGTTTTATGTATGTTTAGAGAAACTCCAGAAGAAACTTTCTAGTATCCAAAGGCAATTCAAATCCTTTTTGACTTCTTTCAAAGGGGAATGAGAAAAATGACCTTTTTTGAAAATGTAGACCTCAGAAAATGTTAAGAAACTTAATAATCTCACACTTTTTACCAAAGAATGCAAAATCAGTATTCTCAAGTTAATTTAATAGCTAGCAAAGCATGTTTGTGGTAGTCAAACATTTATTTATAGTAAGTTATTTTACTAACACTCAAGGCAGTTGCTACTTTGATTAAAACTCTCTTGTCTCAACTTTTTTTCAGTCTTCTAACATTAGGAAATTAAAGTCTACTTTAATTGACTTCAGAAAGAAAGTATGGCCATTTCATTGCTAACTGCATATTTTAGAATAAAGAGGGGTCAAGAGTAATAACAGTGTGGTGATTATGCCAATCTACAACTACAGTTTATAAGAAACAAAATAAGGTCATCAGATGGCCAGATACTCCAAACTGGGGATTCTTTTTTGGATAAAATGTCAATGGAAATACTAGGTTGTGTCTGATTTATTGAAAAAATCAGTAAGATAGGCCACTAGCTAGACTATTAGAGAAGAGAGAAGATCCAAATAAATACAAAGAAACGTGATATTAAAAATATCTGATATAAAGTAATTTGGGTATTTGAATATTAACTTGTTATACAGCATTTGACACCTGATAAATACAACTATTTCAAGTCTCCATGACACTTCCTTCACTCTACAAGTGTGTGATGCATGGTCATCTAAAAACAGCAGCTGGAGATACAGTCAGGTCTCCCAGGCAATGCTCAAGAGACACTTCTCAATGACAGAAATTGAAATTTACAGAGACAGTCCAATGGATTAAGCCTCTTAAGAGTAAAGCACAAATGGAGAACTACCGTCTCCTACACACATCTCTCTGTAATATGTGCAGTCACGTTCCATTTCAACTTATTATTTGTACACATGGGGCAATAATCATCATTTGAAACAAAAGGAGGTTTCATTTTCAGCTAATGGGATAAAACACATCATAAGACACAGAATTTTATAGTGTCCTGAAGGTCATCATCTTAACGGTGGCTCTCAAACCTGAGTGCACATCAGAATCCCCTGGATGGCTTGTGAAACCAGCCATCTTCTGCACAGCTATTAGATCCTACACCCTCTTGCTTACAAAAGACATCACTCTACAAATTGTCCCCTTTTACTGTCATATCTTCCCCCTCTGCATATAAACATGCTTTTATTTCTCCTATTGTTTTAAAACCACTTAGAACTCTGGTTTCTGTTCCACCACCTCCCCGTTTTCTCGTGCCCTACTTGCAAACCTCAATAAAATGTCTACACTTGCCTTCTCATCCTTCCTGCCTAAAGCACATTCTTCACTTGGCTTCTAGAGCATCATGCGTCTGTGGTTCTGCTACTACCAGCTTACCGGCTTTTAAGGGTTGAATTGTTTCCGAGGATTTGTTGAAGTCCTAACCTAGGGCGCTTGAGAATACGACCTTAGTTGGAAACCGGGTCTTTGCAGATTTAACCAACCTAAGAAGAAGTCATTAGGGTAAGCCTTAATCCAATATGACTGGTGTTCAGATTTAAAAAAGAAAAATGTGGAGACAGATATGCACAGAGGGAAGATGATGTGAAGGCATACAGGGGGAAGACAGCTACATGAGTGGAGTGAGGACTCTACAAGCCACGGAATGACAAGGGTTGCCAGCAAACTCCAGAAGTCAGAGAGCTAAGGAAGGATCTCCCCTAGAGCCACCAAAGAGAGCATGGCCTCGCCAGCACCTTGATTTCAGACATCTGGCCTCCAGTACTGCCATGAACACATTTCTGTTGTTTTGGGCCACCTGGTTTTAGTAGTTTGTTATAGCACCCCTAGGAAGCTAACACCCTGGCTAATCTCCTTTGCATCAATGGACCATTTCTTATAGGGCTCAGTGACAGCACCTCTACGCTTTTCTGCATCACACCCACACTAAGTTGATGTCAACCACTCTAAGGTTTAAAGCCATGACTCTGGTCCAGGCTTCTTCCCTGGTTTCCAGACTTCATGCATCCACCTGGCTTCATGATGTTTCCTCTTTGGTGGTGTCCAACAGACATCAAAAATCTAACAACTCCCAAACCAAACTCCTGATTCTCCCACAGAAAACCTGTGTGCCCCAGTCTCTCCAACTGCAGTGAATTAATACTCACTGACCTACTGTTCAGACAAAAAGGAAAAAAAAAATAAAAAGAGTGACATTTGACTTCCTTCATTTTCTATATCTCACACCCCAAAGAAAAATCGGGCTCCTCCTTCAACCTGTGTTCACAAGATGACCTCTTCCAATGTCTCCTGCTATCCCTACCAAGGAGCAAATCCTACCATTTCTTGCCTGGATGACCACAATAGAACCCAATGGGTCTTCCTGCTTCCACCTTTGTCTCCTGCATCCTGGTTTCCACATGGTATCCTAACACAGCTTTTAAAATACAAATCAGGTATACCATTGCTCTTTTCCTTTCACACAGAGGAAAAGCTAAAATTCTTCAAATTTCCCAAAAGACACCACATGATCCCTGCGTCCTCCAAACCCCCTGACTTCATCTCCTTTTCCTGCACCCCTGCTCCCTTTCCCTGTAGTCTCCCCATTCACTGCCTTTTTACTTTTCTCTAATGCACCTGCGTGCTGTTACTCCTACATTGATACCTTCTCTTCCCTCAAACGTGTCCACAGCTTGCTCCAGTTCCATCAGGTCTCCTCTACTCAGATGTCACCTCATGAGAGAGGCCATCACTGACCATCCTGTACAAACTAGTAACTCCTCCAGCCTGGCATTCTCTCAGCTGCCTTATGGTTTCATAGCCTCCATCACCATGTGACCTATTAGCTATTTTCCTGTTTTAGATTTTCAGTATGTGTTTATTTATTTAGAGATAGGGTCTCACTCTGTCACTCAGGCTGGGAGTGCAGTGGCAAGATGACAGCTCACTGCTGTAAAGCAGAAAATTATTTGGATAATGAGAGTGTATCTTTTTCTTTGGGGCAAGGAAGCAAATCATGAAAACAAGACTGGAATATAGAAATATGATACTAATATATATGGTAAATTCTTGAGAAAAGAGCCTGATAAAACAAAATTTTAAAACACACAAACAATAAGGAATACAAGATTTAGAACAAAGTTTATGAAAAAAGTGTAAAAAAATATATTCATGTTCAGAATATATAAAGAACTCTTACAAATTATTAACAAAAAGGCATCAACTAAAACATGGTCAAAGGAGGATAATGACCAGGTTTTTCATCCAAGAACATAGACAATGTCCAGTAACCACATGACAAGATGCTCAACATCAAAGGGAAAGGCAAATCAAAACCACAGTGAGGTACCACTTCACACCACTAGAATGCCTATAATAAAAAAGATGAAAAATAAATACTGGAAAAGATGTGGAGAAACTGGAACCCTCATACACTGCTGGCGGAAATGTAAAATTGTACAGCTGTGTTGAATAACAGCCTGACAGTTCCTTAAGATTAAACACAGTTACCATTTGACCTCGATTCCCACTCGAGTATTCACCCAAGAGGAACATATGTCCACATATGTGTCCACAGTACATTATTCATAATAGTTAAAACCTGGAAACAATCCAAATGTCCATCAACTGTTAAATAAAATGTGGTATTTCTCTGCAACAGAAAATTGCAAATAAGAGGAAATAAACTACCGATACATGCTGTACAATATACATGAGCCTTGAAAACATTATGCTGCCGGGCGCGGTGGCTCACGCCTGTAATCCCAGCACTTTGGGAGGCCGAGGCGGGCGGACCACAAGGTCAGGAGATCGAGACCACGGTGAAACCCCGTCTCTACTAAAAATACAAAAAATTAGCCGGGCGCGGTTGTGGGTGCCTGTAGTCCCAGCTACTCGGGAGGCTGAGGCAGGAGAATGGCGTGAACCTGGGAGGCGGAGCTTGCAGTAAGCCGAATTCGCGCCACTGCACTCCAGCCTGGGCGACAGAGCGAGACTCCGTCTCAAAAAAAAAAAAAAAAAAAAAAAAAAGAAAACATTATGCTAAGTGAAATAACCCAGACACAAAAAGCCAATGTTTTATGATTTCAGTTATATAATATACCTGGCATAGGTAAATTCATAGAGACAGAAAGTAGAATAGAGGTTACTAGGGATGAAGAGAGGGATTATGGGAAGATGTTTAATGGGTACAGAATTTCTTTTAGGGATGATGAAAAACTTGTAGAAATGGATAGTGATTGTTGTATGACATTGTGAATGTACTTAATGCCACTGAACTATGGAGTCAAAAATTGTTAAAACTCTAAATTTTATGTTATGTATATTTCACCAGAACTTTCAAAAAGAATTGACATAGAGCATTTTAAACAGAATACAAGATTTAAGCTAAAAAATTCAAGAAAAAACATTTAAAAATTATTTTAAATTAAATATCAACTTAACTTTCTCCCCCAAATCAATTAATCCTTTAATTATATTAACAACATAAAAAACCATATGATTATGTATTAGATGCAGAAAAAGCATTTGAGAAAACTAAACATTTTTCATTAAAAAAAAAAAAATCTCAGCAAACTGGGGATACAAGAGAATTTCTTTGACATGTCAAAGGGCATCTTTAAAATACCTAATGCTAACATCCTATGTAATGATGAAAGACTGAATGCTTTCCCCTAAGATCGAGAATAAGACAGGCATGTCAGCTCCTACCACTTCTATTCAACACTGTACTGCAGATTTGAGCCACTGTAACCACTTTTTAAAAGGGAGTTGGGAGAAGGAAGAAAGGAAGGAAGGAAGGAAGAAAGGAAGGAAGGAAGGGAGGAAGAAAGAAATGGAGGAAAATAAAAAGCATCTAGACTGAAAAGAAATACGTAAAACGGTCTTTATTTGCAGACATAATCATCTATGTGGAAAACCAAGTGAAATCAATTATAACGTTACTGACACCAGTGAGTTTTGCCACATTGCAGGATACATGATCAATATACAAAAATCAATTATAATTCTATATGTTAGAAATAAACTGCTAGGAATTGAAATTTTAAAAATAATACTATTTATAATAGCATTAAAATAAAATTCTTGGGAATATATCTGACACACTATGCAAAATATCTGTACAATGATAACTAAAAAGTATTGTTGAGAAAAATCAAAGAAGATCTAAGAAAATACCTTATTCACGGGTTGAGAGACTCAACATTGTTAAGATGTTCATACTTTCTCATGACGTAATGTAATCACAGCCCAAATCCAAGCAGGTATTTTGTAGAAATTGACAATTGGTTTTAAGACTCGCATGGCATGTAGATGACACAGAAATGCACAATAACTCTGAAAAAAAAAAAGAATAAATTTAGAGGAAAATACAACCCAGTTTGAAGAATTATTACAAAGCTACAAAAATTGTAACAGTGTGATTTTGGCATAAAGATAAAGAGATCAATAGAACAGAACAGAGTCCAGAAACCAGGTATACATAAAATGCGCGCGCGCGCGCGTGCGCGCGCACACACACACACACACACACACACACGCACACACTCTCACACTCTCTCTCTCTCTCTAATATGACTGGTCAAGTGACTGCTTATGAACTGTAATTGCTTGATACATGAGTCTCGCATCTCTTGGCCTTAAATCGCTACCATAACTTTGAGAAGCTGATGATACCTTTGTTTTCTGAGAACAGTTGCAGTGTGCAAGCTGACAGTTCCACAGAGATGGAACAAGTGTAGAGCCAGGGAAAAAAAGGGATACACACAGACTTCTTAAGATTTTTTTAAAAGCTATGGAAGATGATAAACTAATGAGGCCTAAGTATACTTTTCATTTTGAATGTTTATGTTGTCACATCTTTCAGTAATGTGTATAAGTATTTAATGTGGTATTTGTTAACCAAGCAACCCATTCACTATTTACATTTACTTCAGAAATCCATGATTTAAATTTAATTCATAATTTTTGGCAACATACCTTTGTCTACTTCTGTAGTTATGTTTTCTTGCACACCTGCTGCATCTGAAAAAGTCAAATATTATTAATAATGTTTAAGTTAAACAGGAGACATTATCATGTAGCCCTTTTGTAAGTCAAGGAGCATCTCTAATCTGGGTTGATCATTCCTAACTTGAAAATCTGAAATCCAAAATGCTCTACAATCTGAAACTTTTCGAGCACATGCATGATACCACAACTGGAAAGGTCCACACCTGACCTCATGTGACAGGCTGTGATGGAAACACAAGTTAAAACTTTGTTACATGCAAAACATTTTTGTAAAACATTGTACAGGCCAGATGTGATGGCTCACGCCTGTAATCCCAGCACTTTGGGAAGCTGAGGCGAGTGGATCACCTGAGGTCAGGAGTTCGAGACGAGCCTGGCCAACATGGTGAAACTGTCTCCACTAAAAATACAGAAATTAGCCTGCTGTGGCTGCACGCACCTGTAGTCCCAGTTACTTGGGAGGCTGGGGCAGGAGGATTGCTTCAACCTGGGAGGTGGTGGTTGCAGTGAGTTGAGATCGTACCATTTCACTCCAGTCTGGGCGACAGATCAAGAATCTGTGCCCCACTGCACCCCCACCCCGGGCAACAAAAAAAAAAAAAGAAAGAAAATATCTTCAGGCTATGTGCATAAGGTGTATATGAAACATAAATGTATTTTGCATTTACACTTCGGTACCATCCCTAAGGTATTTCATTAGGTGTATACAAATATTCCAAAATCTGAAAAAATCCACTTTTGGTCCTCCCAAACATTTTGGACAAGGGATATTCAATCTGTCCTATGAGAAAAATAAAATTCCTTTTCAGTGTGACAGAAAATAAGAGATTGACTTATCGAACTTGAACTTACCAAAACTTTCTGAAGCTGCTCAATTTTGTTCGCTCGCTTTTTCATTCTAATTTTTAACATGGCATTTTCTATTTTAAGCCTAAAATATATATTTTAAAATAATTATTGTCAGACATAATTTTTTAAAAAATCATATAAATTGTGAACAAACATCTGAAGGAATAATTACATAAATTCTGAGATATTTGAAAAGTAGAAAATTGAGCAACTGTTATTTTTCTACCTTTGTTTTGTGGATGATGTGTAAAATTAAAAATAATGTAGAAAATTTATGCATTTCAAAATAGCTTAAAGCTGAAATTTTTCCTTGGCTTCACACAGACATACTTATTATCTTAACTGATATAATTCTCATACTACACTACTCATTTGCTTTATAAATACTCAAGAAATTTTGTATGCTGCTTTAAATTGTACTTTTGCACGTGGTCTGGCATCTCCTCAGCACATCTTAGAGTCCCTGTGCGTTGATCCTGCATTTCTTGCAACTAAAACAAAGAATTAAAAACAACCTTTAGGTGTGGAAATAACCCAAATGCCCATCAATAGGTGAATGAATGAACAAAATATGGTTATATATAAAATACTGTTTTAGACTATCACAATCTATTTTATTAAAAAATGATAATCTAGGACAAATCGACCTATTACCTGTTTTAACTAAATTTTACTGGAACGCAGCCACACCCCTTCAGTCTGCATATTGTTTATGGCTACTTTTGTGCTGTAACTGTAGTGTTGAGCTGTTGCAACAAGGATCTTATGGCTCACAAAGTCTCAAATAATACTACCTGGCCCTTTACAGAAAAGTTTACTGACCTATGCTCTACGATTAAAACACAGTATTTTTCTTTTTTAATTTATATTTTATCAAATACATTTACAAAATTGGTAAAATAGGGAAATATAGGAAATTACTTTATAGTAAGCATTTATATTTTTCAATTCCAAACACCACTATATCAACTATAATTTCATTTCTTTTTTGTCTATATCCATTTACTTTTGTTATATCAAGAAAACTTGCACTTTTTTTTGGGGACGGAGTCTCACTCAGGCACCATCTTGGCTCACTGCAATCTCCACCCACCAGGTTCAAGCGATTCTCCTGCCTCAGCCTCCCGAGTAGCTGGGACTACAGGCTTGCGCCACCACCATGCCCGGCTAATTTTTGTATTTTTTTTTAAGTAGAGACAGGATTTTCGCCATGTTGGCCAGGATGGTCTCAAACTCCTGACCTCAGGTGATCCACCCGCCTCAGCCTCCCAAAGTGCTTGGATTAGAGGTGTGACCCATGGCATCTGGCCCATTTTTAACATTTAAAACTAAGCATCATCTTTCCTTTCCAGGGAAACCACAAGAAAATTTTAAAATAAACAGAAAAATAATTAAAATAGACAAGATAAATTTCAGGTAAGATCCTACAGGTTCCGTTGATTCTCCTATTGAGTGGCAGGGCTCACGTCATCATTAGGAGACAATTTATTTAAAAGTGTCATCTTAAACTGCAGAGAGTCCATTGAACATGCCAAAGGAGAAGCCATGTTGTCGAAATGCCCATTTGACCCGCCCAAACATCTCAAACCTACCCTTTGCTGACCTCCTATAACCCCATTTGTAAATTTTTGTGTTTTTATTTTTTTAAACAAGAGAAAGTAGACACATACATGTTGGCAAATATTAACTGTCCATAGTTCTATGACTATGACTATAGCCCAATATAAAGTCAGAGTAAGGATTTTCATCAAAATACTAATTTATTCTGTAGAATGGCTTTTCCATACAAGTTAACCAGAAACCATGAAATAAGTAAGCACAAGTCTTTATTCACACAGAAAAGTAGAGATTAAAAAAAGAAAATTTTCTGAAACATTCCATTAGACATTATCCTCTGAATTAATCTGGCTTGTCTCCACGTGGCAATGAAAAAAATCACTAAAAATATACTGTAAAAAGAAAAAATAATTCTCTAATCTTCTGTGAGAAATGATGTGTAATTCTCAACTTTCATAAGGGGAAATACTAAGAAAAATATTTGTAATTATAAAACATGGCAGAGATTGAGAAATGGGTATATTATAATCAAATTTTAACAAAATTAATTATAATGAAAATACAAAAGAAAGCTCTCCACTGAAACTAGTGTCCTGAAACACTTGATATTATTTAACCAGCTACAGAGTAACTGTTGACATGCTAAGTTTCATACATACTTGACTTCTCAGCTGGTCTAATTTCTTTTTTGAATCTCGTGTCTCATCTTCTAAATTATGGTGACATTGTGATGAAATCTCTAGCATAGCTTCTGACAGTGACTGTTTGTTCAGGGTATCCCCCACTTCTCGCTGAAGCTGTCTCATGACTACCTGGTAAGATGTTATTTTTGTTATTGATTTTACATATCACCTTATTATTAAATTTTGTTAATAGTATTTAACTCTAACGTATACATTTTGAGAAATATCACCACACACATTGATTCTTCTTCATGTGTACACATTCTTATTTACTTCTGAATCCAGTTAAGGATAAAGAAGGTGTTATCTTTGTGCCAAACTGGTGCTGTGTTACTCATACAACAGATTCAGTCCACTGATGAATGTGCAATGCTTAAAAACCTTCTGAGGTCTCAAAAAGAAACAGGCATGTGGGTGGGACTGGTGGTAGTGAATTTTACACTGTGCAATGTTTTCTCTCTTTTTTATAAGAAGCAGCTCAAACCAACCTCAGAGTTCCTCACATATTCAGCCACCAGCTAAAATCATTCCAACAGATTTCCATCTCAGAAGAAAAGTAACATGCCAATGGCCTCAGAGGCTCTAGGTAACCTGGCTTCCACTTCCCTCCCTGACCTCAGCTGCTGTGCCTCTCTTCCCTACTCCCACCATTCCTACCAGCCCTCATTAGTCTAACAATGAGGATCCAATGTGAAACCAAAAAATCACAGACAGCTAAGCTTATCTTTGTACTGGACAACATTATATCCAAATGAGAGTCATTGAGCCTTGAAATAAAAATTATGACCATATTATGACTGAAAAATTGAAAGTAAGTTATAAATGCCAGTGGGAAGATTAAATCAAGTATGGTTTGGCTAACATTTACCACATTTTCCCCACATTATAATGTAAGAAAGATGTCTTTAAAGAACGGAATGGTTGTATCAATACATAATTTGAGACTGAATTATTTTCAGATTTAAGTCAAATTGACATGAATAAAAATAAAATTATATCAAGTAAGATACATTAGAAGCTATTGAGGAAGAATAATTATAAAATAGGAAATACACTTTAGTTCATCTGGGAAATGTGGAATTAACTGTGAAAGTAATCCAATTAATTGAATCAATTTCAAAATAACACTTTAGGTATGCATATTTCTTTATATCTGCTTTATCATAATCCTGAAATGTGGCAACATACAGACATTAAAATTATTTCAGCAGTCTAAGACTACATTATAAATGTTAGTCTATATTAATATTTTGTAACTGAAATGCTTAAATTTTCCTAAGTGTCACATTGTCTTTACTCAAAGGAAAGCATCTCCTAGCTCTAACTTTTATTTGCTGGAAACAAGTTATGTTTCTAAGGTGATAGAGCAGAACTGTTGATCATGTATGTATTTTGATATTCAACTTGATTCAGTGTTTAGCCATAACCAAATATACTTTAAATTTTACTTCAGAAAGTTTGAAAAATACTTATTTTTCTTGATACTTACTTCTCCTTCTTCTTTCTCTTTTTCATATTGGCATTGTCTTTCTTTTAAAAGAGTACATTCCTTCATCAACTCCTTATTGTTCTCTTCTAGCTTTCTACACTCAGCTTGAAGTTTTTCTACAGTATCTTCACATTTGGCTTGGATATTAATTATTGTTTTTTCCTGATTGTCAGCTTTCTTGTCAGCATCATTACACTGCTGTTGATACAACAGATTTCGGCTTTGTAGTTGAAATAGTCCATCCTCTATAGATTGCTGCTTTCTCACGTATTTTTCAAAAATAGGTTGGTCATTTTGGTACATGTGCTCAATGTCCTTCAGTTGACACTGTGTTCGGCTTAGGACTCCTTGCATGTGTTCTATAGCCAATGTCTTTTCTTTGACAGCCTCTCTTTCATAATGGAGCTCAGTTTCCAGGCCACTGGATGTACTCTCAATTTTAGAAAGTTGCTGAGAAAGAATTTCAATGTGAGAATTAATATTTTCTTGTAAATGACACCATTCATTTACTGTGCTCTGGAAAGCAAGCTGTCGGTCTCTTTTTGCTGACAGACATTGATCGTGATCATGTAGGGCAGCAGTCAGTCTACAAGGGTATGATTCCATTTCTGTTTTCAGTCTTTGTGTGCTTTGTTTTTCCTTCTCTAGCTCCAAATTGAGCACTGTATTCTCATCCATCAGAGCACTAAGCTCTTTACTGTAACGGGTTATTGTTTTTGTTAATGTTTCCTCATTCAGCTTTAGAGTCTTTTCAAGGTCTTCATTGTTTTCCTTTATAATTTCAATATCCTTGAAATATTTCTTTTCTGTTTCCTGGTTCTGATATTTAATTGTGTCTATTTCCAGCCTGAGTCTGGCAATTTCATCCCGCATCAAGTGATTTTCCTGCCACAGGTCTCTTTCTTTTTCATGAGTATGAGAACTCTAAATAAAACAAAGAAAACTTTCAACTAGCACCCAATAAAATGACATATTATGATTTCTTCTGAAACCAAGTAAGTAATAACCTGTTACATTTATACAATGAAAGAGTTGCCATCTGGATATCCAACTGGAAAAAAAAAGTTGAATCAAAACCTCAAACCTTTTAGAGCATAAATTCTCAAAAGTTCAAAAATGTATTTGAAGACAATGGATCTATAAAAGAAAAAAAAAAAAGAAACCACTAGAAATTACTTAAGAATCTCGTAATTTTTTTTTAAAAAGGCTTTTACTGAATTTCAACAAACCCAAAAACATAAATGATTAAAAACTATGATTACATTTAGAAACTGGGTTTACACACTAACATCTAACCTTTACTTTCCCTATAGTAAGAGCCTTAGCTCTGCAGATATCTGGACAGATGAAATTTTCCAAATTCCTTAAGTTTATTTTTTTCTGTGAATATTTTATAGATAATTCTACTTTTCTTACATTTTTAGAGTCAGTTTTAACAATGACATGTATTGATAAATGACAGATCTGGGCATTGTACTAAGCACTTTTGTATGCATACATCAATAAATTCATTTAGTTATCACAATTCTGCAAGGAAAGGTCAAAAATAGAAGCAAGTTCCTGGATTTTTCCTAGGTCCTCTGACTCTGCTTCTAGTGCTCCTCCACCAGATCACAGTTACTTCCATGGGGTAGACATGCAAATACAATAGAAACCTTTTCTTTCAAAACACCAAAGAAGATAAAATTTATAAAGCTCTTCTTAGGAAATCCTGAGATCATATACTATTATGATAACTTTTATTTCCTTTTCACAATGTTTGAAACCATAATTAATGTGAAATAGGGAAACCTACACTGAACTATGTCACTAGGAACAAATTACTTATCAACAAAATATCACTAAGTATATATTATGGGTTATCATTGTTTTCCAAAGGTCTTTGAGCTGAAATAAAATATAACTTTGAAGCCAAGATTTATAATAAATAATTGCAGTTGTAAGTTTCATTTATTTTTAAGATGAAATAAAATTTGTAGTTTGTTTTAGAACTACATCATATATATAAAGTCAAAGGGATATTCTAAGTCATATTAATAAAATAATATTAGAAATGTAAAATTTTACCAAACATTAATTTACCTCATTTGAGTTACTTCTTACAGTCTTCAGTTCCACTTCCAATGATTTGAGAGTCAGTTGAAGTTGTTTTTTCACTTCAGTTTGTGTCCTATACTGCTCTTCCATTATTTTTAACTCTTCTGTATCTTTTTCATACAACTCTTCAGCCTTTCTTCTTTTTTCTTCTTCTTCTTGTAAGATACAGCTGTAGTTAAATATACTTATCTTAAAATCCTTTAAAAACAAAACACTCATATACTGGTTTACTATCCTAATAATGTGCCAATGTTCTTGAATATTTTTTCTTTCTAGTTTTCATGTTAATATCTCAATTCGATATCTTCCAAAGAACATATATAAATTGAAAGGTAGTAAGGAACATCCTGCTAATTGATTAGCTTCTGTTATTATTAATTTTAGTAAATATTATGGAAAAGGATGTTGAAAATTATTAGGTAAAGCTACAAGTTAAAAATTACCTTTTCTTCACACAGTAATAATTACTCCTCAGTCAGGATGAATCATTTAGAGTTAGCTAATTTAAAAAAAAGTTTTTTTTTAATAAACAAGTTGATACCTTCACTAGAAATAAATTTGCATCTTCATAAAATATTGCAAGTGTCCCTAAACATGATTTACATTGTAAGATAGCACCTTCAGATGTCTTCTTGCAACATATATCTCCAGATGACAATAATCCAAGACTAAGCTAAGGAATCTAAGATGTTACCCATACGTTTTATGTTTCTTTTTCTGGTAACACTTTTGACTTATTCTGTTGATTAGTATGCATTTTACAAGCAATTTTTTTTATGCTTTTATTTATTTTTTATTATTATTATACTTTAAGTTCTAGGGTACATGTGCATAACGTGCAGGTTTGTTACATATGTATACTTGTGCCATGTTGGTGTGCTGCACCCATCAACTCATCAGCACCCATCAACTCGTCATTTACATCAGGTATAACTCCCAATGCAATCCCTCCCCCCTCCCCCCTCCCCATGATAGGCCCTGGTGTGTGATGTTCCCCTTCCCGAGTCCAAGTGATCTCATTGTTCAGTTCCCACTTATGAGTGAGAACATGCGGTGTTTGGTTTTCTGTTCTTGTGATAGTTTGCTAAGAATGATGGTTTCCAGCTGCATCCATGTCCCTACAAAGGACACAAAACTCATCCTTTTTGATGGCTGCATAGTATTCCATGGTGTATATGTGCCACATTTTCTTAATCCAGTCTGTCACTGATGGACATCTGGGATGATTCCAAGTCTTTGCTATTTGAATAGTGCCGCAATAAACATACGTATGCATGTGTCTTTATAGCAGCATGATTTATAATCCTTTGGGTATATACCCAGTAATGGGATGGCTGGGTCATATGGTACATCTAGTTCTAGATCCTTGAGGAATCGCCATACTGTTTTCCATAATGGTTGAACTACTTTACAATCCCACCAACAATGTAAAAGTGTTCCTATTTCTCCACATCCTCTCCAGCACCTGTTGTTTCCTGACTTTTTAATGATCGCCATTCTAACTGGTGTGAGATGGTATCTCATTGTGGTTTTGATTTGCATTTCTCTGATGGCCAGTGATGATGAGCATTTTTTCATGTGTCTGTTGGTTGTATGAATGTCTTCTTTTGAGAAATGTCTGTTCATATCCTTTGCCCACTTTTTGATGGGGTTGTTTGTTTTTTTCTTGTAAATTTGTTTGAGTTCTTTGTAGGTTCTGGATATTAGCCCTTTGTCAGATGAGTAGATTGCAAAAATTTCTCCCATTCTGTAGGTTGCCTGTTCACTCTGATGGTAGTTTCTTTTGCTGTGCAGAAGCTCTTTAGTTTAATGAGATCCCATTTGTCAATTTTGGCTTTTGCTGCCGTTGCTTTTGGTGTTTTAGACATGAAGTCTTTGCCCATGCCTATGTCCTGAATGGTACTACCTAGGTTTTCCTCTAGGGTTTTTATGGTATTAGGTCTAACATTTAAGTCTCTAATCCATCTTTTACAAGCAATTTTAAAATCCATTCTCAAACAAGACAAGATCTAATATTTAAACAATAAAGAATAATATCTGCCTTCCGCATAGAAGTTTGAATTAATTTAAACTCTGTAGCACAGACAGATGTTGACTAAGCTAATCAGTAATCACTTTCCATTTTACTTTTCATTCACTGCATATTAAGAGTAAAACTGGGCCAGGCGTGGTTGCTCACACTGTAATCCCAGAACTTTGGGAGGCCAAAGCCAGGGGATAACTTGCAGTCAGGAGTTTGAGACCAGTCTGGTCAAAGTGGCAAAACCTCATCTCTACTTAAAAAAAAAAAAAAAAAAAATTAGAAAGGCATGGTGATGCGTGCCTGTAATCCCAGCTACTTGGGAGGCTGAGGCACAAGAATCACTTGAACCCGGAAGCAGAGGTTGCAGTGAGCTGCACCGCTGCACTCCAACCTGGGTGACAGAGCAAGACTCTGTCTCAAAAGGACAAGAAAAAAAAACAAACAAACAAAAAAAAACGATAAAACTGGTTAATTTTAAAAATAATTACTCTGGGTGGAGAAAAGTATACATTTCATACTCAAATTATAAATTATAAACTTTCTTAAAAACAACTTAGTAATATTTAATCAAAGATCTCTTTTAAAAAGCTCCTATACTCTAACCAGATAGCTCTATTTTGAAAAATTTATCCAAAGAAATAGAAATGTAAAAAACTATGGATATATAAGATGTTTCTTAGAGCATTAATACAAAAAATTAAAACCCCCAATTTCAATTTATTAAATAATGAAATTTCCATAGGGTAAAATTCTATATAGCCATTAAAATAATGATTTAAAGGAATATGCAATTAATTATTAGAGAAGTATTCACAATTAAGAACTTGTGATATTTTATCCAAAAATTTCACATTCCACAATTTTAAGTTTTCTTCTCTAGTAAACCCTAGAAGGTAAGTCAGCTATTACAAAAATTATCCTACATATCTTTAGTATAAATAGTTCAAATATTTCTTTAAAACTAGAATGTGATACCTGAAATTACAGAGCTTTTGTTTACATTCAAGATTCTGATGCTCTAACTGTGATTTGGTTTCGTCTGTTTCAGATAGTTCCTTTTGTAGCATGCTAATCTTATTTTTCATTTTTTGAAATTTTACTTTAAGTTGTTCACAGTTACATTTTTTATGTTCTATTGATCTTTCACATGCAGCTATTGCATTCTTGATTTTCAATAGGCTAACAAAATCTGTAACCGGGAGAAAACAAAATAGAGATAAAATACATGAGTAGGTTTTTAAATATAAAGGACTGTGCATTTCAACATGGCACTGATTCATACACTGAATGGATATGTATCTATTAAGTGCTTGCAATGTAGAAAATATTTTAAAAAGCTCTTCAGATAAAACAGACAACACGTCTGATCTTGTTTAGCTTAAAGTGTAGTAAAGAACACAGAAAAAAAGTGACAATTACAAATTCAGATAGATGCTATAAGAATACACAGTTTTTCAGTCATGTAAGAGAATCTGACCTATACTTGGCCCAGGGAATATTTCTCTGAGGAAGAGAAGGCTACGCTGAGAAATAAAAAAAGAGAAGGAAGCAGCTGAGCAAAGGAGGAAGCAAAGTACTCTGGCTAGTCTGCTGCATGTGCTGGAGTTCTGCTACAATCTGCTTCCAGCCAAGAGGGAGCAACGGGTGCTGATTTTCCTCCTTACCTGAAACAACCAACACAGACAAAATATATTAAACAATGATTTTCAACACAGTGGACTTCAGATAATGAAGATGGTCATCACTGAAAGACAGGAAACAAATGTAGGCCTTTTTGTTGATAGAGTTTCTTTTGTTGCCAGAGCTCCCAGACCATGATAAAGCGAGAAAATCTGACATAGATTCCCTGAGCTGGGGCAGTGACGCTAAGAATGTAGTAAAACAAAAGCAGAAAGAAATCACAGGACAGAACACTGGAGAGGATAAAGCAGCAGAGGAAACAAACCCTGGAGATCTGCAGAGGTCCCCTCTAAAGTATTTAGTGGAATAATGAAAAAAATGGATGTGTGCTAGGCAACTTCCCAAGACCTAGGGGTGGCGAGTGGTGGGGGAACACAATAGAAAAAGATTAGGAGAAACCATGCCTGGTGTTCACAAAGTGCCCAGAAGAGGGTCCATTACCCAAGAGCCAGGCCCAAAAAACTCATACTTCACAGGATGATAAATAATCCAAAAACTCTTGCCTCAGGAGTGGCAAATTACCCAGAATCTAGAAGCAAGAACAATAAGAATTCTGTTTATAAGTAAATCACTGTACCCCAAATAAAGCTCGAGACAGTAAGTGGAGGCATGAAAGGTATTTTTAAAAAAATCAAACCACACCTGTAGAAATGCAAATTACAATGTCAGAGGTAAAAACTACAATAGAAAAAAAACACAGATCACAATCATAAATTTGTTGTGATGAACCATGAGAAACCTTCAAGCAACTAATATATAAATCTCCAAATAGAAAACAACAAAGACAGAAAAGAAATTTGAAAAATAATTGGCCCAAAACATTCTAAACTTGGCAAAATCTATATTCCCACAGATCCAGGAAGGAACTGTCTGGGACAAAAAAAATAAATAAAACGGTGGCTCAAGCCTGTAATCCCAGCACTTTGGGAGGCTGAGACGGGAGGATCACGAGGTCAGGAGATCGAGACCATCCTGGCTAACACGGTGAAACCCCCGTCTCTACTAAAAAAAAAAAAAAAAACCAAAAAAAACTACCCGGGCGAGGTGGCGGGTGCCTGTAGTCCCAGCTACTCGGAAGGCTGAGGCAGGAGAATGGCGTAAACCCGGGAGGCGGAGCTTGCAGTGAGCTGAGATCCGGCCACTGCACTCCAGCCTGGACGACAGAGCGAGACTCCGTCTCAACAACAACAACAAAAATAAATAAATAAATAAAGTGTACCATTGTCATTTTCTTATACCATCTATGATGTGGTATAACATTACTTGAAGGTAGACTGTGATAGGTTAAAATTATATACTATAAATCCTAAATAAATCACTGAGATAGCAAACAAAGAGTTATATATAATAAACCAAAAAAGAAATACGAAATTAAATCATAGAAAATAGCTGATTAATCTAAAGGAAAGCAGAAAAAGAAGGGGAACAAATAGCAGCAAGACTGACAGCAATCAAACAGCACAATGACAGGCAAACTTAACTATATTGAGTATCACATTATAAATGAAACTGGTCCACAAGCCTCAATTAAAATGCAGACTGACAGACTCGATAAGAAAGCAATACCCAACTACATGCTGTCTATAAGAAATGTATGTTAAATGTAAAGAGACAAATCGGCCGCAAGAATAGAAAAAGATACATGCTAACACTTGACAGAATACTGAGAAGAAATGGTTCAATTAATATCAAAGTAGATTTCACAGCAAAACAATTTCCAGCAATAAATAAGGTCATGTCATAATGATGAAAGTTTCAGTTAATCAAGAAGATATAATAATCCTAAATGTTTATGCCCCTAATAACATAAGAAATTCAAAATACATGAGGCCAAAGTAGATAGAACTATAAAAGGAAATAGACAATTTCTAAGTAATCTGAGATTTCAATACCCTTTACTCAGGAAGTGATAGAACAAGGAGGCAGAAAATTAGCAAGAACAGAGCAGACTTAAAAAACAGCATGCCTTTCAAGTACCTATGGAACACTTACCAAAACAGACAATGTTTTAGGCCATACAATAAATCTCATTAAAAAGATTAAGTAAAAAGAATGTAAGTCATACAAAGTACATATCCTGACCACAAATCAATGATATTAGAAACCAATAACAAAAATAATGCTAAGAAATACTCAAATACATGAAAACTAAGAAACACACGTATAAAAAACCCTGGTTCAAGGAGACTATGAAAAAAGAAAATATTTTGAACTGAATAAAAATGAAAAAATAACATATCGGGGTTTGTAGAATGCAGCAACAACTGCACTTAAATACACATTTTTAGCACTAAATATCAATATTATAAGAGTCTCAAATCAATAACCCTGACTTCTCCCCTAAGAAAATGGAAATAAATAAATAAATAAATAAATAAAAAATAAAATAAAATGAGAGAATTAAACCCAAAGCAAGCAGAGGGATAAAAAACAAAACCATCTGCTGTGGTCTGAATGTTTGTGTTCCCAAAAGTTCATCTGCTGAAACCTAATCACAAGGGCGGATTTTTCGAGGTAGTGAAATCATGAGAGCCAAGCCCTCATGAATGGGATTAGTGTTCTTACACAACACAGCCCAGAAAGCCCCTCCACCCCTTCTGCCATGTGAGGACACAGAGAAAAAGAACACATCTATGATCCAGGAAGGTTCCTTACCACACAGCAAATTTGACAGCACTTTGACCTTGGACTCTGCAGACTCCAGAACTGTAAGAAATCATTTTCTACTGTTTATAAGCTACCCAGTCTATGGTATTTTGTTATACTATTGGTTTCAGGAAAAAAAGGAAGATCAGCAACACCAAACACTTTGGGAGATTGATAAATGTGAGAAATGTCTATTTACCCTGGCTGATCAGGAAGAAGAGAAGATACAAATTACTATACATGCAAATTACCATACATGCATATTACCAAGTCAAACAAGCCAACCTAAAAACGCTACTTTTTTGTTTTGTTTTGTTTTGAGACAGAGTCTTGCTCTGTCTCCCAGGCTGGAGTGCAAAGACATAAGCTTGGCTCATTGCAACCTCTGCCTCCCAGCTTCAAGCGATTCTCCTGCTTCAGCCTCCTGAGTAGCTGGGATTACAAGCGCCTGCCACCACACCCGGCTAATTTTTGTATTTTTAGTAGAGACAGGGTTTCGCCATGTTGGCCAGGCTGGTCTTGAACTCCTGACCTCAGGTGATCCACCCATCTTGGCCTCCCAAAAGTGCTGGGATTACAGGCGTGAGCCACCGTGTCCAGCCTTAAAATGTTACTTTCTGTATGATTCCAACTATATGACTTTCTGAAAAATGTAAAACTATGGATATAGTAAAAAGATCAGTGGCTGCCAGAGGATGAGGGACACCAGGAAAGGATACACAGGCAGAGTACTGAGGATTTTTAGGGAGGTGAAAATGTATATGACTTGCATACATGTCAGTGTACCTTAAGACCAAACCCATACGATGTATAGTACCAGAGTACAATGCACACTACGGGCTGCAGGTGATTCTGATGTGCCAATGTAGGCTCATCCATTATAGCAATTGTACCACTATGGGAGGGTTACTGATAAGGAGGGAGGCTACATATGTGTGCAGGTAGAAGGTATTTGAAAAGTCTCTGTACCTTCCTCTCAATTTCGCTGTGAACATAAAACTGGTCTAATAAATAAACTCTTTATAATAAACCAATAAAGACTTTATCATAACTTCTTTAGAAAATTGAATCCAACAGTATAATAAAAGGACAATGCATCATAAACAAATGGGTTTTTTTCCCAGGACTGCAGGGTTGGCTTAACATTCAAACATTGTTGTTATCTGCCAGATTAACAATGGAAAACAGTAGATCCATAGAATCATCTCAACAGATAGAGGCATTTGATACAATTCAACACTCATTCCTGATTTTGTAAAAATGAAAAAGTCTCAGCAAAGTAAGAATCCAGGGACCTTCCTCAGCAAGATTAAGAGCATCTATGATGAACCTACAGCTAACATGTATCATGGTGAAAAACTGAGTATGTTCCCCAGAAGATGAACAACAACACAGGAATGTCTGCTTTTACTGCTTTTATGCAGCATTGTTCTGAAGACTCTAGCTAGCGCAGTCGGGCAAGAAAAAGAAATAAAAGTCATCCCAGTTGAAAAAATAAATAAAACTATCTTTATACACAACCATGACCACACAATAGGTTTCAGTAAACTCTAACCTGTGGACCAGCTTCTTGTCTTCGTCAGTGAGCACAGCTGTGTTCATTAATGCACAGGTTGTCTATGGCTGCTCTCATACTACAGTGGCAGAGTCTATCAGCTACAACAGAAACCCCTTTTGCCACAAGTCTTTAATAAGAGGGTACTTTGAGAAAGAAAAGGTTTGACAATCTTTATGTAGAAAATCTGATCAAATCTACCAAGAATTAATAAGTGAGTATTATTAGTACCAGGACTAATAAGTGAGTTCAGTAAGATTGAAGTATACAAAACCAACATACAAAAATCAACTGTATTTCTATACACTCATGATAAACAATCAGATTAAATTTTTAAGCATATCATTTACAACTACATCAAAAACTGAAACAGATAAATCTGATAAACTATAGAAAGACTTATACACTAAAAGCTACCAAATATTACTGAGAAAATTAAATATGACATATAAATGCAGACATCCATTTTTTTAAAGAGTAGGAAGATTCATTATTAAGATGTCCACTCTCCATAAATTAATCTATAAATACAACACAATTCTAACCTAATGTCCAACAAGCCAGTACTTGTTGGACATTTTTAAATGACAAGGTGATTCTAAATTTTTTTTAAATTGACAAGCTGATTCTAAAGTTCATGTGGAAATGTAAAACTAGCATAGGCAAAACACAACGAAGAAGAGAAAAATCAACTTCAACAATTACTCTACATCAACAGCAACCAAAACAGTTGGCCACTGGTACAGGATGAATATCCCTTATTAAAAATGCTTGGGACCAAAAGTGTTTCAGGTTTTGGATTTTGGAATATTTGCATATACATGATGCAATATCTTGACGATAGGACGCATGTCTAAACACAAAATACTTATTCACAAAGACAGATGGTAATTAAAAAAATACTGTCAATAATTTTGTGCATGAAACAAAGTTTGTGTATATGAGGTGAACATGCTTAGTCATTAGGATCATGCATATTAACCACATCCATAAGAATGGCTACAAATAAATACTGCAATACTTAGTGTGACAACACAGTAACCACAACTGTCCTGTTGTGCTGATGAGATGGAAATGGTACACTTTTTTTTTTTTTTTTAACAACAATTTGGCAGCTTTTTCTAAAAAGGGAACATAAAGCTGCATAGGACACTCTTGCAGGTTATGGATAACTACCTTTGTTTCACACGTGTATGTATCTGTCAAAACTTATCAAACTGTAAATTTTACATATGTGCACTTTAACATGTATCAGTTATACCTCCCTGAAGCTACTGATTGTAGGAGCAAACACCTGGGACACTGGCTGTGACACAGAGAGAAACAAGGGTGTGAAATGAAGTAGTATAAAGCTAGAGCATTGTCATCCTTACCTTATAGCAATGATAAGTGGCAGCTGGGTGTTAAGCAAACAGGTAACATGATCAGATGTGAATTTTAAAAATGTATATAATTATGATTATAATTATATAATCCCTACTACCCCACCTTCCAAAACCACAGAATAGACCATGGTTTTGGAAGGTGGGGTAGTAGGAAAAAGAGTTAAATAAGATTATCACAGTATTCCAGGTATGAGATAATGATAACCTGACCCTAGGTAAAGGCATAGAAGAGAAGCAGAGTCAACAAATAGATTTGAGAGTGTCATTCACACTGGGAAAGGGTGGAATGATCACAGCTCTTTGGTTAAGAGTATACAAGATAGAGTAGTTCTCATTCTACGTTCACAAGAAGCATACTTCCAAGATGAACATCCCTATAACATCTATGGTACAGTGCTAAGCAATATCTGCATACATTACTATAGGATAGGGAAAGAGCCTTATATTTATGCATTGGTCCTACCTTTACACTCCATTCCATGTTGTTCAATGCGTAACATAAAATTCTTATCATCAGAGTAAGGCAAGTCATCATCCTCTGAGGTTTTTATAGATGACCCAGTTACGTCATTAAGGTCATCCTTGAAATATATTTGGCTTTTAACCTATAAAATAAATAACACTGTTTCAAAATGCCCTCAAAATATTTATAGCATATACTAAATATACACCAGCGGGAATTATCCATCTTTTTATACGAGCAAAAACACAGGTACTTCTTAAAATAACTGACTTTGACGGCGGTGCTCACGCCTAATCCAGCACTGGAGCCGACGGCGACACAAGGTCAAGACGAACACGGTAAACCCGTCCTACTAAAAAAAAAAAATACCGGCGCATCCGCCTATCCAGCTACCGGAGCCAAAACGTAACCAACAGCCAGACAATCGCGCACTGCACCATAACAGACAAATCTTCAAAAAAAAAAAAAAAAAAAACATAAAAACTGACTTTGGTTAAAAGGGTGCTTTTATGAATGGTTAACGGTGCTTTATCAAAGTCAATGTCTTTACAACAAAAGATTTTTGTTTTTTTACCATGATCTTTTATAAGGTATTTTCAACAACATTCTTGACAAATTTACTTTTATAATACCTTGCTCTTTTCATTGGAGGTTTTCCTTGCAAGCCTAAAAAAAAAAAAAAAAACAAAAAATTCCAATCAGGCAATTAGTAAATATGTAAAATACAAAGAATATCTAAAACATTTTTATATAAAACTGCTGTATTTGTAATTTCTCTCTCTTATTCATAATGTTTACAGGTAATGTTTTTACAGGTGATGTAAAATATATTTTTTTACAAGGGGAAAAACTATAAATGGAAAGGGCAGTGCTACGGGACAAATGAAATATACTAATGTCAAAATATTAACTTTAAATCAAGCTTTCTGATCATCAAAGACAGAAAAAAAAACATTATTTGCAGTATTTGATAGAAAAATATGTATCCTGGGGTTTTCTCTCATCGCCCTTTTCAATACAAACAAAGTTTTACTGGTACTAAGACCTATTTAATAAATATTACTTACGTAACAGAATCCCTTTTTTAATGATAACATTAGCTAGTCTTTTCAGGACACACTGTGCAAGTACTGTGTACTATTCTAAACACTGTACATATATTTAAGTCATTTAAATCCTCCCAGCAATTCTGTCAAGTAGGTAACATACTAGATATTTTATAAAGAAAGAAACTAGGCACAGAAAGGCCACATAACTTGCCCAAACACATAAAACTGTTCAATAGTAGACTAAGCATTCAAACCCAAGAACTCTGGCTCCAAAACATGTGTTTCACAATATGCTATGAAAGTAATATTTATTTTCAAGTAATATGATAGCAGATGAATTCATATTATCTTTCAGTTTCTGAATATAAGTAACAATTTCTGAATCTTGCAATATTTTTAAAGTAAGATTTTAACTTTGGCATTTTTTTTAAGTTCAGTGGTACACCTGCAGGTTTGTTATGTATGTAAACTTGTGTCACGGGGGTTTGTTGCAGATTATTTCATCACACACGTATTAAGCCTAGTACTCATTAGTTATTCTTCCTGATTCTTTACCTCCACTCATCCTCCACTCTCCACCTTCCAAAAGGTGCCAGTGTGTGTTGCTCCTCTCAATGTGTCTATGTGTTCTCACCATTTGGCTCCCATTTTTGAGAAAGAACATGTGGTATTTGGTTTTCTTTTACTGTGTTAAATTGCTAAGGATAATGGCCTTCAGCTCCATCCATGTTCCCGCAAATGACATGATCTCATTTTTTCATGGCTACCTAATATTTCCTGGTGTATACGTACCACATTTTCTATATACAGTCTATCAGTAATAGGCATTTATTTTGATTCCAGGTCTTTGCTATTGTGAATAGTACTGCAATGAATATATGCATGCATGTGTCTTTATAACAAAATAATTTATATTCCTTTGGGTATGTACCCAGTAATGAGATTGTAGGTTGAATGGTACTTCTGTCTTTGAGGAAATGCCACACTGTTTTCCACCATGGCTGAACTAATAATGTACAACACTCCCACCAACAGTGTATATGCATTCCTTTTTCTGTGCAACCTCACCAGCATCTGTTATTTTTGTACCTTTTTTTTTTTTGAGGCATAGTCTCAGTCTGTCACCCAGGCTGGAATGCTCAGTGACGTGATCTCAGCTCACTGCAACCTCTGCCTCCCAGGTGCAAGCAATTCTTCTGCCTTAGCCTCCTGAGTAGCAGGGATTATAGGCGAGTGCCACCACACCAGGTTAATTTTTGTATTTTTAGTAGAGACGATGTTTCACCAATATTGGTCAGGCTGGTGGCAAACTCCTGACCTCCTGATTCATCTGCCTCGGCCTCCCAAAGTGGTGGGATTACAGGCGTGAGCCACCATGCCTGGCCTGGACTTTTTAATAATAGCCATTCTTACTGGTGTTAGATGGCATGTTATTGTGGTTTTGATTTGCATTTCTCTAACGATCAGTGAAGTTGAGCTTTTTTTCCATGTTTGTTGATCTTGTGTATGTCTTCTTTTGAAAAGTATCTGTTCTTGGCCTGGAGCAGCGGCTGACATCTGTAATCACAGCACTTTGAGAGGCCAAGGTGGGCAGATTACTTGAGGTCAGAAGTTTGAGACCAGCCTGGCCAACATGGCAAAATACCATCTCTGCTAAAAATACAAACATTAGCAGAGTGTGGTAGGGCATGCCTGTAGTCCCAGTTACTCAGCAGGCTGAGGCATGAGAATCACTTGAGCCTGGGATGGGGAGGGAAGTTGCAGTGAGCCAAGATCACAGCACTGCACTCCGGCCTGGGAGACAGAGCAAGACTAAAATAAAAAGAAAAAAAGAAAAGTATCTGTTCATGTCCTTTGCCCAGTTTTTATGGGATTTTCTCTTGTATTTACGTTTCTTACAGATGTTAGATATCAGACGTTTGCCAGATGCATAGTTTGCAAAAATGTCTTCCTTTGTGGAGGTTGTCTGTTCAGTCTGATGACAGTTTCTTTTGCTGTGCAGAATCTCCTTAGTTTAATTTGATTCCACTTGTCAATTTTTGCTTTTGTTGCAATTGCTTTGGCATCTTCATGATGAAATCTTTGCCGGTGCCTATGTCCAGAATGGTATTGCCTAGATTGTCTTCCTGGGTTTTTATAGCTTGCAATTTTACAGTTAAATCTTTAATCCACCTTGAGGTAATTTTTGTTTATGGTATAAGGAAACGGTGAACTTTCAATCCTCTGCATATGGCTAGCCAGTTATCCCAGCACCATTTATTGAATACGGTCCTGTCCTTGTTGCTTTTTGTCAGGTTTGTCGAAGATCAGAGATTTGCAGCTGTGTGGTCTTATTTCTGGGTTCTCTTTTGTTCCACTGGTCCATGTGTCTGTTTTGAACCAGTGCCATGTTGTTTGGTTTCTGTAACTCCGTAGTATAGTTTGAAGTCAGGTAGTGTGATTCCTCCAGCTTTGTTCTTTTTGCTGAGGACTGCCTTGGCTATTCATGCCTTTTTCTGGTTCCCTATGAATTTTAAAATAGTTTCCTGTATTTCTGTAAAGAATGTCAGTGGTAGTTTAATAGGAACACCATTGAGTCTATCAAATGCTTTGGGCAGTATGACTTTTTTTTTTCTTTTTCTTTTTCTTTTTTTTTTTTTTGAGATGGAGTCTTGCTGTTGTCGGCCTAGGCTGAAGTGCAATGGCATGATCTCTGCTCACTGCAATCTCCGCCTCCTGGGTTCCAGCAATTCTCCTGCCCTCAGCCTCCCGAGTAACTGAGATTACAGGTGCCTGCCACCATGCCTGGCTAATTTTTGTATTTTTAGTAGAGATGGGGTTTCACCATGTTGGCCAGGCTGGTCTCAAACTCTATCTCTGAGCAGTGTTTTGTAGTTCTCCTTGTAGAGATCTTTCCCCCTCTACTTAGCTGTATTCCTAGGTTTTTATGTTGTTGTTGTTTTGGTGGCAATTGTGAGTAAGAGTTCGCTCTTGGTTTGGCTCTTCACTTGACTATTGTTGGTTTATGGGAATGGTAGTAATTTTTGCACATTGATTTTGTATCCTGAAACTTTCCTCAAGTTGTATCAGCTTAAGATTTTGGGCCCACACTATGTGGTTTTCTAGGTATAGGATCATGTCATCTTCAAACTAAGATAGTTTGACTTCCTGTCTTCCTATTTGGATGCCCGTTATTTCTTTCTCTTGATGGATCACCCTGGCCAGAACTTACAATACTATGTTGGAAAGAAGTGGTGAGAGAGGGCATCCTTGTCTAGTGTCACTTTTCAAGGGGACCCCCTTGCAGCTTTTGCTCATTCAGTATGATGTTTTCTGTGGGTTTGTCATATATGGTTCTTACTATTTTGAGGTATGTTCCTTCAATAACTAGTTGAGAGTTTTTAACATAAATGTTGAATTTCATCAAAAGACATTTCTGAATCTATTGAGATGTGATTATCTCAGTAATAAACAGAATAATTCTGTTTATTTGATTAATCACTTATTGATTTTTTTTTTTTTTTTGAGACTGAGTCTCACTCTATCACCAAGGCTGGAGTGCAGTTTGCAATCTTGGCTCACTGCAACCTCTGCCTCCCGGGTTCAAGCGATTCTCCTGCCTCAGTCTCCTGAGTAGCTGAGACTACAGGTGCGCGCCAGCACACCCGGCTAATTGTTTGTATTTTTAGTAGAGACGGGGTTTCATTGTGTTAGTCAGGATGGTCTTGATCTCCTGACCTCATGATCCGCCCACCTCAGCCTCCCAGAGTGTTGGGATTACAGGCGTGAGCCACTGTGCCTGGCCTATTGATCTGCACATGTTGAAACAACCTTGCATCACAGGGATGAAGCTAAATGCTCACATCAAAAAGAAAGATCTCAAGTTAACAACCTAATGTCACAACTAAAACAACTAGAAAGGCAGGAGGAAAATCTAGGTGAGTGAGTGACATTCTGAAAGCCAAGTGAACAAAGTGATATGGAGGAAAAAGTTCTCCATGGGGTCAAATATTGCTGATAGGTTAAATAAAATGAGATCTAAGAAATTATGTCTAGATGTATCACAGTGAAAAAATGACAAGCTTGAGAGTAACAAGTTTGGAGGAGCGGTGAGAGTGAAAATTATGACAGTGAGTTCAAGAGTGAATGGAAGGGAAAGTTGAGTCCATGAGTACAGATGGTTAAATTTCAAGGATATCATACCTAAGCGGCATTATCGTGCATGACCTAATATTATTCTTGTTCAACTGTATTTCCCAATCCTTTTATAATGATTAGTTACATAGTATGTTTTAACACTTAAGCATTTTTAAAATTGTATACATATGGCATTTTTATAAGCCAGACCATAGTATAAATGAATAAAGCCATAAAATTATAGAACTAGAAATCCCCTTGAGCATTTCTAGATTATATACAAGTGATTAACATTTTGCTCATGCTTATAAAGACCAAAGACTAATGATTTCAAGGACAGTATTTTTTACTTGAGAAAACTCACCCAACTCTGAGACATTTTAAACTCATCAAATACACAAAGCAATTAGTCATACTAAAATACTCAATTCTGTAACAGGAATAAAAAGTGACAATGCAAAAATATATTATTTTGTAAACTTAATTTTTGTAAATTATACAATATGAAGTCTACTGAAAATATGGTGTGGTTCATACTTTTCAAAGGAAGAATAATGACATGCATTGAGAGTGCCTCTGAACAGGAGATATACTGCACTGGCAGCACCTTGGTTTTCAGCACACAGGTCAGCAAATTATATAAATAGTGTATGCCAAATAATAAATAGTGTGTGCCAAATTCAGCCTACCTGTACTACCTGTTTGTTTTTTTTTTTTTTTTTTTGGTAACAGTGAAACCTATTCTTTTACTGAATGACAAGGGAATCTATTCATTTATTGAATGACAGTAATTCACTTATCAAGTGACAGAGTGACACCTATTCATTTATTGTCTATGAAAGATGTTGGACTACAACAACACAGACCCTCTGGTCCTTAAAGCCTAAATGTTATTATCTGGCTCTTTACATAAAAAGTTGGCCAACTCCTGGCTTGGTAGATCAAAGGTCCTTTGATATACTTCGATAACTTTTAGCAATATTGTAAATCTTTGTATAAAATATGGTTCCCCATGTGCAATCCCTTGGCAATATTCAGATTATTATAAAGGTCTAATATTTGAGCACTTTTGCATTGAGAAAAACAACAATTTTATAACTAACGATTCTGCTGGTAACAAAGTAAAGTGCCAATGTAGCATGTAGCTTCCTCTTCTAACTCAGTCAACACTATAAGTATTAAGATCATACAATATTGTATTCTGACAAAATTTGCTTAGGAGAATTGGTACTTGCAGAGTGGGGTACTGCTATAAAGATAATCTGAAAATGTGGAAGAGACTGGAACTGGGTAACTCACAGAGGTTGGAACAGTTTCAAGGGCTCAGAAGATGACAGCAAGATGGGAAAAACTGGGAATTTCCTAGTGAATTGCTGAATGGTTTTGACCAAAATGCTGATAGTGATATGGACAATGAGGTCCAGGCTGACACAGTCTCAGATGAAGATGAGGAGGTTATTGAGAACTAAAGTAAAGGTCACTCATGCTATACTCTAGCAAAGAGACTGGTGGCATTTTGCCCCTGCCCTAGAGATCCGTAGAACTTTACACTTGAGAGGGATGATTTAAGTATCTGGCAAAAGAGATTTCTAAGCAGAAAAGCATTCCATATGTAACCTAGCTTATTCTGAAAAGCATTCATGTGGTCACAAAGATGGTTTGGAATTGGAACTTATGTTTAAAGAGGAAGCAAACCATAAATGTTTGGAAACTTTGATGCCTGACTACATGGTAGAAAAGAAAAACCTGTTTTCTGGGCAGAAATTCAAGCCTCCTGCAGAAACTTTCATAAGTAACAAGGAGCTGAGTGTTAATAGCCAAGACAATGGGGAAAATGTCTCCAGGGCATGTCAAAAATCTTCCCAGAAGACCCTCCCATCACAGGTGCAGAAGAAAAAATAAGTTTCTTGGGTTGGGACCAGGGCCCCGCTGCTCTGTGCAGACCTGGGACATGGCACCCTGCATCCCAGCTGCTCCAGCTCCAGCCATGGTAAAAAGGGCCAAGGTACAGCTCAGGCTGTTGCTTTAGAGAGTGAAAACCCCATGCCTTGGCAGCTTCCATGTGGTGTTGGGCCTACGGGTGCGCAGAACACAAGAGGTGAGGTTTGGGAACCTTTGCCTAGATTTGAGAGGATGTATGGAAATGCCTGGATGTCCAAGCAAAATCTGCTGCAGGGGCACAGCCCTCAAGAAGAACCTCTGCTAGGGCAGTGCAGAAGGGAAATGGAGAGTTGGAGCCCCCACAAAGAGCTCCCAATGGGGCACTGCCTAGAAGAGCTGTGAGAAGAGGGTGACCATCTTCCAGACCCCAAAAAGGTAGATCCACTGACAGCTCATACTGTGTACCTGGAAAAGCTGCAGGCACTCAACATCAGACCATGAAAGCAGCCACAAGGGCTGTCCCCTGCAGAGCCACAGCGGCAGAGCTGCTCAAGGCCATGGGAGCCCACACTTTGCATCAGTGTGCCCTGGATGTGAGACATGGAGTCAAAGGAGATCATTTAGGAGCTTTAAGATTTAATGACTGCCAAGTAGAGTTTCAGACTTGCATGGGGCCTATGGCACCTTTGTTTTGGCTAATTTCTCCCATTTGGAATGGGAACATTTACCCAATGCATGTACCCTCATTGTATCTTAGAACTAACTAGTTTTTGATTTCACAGGCTCACATCCTTGTCTCGGATCAGACATTTTGGGTCCCAACTTGGACTTTTGGGTTAATGCTTGACTGAGTTAAGACACTGGGGGCACTGATGGGGAGGCAGTATTGGTTTTGAAATGTGAAAAGGACATGAGATTTGAAAGGGGCCAGGGGTGGAATAATATGGTTTGGTGCTGTGTCCCCACCAAAATCTCATCTCAAATTGTAATCCCCACCTGTCAGAAGAGAGACCTGGTGGAAGGTGACTTGATCATGGAGGCTGTTTCCCCCATGCTGTTCTTGTGATAGTGAGTGAGTTCTCACAAGAGCTGATGGTTTTAAAGTAGGGGACTTCCTTGCTCTCACTCTCTCCTACTGCCTTGTGGAGAAGGTGCTTGCTTCTCCTTTGCCTTCTGCCATGATTGTAAATTTCCAGAGGCTTCCCCAGCCATGAGGAACTGTGAGTCAATTAAACTTCTTTTGTTTATAAATTACCCAGTGTCAGGTAGTGTCTTTATAGCAGTATGAAAATAGACTAATACAAGATGTGTTATCAAACCAAATGCTTTAAAGATACTTTACTGGTGAAATAATCACTACACTATAAATGCAACTTCATTTTTATAAGAGGGTTGCATACTACATTATTTTATGGGTATGACTATTTCCTTATTAATAGACTTTTACACAATCTCAAATATTTTGATATGACAATGTTATAATGAAAGTTCTTACCATATATATGTATGCATGCAACAATTTCATATAAAGAAATAACTATACACACACACATATATATGTTGGCCTATTGCATGTTATATATATATGATATATATCATATATATATAATAAATATATAATTAATGACTTTAACTGCTTGTGTGTATGTGTAAACTCATATTTTCCTGTAGAATCTAGTCCCAGAAGTAAAGCTGTCAGGTTAATGAAATGACATACTTAAAATTTTGATGCATGCTACTAAACTACCCTTCAATAAAGATTTGCCAATTTCATTTAGCAACAGTGTATAAGAGCATGTCTTTCTTCACATTTGTCTAGTTATTTTATTTATTTTTTTATTTTTTTTGAGATGGAGTCTCGCTCTGTCGCCCAGGCCGGGGTGCAATGGCCGGATCTCAGCTCACTGCAAGCTCCGCCTCCCGGGTTTAAGCCATTCTCCTGCCTCAGCCTCCCGAGTAGCTGGGACTACAGGCCCCCGCCACCTCGCCCAGCTAGTTTTTTGGATTTTTAGTAGAGACGGGGTTTCACCGTGTTAGCCAGGATGGTCTCAATCTCCTAACCTCGTGATCCACCCGTCTCGGCCTCCCAAAGTGCTGGGATTACAGGCTTGAGCCACCGCGCCCAGCCGTCTACTTATTTTTTAAATAAAACATGAATATATTGGAAAGACTGTAACTCATTGCTTGTTAATTTGCATTTTATGATTACCAGGCAAGGCAGAATATTCCTCATAAAACTATAAAATTTGTTAATCGTACATATTAACCCAAATTAGAATTCATTTTATAGAAAAATTAACAATGATCTGCTGTTAAATATTGCTATAGGATTACCTATCAAACTTGTCATTCTCCTTCCTGGGAAACTGATGATTATCAGGTTTTCTGTTCTTTATTTTGTGAGTTAATTCATCAACATCATCATTATAATTGTCACTGTCATCAGCATGTACGTTTCTTGAAACTTCCATTTTCTTATTTCTGCATTTCTTCATTTTTTCTTCAACCTTCAATGAAAGTTTCATACTGAGAATAACTGTCATTATTTTACCTAACAGAAAGAACTTTTTTGTGTTCATTTAATTCTTGACTCTGTCATATTAGTCATGACATGATAAAATACCTTGTGCTTACTTTTATCATTATATATAATTATACATGTTATAATTTTTATTGAAATTCATATAAAGTCTGATTTATTTGTTTGAGTGAATAAAATTTTCAAAACTTTCAAAATGGGCCCATTTCAAATTTGTGCTTTTATTCTCATTGCTGTCTAATATGCATTTTCACCCCCTGGTGCCCTTGTGACGAGCAGAAATAGAGAAATAAAAAGAAAGCCATGAAATCTGTCCTCTTCTATCTTTACCTCCTGGAGTTTACACTAAACGGCCAGATTTAGAGGATGTGACATTGTGGAGCTTCAAGAACAGAAAGGAAGCTTTCCCCTTTCTGCGGTTAAGCTTTCTTTTCCCACTGTCTTTTATTTTACTTTTTCCATTTGGATCCTAGCATATCAAAAATATGAAGGTGCTTGCTGAAATACAAGAACTAAAATTTGAAACCACATAAGAAACAGAGTTAAACTGCTAAGATGCTACTTTAGGGTTCTGGAAAATGAGATGCTTTCCAAATCTCACATTCAGTAACCACGACATTTTATAGCTGGAGGATATACAGTGTAAGAAATTATCTACTTTAGCCCCATTATCAAAAAAGATTAAATGATTCATCTAAAGCCCCTGGCATTTCCGAGCATTTTATTGCACAAAACCTGATAATACTGTTTCATAATGCTGAATCAGATAAATTACCTGATACATTCATGAAATTAATCAGAAGAATTAAAAGTGTAACTCCGGGAAAGTAACTTAATGCCTCAGAAGGGGCTGAGAGGTCTCATCTACTTTTACTTTTAAAGGTGAACATCACCAGATTTTTGTCTATCTTTAAAACTCGATGTACCTAAATCAGGTTTCTACTTTGGAGTCATATACTAAATTTTTGGCTGAGAATCCATGGTACTGACATAATAAAGTTATACATGCTAAAAGTTATGCTCTATTAAACAAAATCACATTAAGATCTGCTTTGACAGAAACATGTGGAAGTTGTGATTAAAAATAGATGGAGATACCTATATACATTTGTTTTCAAACATATTTAAGGTTGTCATGATGAAATTGTAAGCCCTAACATATTGAGTGAAATGGATCAACTTGCACACCTGAAAGCACAACACACAGATTCCTTTGCCTATGAATATTTGTTCCAACTCTCAAGGATAGATACATTTTTATAGCACTTCTCAGTCATTGCTTCCTTCCCATTGATTTCCCACTTTATTGTTTAAGTGCAATTCATCGTTAAATCAATAGGGAAAAATTATACCCTAGAGCTTATTAAATTTTTAAAGCAATTTCATATAGGCTAACCCTAGTTTAGAAGTGTCTATATCCATGATATATGAATAGTTTTTTTCCCAGTCCCTATGCCACTTGGAAAATGGACAGACTTGGGCTGATTAAGTAATGAAGATAGAATGTTTTCCTGAACTCCTATCATTTAAATTGAGAAATAATCTATTTCTACACACAATTATGTATATAGATAACCCCATTTGGCATAAGAGCTTTTCATAAGTAAAAAAATTAGAATGCACCAAATAACTGGTCAAGAGAAAGAAAAACAAGTAGCAGCAAGTGACCCTGTAAACCCTGTAAATCTTTCTGAAGTTGAACTTTACTTTCTTCTTTCTAAGAAGAGCTATGGGAAGACAGCGACCATCTTCCAGACCCCAAAAAGGTAGATCCACTGACAGTTCATACCGTGCACCTGGAAAAGCTGCAGGCACTCAACATCAGACCATGAAAGCAGCCACAAGGGCTGGACTCTAGTTGTAATATACCTGCCTCATTCTTAAGTCTTTGTATATTGTGCTGTAACTATTCTTCTAGATGTACTTTTGATGCTCTGTCACTGTGTGGTGGAGAAGAATGCACATTTTCTAACCCAAGTTCTATTCTTTTATAGTTATTTGTACTGTAATTATGATATAATGGTTTCTGGAACAAGTTCTGTATTGGTTTTGTATTCTTCCTAAGTGTCTGTAACAACAGAAACACTATGCTTTTTTTTTTTTTCTCACATACTTAATTTATCTGGAGCAGGTAAGCCACAAATCCAAAAGGCTTATTGGATCACTAAACTGAGGCACATTTCTGATATCCAATTTGCAATTAATGTTATGTTGGTGATTTTTTTCATCATGGACCTGTAACACTCTTGGTCTTCTTTTATTTCAATGGTAATTACTTCTGGGTTCCTTGCTTTTGTACTTTTTGTGTCATTATAAAATTCTCCTGGTCAATGTTAAAAGCATGTTCTGTGTCTGGTTTGTTACTATTTTCACAGTATACTTTATTTTCATTTAAATAAAAATTAGAAGATGACTGGCAAGCAAATTCTGGAGATCAAGAGTATAAATGAGATCAAAAGACATTTATGAGGCTGCACTATTTTTAAACAGGAAATATTAGGAATACATATTAGATGAACACTCCAGATACATCTTTTCCTGACAATCAGGTGCATTATTTGTCAAATTTGAGGGTATTTTAAGTTTGCTATTCCTGTAGGGCTATCATGGAGTGGCTCTTCCTAAAAACAAGGCAGTAGTTTTGTATTCTTCACAAATTTCACCCAAATTCTGCTTTAACTCAATTTTGATGAGTTTTAAAGTTTTTTTCCACCTCATTTGTCTTGTTTGATCCACATTTTCCTCATACTTTTGCACATAAGGGAGTCCTGCATATACACATGTATGCTATTACAATACTTGTTCACTTCTGTTTGCTGAGACATTTTTTGCAGATGTGAAAGTGGAAGATTATGAGTTTTGTTTGTCAGATGTCTTTTCTGTCAGGGTATATGTTTTAGGAATAACTTTGTCTTTAAATAATGAAGTATGAAAAAATGAAAATTTAACTGTTAAATTTCTTAATATATGTTTACCTAATCCCAAATCACTTTTTTGTAACCAAAAAGTGAAAAATAGTTTGCATAAGCCTAAAATATAAGAAAAACACAAACCATCAAACTTCACTTTGACAGTGTTTGGAGTAACATTAATTCATTGTGTGATAGATTTACCAAAAATGAAATAAGAGATTATTTTTAGTAATACAAAGTCATTTTCACTTAACAAGATTTTATCTCACTGTGCTGGAAATAGTGATACCCAACAGTGGACATTTGAGTGTTTTTTCAAAGATTACTAACTGGTGAGTAGGCAAACTTTAAATTATTAGGAGTCAAAATCAACACCAATCAAAAGAAAAGCAAATTCTTACATTTTAATTCAAATTATATACTGTAAAATAAATAAACTATAGGCTTAAGTCAAGTTCTAATAAATTTTCAGGCTTACGAATGACAGTTGATTTAAAAGATTTAAAAATATTTGCAGATTTCCTATGTTGAAATAAGTTGGGAACATTATTGCTTGAACCCAAACACCAAAAGTGCCATTTTGCAAGGTCTGATTCTCTTGATAGGTAGTTGGGTTGATTTCATGACCCCATTCTGCCCTGAACATAGATATTGAAATTAGTAAGAGATCACAATGGAGAATGCATGTTTAATCTTGGTATTAGTCATCAGTAATATAAAACTGCAAATTTTGGATCACTGGCAATGATTACTCCTTTAACAGGAATCCAACTCAGCAGCCATCACTGTTAAATTATTCATAATTTTTTATTGCTTAAAATTATAATTCAATATTTGATATTACCTTCTTTATTATATTAGGTTATAAAAACGGAACAGCAAACAATACTCAGGAACTTTTTGCCTCAGTTCCAAGGTTAATATTAGCTGTAAATCACTGTAGATTCTTAGAACACTTTAAATTTTAGAAACAGTTAAAATGTTTTTAAAATTAACTGTTATGTTATATTCAATTGATTCTAAAAGGCTAGTCCAAAAGTAATTTCATTTGGATTATGCTACATTACCAAAGAAAACCAGAAATTTGAAATTAAATTTTGACATACCTGTGGCTGGCTACTTTCACATCCTTCAAGGCTCTCTTGCTCTCCCTCTGATGTCATTTCTAAGTCTTGTTCTGCTCACAAATCCATATATTTAGTTAAAATGAACTACTTAGAACAATTAGATAAAAACTTTAGTCTTTATAAAAATGAAAATAACATATATTTTTCTTTCATAAATTGAGAATTTTAATGAAGCTTAATCTTTAGTGATATATCTACTTCTTAAGAATTACTTCTAGTTCTCCAAAACTTCAACAAACTACTTGGCAAGACACCAGATGTCACCAGATTCAAGCCATAGACCAACACCTCAAAGATTTGCTCACAAATTAATCCACCCAATATAAATGAATGAAACTATCAGAAAAACAAAATTTGAAAATCCAGTATTAACAGATAAACTAACACTATATATTGTTCTTTACTTCCTAACATTACCTTTTTAATAACACACTAAGCCTGCTGCTTCTCATTATGAATAACTTCCAATATGACTGTTACTGCTTATATCTGCATCCATATATGCCCCGTTCATTATATCTGAAATGTTTCCCTCTACTATTCCGACAAATTTCATTTTTCAACAGACAGCTATGTAAACTCTTCTTTGATTCTGGTTCTTTCCCCAGATAAACAGTTTTATATAATACAAGTTTCATAAAACATGCAGTTAAGGTTTCAAAAATGGGTTTATGTTTTAACTGACTATAACTAAAACAGAAAGTGGGGGTTGGTGGATGACCTTGAGCTATCAAGAATGAGATGATGGTTCTCTGGAGACTGAGCACCCTTCGCAGTGCCCAAGGAGGCTGAGCTCTGTTGCTGTGAACCCCAGTGGTCGGACCTGCTCATATCTCAGTATTACTTCAGAACTGACCTACCCCAGAATGGTGTGGAGTGCAGCACATTCGCTTGTCACCGAGCCACCATCCTGGTTCCCAGGTTGCATCTCTCCACTGGACTAGGGAGAGGGTCGTCAGTGTTTTGCTCCTGGGCCTGCTTCTAGCTGCTTATTTGAATCCTTGGCTCTGTGACAGACTACTCCTGGCTGCAACCCTCACTATTCATAGTTACTGGGGCCTTGGACAAGTTGTTAATGACCATGTTCATGGGGATGCCTTGCAGAAAGCTGCCAAGGTAGAGCTTTTGGCACTTTAAGCTTTAACCTTTGCTGGGCTTTGCTATTTCAACTATCACGATGTGGGCATCTGCAAAGCTGTTGCCATGCTGTGGAAGCTCTGACCATTCTGACTTCATACTTTGAAGAATTGATGTATGCCTCTTTGTCTCTGCTTTGTCATACCATTCAACTCAGAATAAGGAAGAAATAACAGGTAAGTCCATTGGTGGACAGCCTTCTTCTCTTAATCACAAGATTATTTTCCAAATTTAATATTTGAGGAAAAGGTTTGAGAAGAATTATGACTAAGAAATTGTGAGACTGAGTTTTGTATTCTGGTGAGTTAATGGGGTTGCCTCCCAGCTTCTCTTAAGAGTCACAGTATAACCAAACATGATATATGAGCTTTTGCCTTTTATCAATCTCTTAAAGAGAATCCAGCTTTATTACTATCAATATATGATCAAACTTCTGCATTTGCCTTGGGAATAATGGACAAAGGGAAATACTGTTAATTCATGAATAAAAACTTTGCAGAAAATTAGACAGTGTTTAGTTTTTGAAAACTTCCCTCTCTATTCAGTAGATACCACCTATTGATGGTTACATATACCAGGGAAATTTTAAAATTAGGAAATGCTGTATCTCACATTATGAATTTCTAAATCTTAAGAAGAAAAGCTTGGAGTACTTCTGAATATAGAAAAGTTCCATTTAAGAGCAAGGTTCCCCTTGTAGACGTATCAAAATATTATAAATTCTAAACTGACACTCAATTCTCAAATGTATTTTACTTTTTCTGAAACAATCTGTCCATGAATACAAAACTATAAGTAATAGTTATTTTGCCACTATGGGAATCCCTAATGTGAAAATGTATTCTATGAATTGTTTTTAAATAAAATGTTGTATAATTAAAAAAAAGAAAAGTGCACATATTCCAAAATTAACCTACTGGCTTGCAAAAAAAAAAAAAAAAGTGTTTTTCAGTAAGAATAGCAAATCATGATCCTGAGAGGATAACTGTCAAAGCTTCTGGGAGAGTGCTGTGGCATATTTTTAATGCAACACATCGTACTTAATTATACCATTAACCTACATGTATTTTTCATGTTCAACCATGTGTCCTATATTTTAATAAGTACTTTTATTTATTAAAATATTTTAATATATTTTAATAAGTACACAGTTGTGATGACAGCATAGTTGAACATACAGCTACTTCCTCATGAAAGAAAATGTTCTGAAATGACCTTCTTAGAGAGACAGTTGTAGAATAACATTTGATAAAAATATTGATTGTTTTCCAACCTCAGGTGGGCTACTGTTATGCCTCCATTACTTGGATCCAGTAGTTGGGCCCTTTCTTAAAAATTCTTAACCCACTCATGGAAGAAGATATATAAAACACACCAACAATTAACATAAAATAAGCTTTTGATGTATAAATGTTTATGAAAAAAATTTAATTTCCACAGACATTCATTATTAATAAGATTCTATATTTCAAAATCAGTGCAATGTTTATTGAAAGTATTAGTTTTGTTATTTAAGGAACGAATCCTATAATCGTTTTGTTTCTAAAATTAGTTTGACTTGGCATACCATGTTAGTCTCTGAAAAACAGGTTTCTGATCACAAAAAAAACTTGCTTAAAAAAAAGCCAATATTTCTTAGTTCAAATGAAATTTGATTAATATCAACAAAACCTGTATCTTTGATGTGTGATATGGAGTAGAGAAATGAGTCGCTGTGGTTTACGCCAATACTTGCACTCCCTTGCACTGCTCACAGTAATCTTTAGGGGCAGTGATAATCTAATGTCCTGATTAAGTGCAAATATACAGAAGCCATGTCAAGTAAGTTCTCTCAAGTGTCCTCATCATTAACTCCAAAACGACTAAGATAGTTTCTTTCCTTCCTCCCTCCTTCCCCCTTCACAATCCTTCTGCTCTGGCAAAAGTCTCTCAATCTATGGTCTTCATTCTTCCCCTTGTATTATATCCCTCATAAATTATCCCCACCACTTCTTTCCTCTCCATTTAACACTAGTATCTTACATATTGATAACTTCTATTTCTTAATCTTTTTGCTATTTCCCCTGTGAGGAGAAACATGATCAGAAATAAAAGCACAATGGCACTTTCCCTTGGCCTTGTTTTGTCTTGAACCACTATCCAATGACAATCCAATGGCAAACAGGCATATGGAAAGGTTCTCTATATCACGGATCACCAGAGAAATGCAAATCAATACTACAGTGAGATATCATCTCACCCGTTAAAATGGCTTTTATCCAAATGAGTTACTAATAAATGTTAGTAGAATGTGGAGTAAGGGGGACTCTTATACACTGTTGCTGAGAATGTAAATTTAGGACAGCCACTGTGAAGAACAGTATAGAGGGCCCTCAGAAGGACTAAAAAGCCACCATACCATCTAGCAATTCCATTGCTAGGTATATGCTCAAAAGCAAGGGAACTGGTATATTGAGGAGATGTCTGGCTTCCCATGTTTATAACAGGACTCTTCACAATAGTCAAAATTTAGAATCAATCTTTTTTCACAAACAGACACATGGATAAGGAAAATGTGGTATATATACACAATGGAGTGCTGTTCAGCCGTAAGAAGACAATCAGATCCTGTTATCTGCAGTGACATGCATGGAACTGGAGAACTTTATGTCAAGTAAAATAATATAGGCACAGAAAGAAAAGCTTCACTATTAACTGAATGCTTACAATTCTAAATACTGGGAATACAATGGTAACCATAAACCTGAGATTCCTGCTCATGTAGCTGACATTCTAGTGAATGAGGGAAAGAAAATAAATTAACAAGTAAACAAATACATAACTTTAGATAGTAATGAGTTTTGAAGTAAACACAACTAGGAGTATTAGAAAGAGCTTGACTAAATGAGGATCTACTTTATATGGTGTGTTCAAAGAAAATCTCTCTGTGTTGTGATATTCACAATGGGCACTAAGTGATGAGTATGACACAGCCATTCAAAGCAGAGCAGCATTCTAGGTGGGAGGAGCAGCTAGTGCAGAGGCCCTGGGTCACAACAAGCTGGGTGTGCTTGAAGAAATGACAGTATGACTAGATAATCATGAGGGAGGGACGGTTTTTAGGAGAAGAAATTGGGGAGGCATGCAGAGACCAGGGTTTCTAGGTCTTCAAAGGAATATCATAAGTTTGGATTTTATTTGCATAAGAAGCCACTAGTGGGTTTTATGGAAAAACATGATTTATATTTCAAAACAATTACCCTTGCTACTAACTGGGGCATGGAATATAGCTGGGGAAGCACGGAAACGAGATCAGTTTGGAGGTTGTTATATTAGACCAAGTGCAAGAAGATGGTGGTTGGGAGTAGTTCTGTATCAGTGGATATATAGATCCTACTTGAATGTATCAGTCTGAATAAAAATAAAGCTGTACAAAATTAAAAAAAAAAAAGAAAAAAAAGAAAAGCTTCACATGTTGTCATTGTCACGTCTGGGACTGAAAAATTAGAACAATTATTTTCATATGATTAGTGAGTAGAAGAATTGTTACCAAAGGTTAGGAAGAATGTAAGGGTGGTGGAAAATGAGAATGCTTAATGCAAACAAAATATAATTAGATGTAGCAAATAAAATCTAGCATTTGATAGCATAATAATGTGATTATAGTCAGTGATAATTTGTTGTACATTTTATAATAACTGAGTAAGTACACTTGGAATGTTCATAAAACAAAGAAATGATGAATGTTTGAGTTAATGGATACCCCAATTAACCCTGATGTGATTATTACACATTGTAAGCCTATGTCAAAATGTCTCACATATCCCATAAATATAAGCACCTATTAAGTACCCATAAGAATTAAACACAAAAATTACACAAAATTAAAGGACATATATAGACACACACACACACACACACACACAGTGTACTAATTAGAACATCAGACTGGCTTAAGATCATCAGTGTAACATAACTGACATGAGGCAAATAAAGTTATAGTAGAAAATCTTCCAACAAAGAAAACTCCAGGCTCAGCTAGCTATGCTGATGAATTGTACCAAATATTTTCAGAAGAAACAATACAACACTAACTGTGCAAAAAGAAACAAGAAAGAGTACATCTCAACTCACTATATAATGTTAGCATTATCCTGAACCAAAACCAGACAATGATATTACCAATTAAAAAAACCTCCCTCATGAGTATGAATGTAAAAACTGAACCAAATTGTGAAACAACCAAGACATCCTCCAATAGGTGAATGAATAAACTGTGGTTAAACAGTCAAACAAAGGAATATTACTCCATGTGAAAAAGAAATGACCAATCAAACCATGAAAATACATGAAGGAACCATACATGCATATTACCAAGTCAAACAAGCCAACCTAAAAAGGCTATTTTCTGTATGATTCCAACTATATGACTTTCTGGAAAATGTAAAATTATGGATACAGTAAAAAGATCAGTGGCTGCCAGAGGGTGAGGGATGGCAGGAAAAGATACACAGGTAGAGTACTGAGGATTTTTAGGGAGGTGAAAATAACGTATTTGACATGCATTCATATCAGTCTACTTTGGGACCAAACCCATACGATGTATAGCACCAGCGTACAATGCACACTACGGGCTGCAGGTGATTCTGATGTCCCAATATAGGCTCATCCGTTATAGCAACTGTACCACTATGGGAGGGTTACTGATAAGGAGGGAGGCTACATGTGTGTGCAGGTAGAAGGTATTTGAAAAGTCTCTGTACCTTCCTCTCAATTTCGCTGTGAACATAAAACTGGTCTAATAAATAAACTCTTTATAATAAACCAATAAAGACTTTATCATAACTTCTTTAGAAAATTGAATCCAACAGTATAATAAAAGGACAATACATCATAAACAAATGGGTTTTTTTCCCAGGACTGCAGGGTTGGCTTAACATTCAAACATCGTTGTTATCTGCCAGATTAACAATGGAAAACAGTAGATCCATAGAATCATCTCAACAGACAGAGGCATTTGATACAATTCAACACTCATTCCTGATTTTGTAAAAATGAAAAGTCTCAGCAAAGTAAGAATTTTTCAGCAAGATAAAGAGCATCTATGATGAACCTACAGCTAACATGTATCACGGTGAAAAACTGAGTATGTTCCCCAGAAGATGAACAACAACACAGGAATGTCTGCTTTTACTGCTTTTATGCAGCATTGTTCTGAAGACTCTAGCTAGCGCAGTCGGGCAAGAAAAAGAAATAAAAGTCATCCCAGTTGAAAAAATAAATAAAACTATCTTTATACATGACCATGACCACACAATAGGTTTCAGTAAACTCTAACCTGTGGACCAGCTTCTTGTCTTCGTCAATGAGCACAGCTGTGTTCATTTATGTACAGGTTGTCTATGGCTGCTCTCATACTACAGTGGCAGAGTCTATCAGCTACAACAGAGACCCCTTTTGCCACAAGTCTTTAATAAGAGGGTACTTTGAGAAAGAAAAGGTTTGACAATCTTTGGTCTATGGAGAAAATCTGATCAAATCTACCCAGAATGTACCAGAACTAATAAGTGAGTTCAGCAAGATTGGACTATACAAAATCAACATACAAAAACCAACTGTATTTCTGTATATTAGCGATAGAGTAAAATTTTAAAAATATCATTTATGACTATATAAAAAACTGAACAGCTGATAAAACATAAAAAGACCTATATACTAAAAACTACAAAATATTACTGAGAAAATTAAATATGACCTATATAAATGGAGACATACACTTTCTTCAGGAGCAGGAAGATTCATTATAGTTAAGATGTCCATTCTCCATAATCTATAAATACAACACAATCCCAACCTAATCAATCCCAACAAGCCAGCAGACTTTTTTTTTAAATTGACAAATCGATGTGGAAATGCAAAGGATCTAGTAGAGCCAAAACAGAACCAATAACAAAATCTGAAAACTGATTTTGAGAATTATTACAAATCAATAGTAATAATCCAAAAACCAAATGTGGCCACTGGTACAGGGATGAGGTATCCCTATAAAAAATGGCTTGGGACAGAAACAGCTTCGGTGAGTGAGATCCAGCTGACAGACAAGACTCCGTCTCTTGGGACCAGAAGTATTGCAGATTTTGGATTTTGGAATATTTGCATATACATAATGAGATCTCTAGGACATAGAACCTAGGTCTAAACACAAAATACACTTGTTTTTCATATACACCTCATACACAAAGCCTGAAGGTAATCTTATTTTATTATTTTAATTTTTGAGACAGTCTTGCTCTGTCACCCAGTCCAGAGTGCAGTGGTGAGATCATGGCTCATTGCAACCTCTGCCTCCCAAGCTGAAGCGATTTCTTGCCTCAGCCACCTGAATAGCTGGGAATACAGTGTGCATCACCATGCTCAACTAATTTTTGTATTTTTAGTAGAGATGGGGTTTTGCCATGTTGGCCAGGATGATCTTGAACTCCTGACCAAAAGTGATCCTCCTGCCTTGGCCTCCCAAAGTTCTGGGATTACAGGCATTAGCCACCACGCCTGGCCTCTGAAAGTAATTTTAAATATTTCATAATTTTTGAATGAAACAAAGTTTGTGCACACGAGCTCAGTTATGGAACTTTCCACTTGTGAGATCAGGTTGACAATGAAAACATTGTGGATTTTACAGCATTTCAGATTTGGGATTTTGAATTAGGGATGCTCAACCTATAAAAAGAAAGTCAAATACAGACAGTCCCCAACTTCAGGTGGTTTAACTTATTAATTTTACAATGGGTTTAATGAAGTATTACTTAGCTTTTGACTGAAAGGGTGGATTTATCAGGAAGTAACCCTACCATAATTTGAGGAGCACTGAATTAATAGAATTCAACAGAAAGTCCACAAATAGATGACATATAGCTAACCAGTTTATTTCTGACAAAGGCAGGATGGCAATGTGGTAGAGAAAGGATAGCCATTTCCACATATAGTGCTCAAACAACTGGCTGTTCAGATCCAAAAAGTTAACTTGAATCTATACCTCATTCTATATACAAAAATAAACTCAAAATGAAACATGCATTTAAATCTAAGACCCAGAACTATAAGACCCCTAGAATGATGCACAGAATAAAATTTTTGAGAAAATTACTTGTGCTAGGCACAGTTTTCTTAGATACGACATAAAATGCAAACTCTAACTAAACAAGTTCTTCAAAATTTAAAACTCTTCAAAAGACACTATTAATAAAGTCAACCTACAAACTGGAAAAAAAATTCTTGTAAAGTAATAGTATCCAGAACTATTAAAATTCATCAAGCAAGAAAACATCAATCTAATTTTGTAAATGGAAAAAGATTTGAAAACATAGTTCACCAAAGAGGATATACAGATGGCAAATAAAACCATAGAAAGATGTTTAATATGTTTAGTCATTAGGATCATGCACAGTAACCACATCCATGAGAATGGCTACAAATAAATACTGCAATACTTAGTGTAACAACGCAGCAACTGCAACCGTCCTATTCTGCTGATGACAATACAAAATGGTACACATCTTTTGGAAAACAATTTAGCAGTTTTTCTAAAAAGGGAACATAAGGCAGCAAAGGACACTTTTGAGGGTGATGGATATGATAATTGTGTTGATTATGGTGACAGTTTCACAAGTGTATACACCTGTCAAAACTTACTAAATTGTACATCTTACATATGTGCACTTTAACATACATCAACTATATTTCACTAAAGCTAAGGATTGTAGGAGCAAACACCTGGGCGCTGGCTGTGACACAGAGAGAAACAAGGGTATGAAATGAAGTAGTATAAAGCCAGAGCATTGTCATCTTTACCTTATAGCAATGACAAGTTGCAGCTGGGTGTTAAGCAATCGGGTAACATGATCAGATGTGAATTTTAAAAATGTATATAATTATGGTTGCAGAATAGACCATGGTTTTGGAAGGTGGGGAAGTAGGGAAAAGAGTTATAAGTTTATCACAGTATTCAAGGTATGAGATAATGACAACCTGACCCTGGGTAAAGGCATATTTCTGAGATGAACATCCCTATAACACATCAGTGATCTATGGTACGGTGTTAAGCAATGTGTGCATACATTACTATAGGATAGGGAAAAAGCCTTATATTTATGCATTGGTCCTACCTTTATGCTCCATTCCATGTTGTTCAATGAATAACATAAAGTTTTTATCACTGGAATAAGGCAAGTCATCATCCTCCGAGGATGTTTCAGGTGACCAAATTATGTCATTGAGGTCATCCTTGGAATATAGATCTCTTTTAACCTATAATAAATAACACTGTTTCAAAATGTCTACCAAATATTTATGGCAAATACTAAATGTACACCAGTGGGAACTATTCATCTTTTTCTATGAGCAAAACCAAAGTACTTCGTAAAATAACTGACTTTGGTTAAAAGGGTACCTTTACGAATGGTTGCTGTTGCTTTTTGAAAGCCAATGTCTTTACAACAAAGGATTTTCTGTTTTTTAAGTGAACTTTAATAAGGAATTTTCAACAACATTCTTGACAATATACTTTTACAATACCTTGTTCTTTTCATTAGAGGTTTTCCTTGCAAGCCTAAAAAAAAAAAAAAAACCAAAAAATTCCAATCAGGCAAATAGTAAATATGTAAAATACAAAGAACATCTATAACTATTTCTTAAATAAAACCTCTGTATTTGTAATTTCTCTCTCCTATTCATAAAGTTTACAGGAAATTTTTCACAGGTGATATAAAATACAATTATTTTCTACAAGGGGATAAAACTATAAATGGAAAGGGTATATTATAGGACAAATAAAATATATTACTACTAATATAAAACAATTAAGTTTAGATCAAGTTTTCTGACAGCCAAAGAAAAAGAAGAAACATGTTACTTGTATTACTTCATAGAAAAAATATATATAACACACTAGTTTTTTCTCTTGTTGCCCCTCCCTCCGTTTTTTTGTTTGTTTGTTTTGTTTTATTTTTTAAAACAGAGTCTCACTCTGTCACCCAGGCCAGTGTACAATGGCGTGATCTCGGCTAACTGCAACCTCCACCCCAGGGTTCTAGTGATTCTCCTACCTCAGCCTCCTGAGTAGCTGGAATTACAGGCACCTGCCACCACGCCCAGCTTATGTATTTATTGTTTGTATTTTTAGTAGAGACGGGGTTTCACCATGTTGTTCTGGCTGGTCTTACCACGTTGGCCTGGCTGGTCTTGAACTCCTGACCTAAGGTGATCCACCTGCCTCGGCCTCCCGAAGTGCTAGGATTACAGGTGTGAGCCACTGCACCAGGCCTTGTTGCCCTTTTATATACAAACAAGCTTTAATTGATACTAAGACCTATGTGATAAATATTAATTATGTAACAAAAACCCTTATTTAAATGATGACATTGGTGAGCTTTTCAGGACATACTGTGCAGGTACTGTGTACTATTCTAAACACTGTACAAGTGTTTAAGTGTCTTGAATCCTCCCAACAATTCTGTGTAGTAGGTAACTTACTAGGCATTTAATACAGGAAGAAAGTAGGCAAGGAAAGGCCATATAATTTGCCCAGGCCCGTAAAACTGGTCAATAGCAGACTAAGCATTCAAACCCAAGAACTCTGGCTCCAAAATATGTGTTTCAGGATACTCTGTAATATGCTATAAAAGTAATATTTATTTTCAACTGTTTAAAAGTAATATAAAAGCAGATGAATTCTTATTATCTATGACTACAAATAATCTCTGAATCTTGCAATTTTTTAAAGTAAGATTTTATACCTATGCAGTTTTGGAAACCTGCTTTTAGTAATCTGAAAACTTGGTTTCTCTAAAGAAATTCACCAAAAAACATTAATTCATCCTTTCAACTATTCATGTATTCGACCAACACTTACTGAGTGTACAACACATGTCAAAGAGCCTGTTGATTGGTCCAGGGAAATATATATTTTTTTTTACCTTTGAACTATACAGTCCAAAAGTAACAGTCTGCAATGAATTTTTTCAGGAGTTTGCTTTTCTATTATTCATTAGAAAGCCTCCCTCTCCCCACAATCTGAAAAACCATAAAGGTGACACGCCTGTTATTTCAGAATACCTTGCTAAAGCACAGCTATTCGTGATGCTACTTTCAAAGGTACTGTGATACATAAATCATCAGGGAATGTTTAAATTCTATTCAATATGACTCAAGTGTTTGTATGTTTATTATTACAGATTCTAAAAATATATGCATGTGAGTTTAACTTTTAGGTCATCATTTTCACGTACCATTACATTAAAATATTCCATTCCTGAACCAATTCTTAAAGAAAAACCTCTCCCAATAAAATGATACGTGAATAGAAATTGTAAGAATTGATTTACTATAAATATTTAAAAAAGAATGGATCAAATTTTCCAAAGCTCACACATGCAAACAAAACTAAATTCCAAAAACACATTTCTTCTCTACTGGATTATTCCAAACAACAAACAAAAATACTCTAACAGTTTCCATTTTAAAATTGAAAATGAAACAAAAGTCTCTTGAATCTCACATTCTTCTTCTTTACTTGTCACCCATTTCTCTACTTCCTTTTGCAGTCAAAGTTCTCTCAGGAGTTGTCTGTGTTTAGCACTACAGTCAGGGTTCTATGGCAACCAGCTGAAACTCCTCCTTGACAAGGGCACTAATCATCATCTTAATCAGTCTTCCAGCAGCATTGATACAGTTGACTATTCTCTAGATTAGGCTGTCTACACTAGTTTATTTCTAGATAAAGTAATCACTGCTAATATTCCTTCACAGGGAGATAAGAAAATTAGAGATTTTATCCTCCTTCATCCTTAACCATTTCACTAAAACTGCTATCATTATTTTTACAGAAGACTGCCAGTCTTCTAGACTGGGTAGAAGACCAGTAAGTACACTGGCCTTCTCAAACACTGGTGTAACGACAGGTTCTTTTGAGGTGTATTTTTAAAATTTTCATTTTTCTTTACTTCCTTCACATGCAAGGGATGATCACTACTTTAAAAAATCCATTAAAAAGCCAATGCTTTCTAATAATTCTACTTACAAAGAATAAAAAAATTATTGTGAAATTCATACTCTTCTCCATCTCAATTTATTTACTAATTCAAAAACCAATTTGAACTACCAACATATCCAAAGAAATGTATATTCCCAGCTTTAAATAAAAAAAGGTAATCAGCCGAGCGCAGTGGCTCATGCCTCTAATCCCAGCATTTTGGGAAGCCAAGGTGGGTGGATCATGAGCTCAGGAGTTCAAGACCAGCCTGGCCAAGATGGTGAAACCTTGACTCTACTAAAAAAAAAAAAAAAAAAAAAAAATTAACCAGGCGTGGTGGCGGGTGCCTGTAATCCCAGCTGCTTGGGAGGCTGAGGCAGGAGAATTGCTTGAATCAGAGGTTGCACTGAGCCAAGATTGCACCATTGCACTCCAGTCTAGGTGACAGAGCAAGACTCCATCTCAAAAACAAAACAAAACAAACAAAACAAAAACAGGTAACCAGGCCAGGCGTGATGGCTCACACCTGTAATCCTAGCACTTTGGGTGACCAAGGCAGGTGGATCACTTGAGGCAAGCCTGGCAAACATGGAAAGACCCTGATTCTATCAAAAATACAAAAACTAGCTGGCGTGGTTGTGCACGCTTATAATCCTTTGGAAGCTGAGGCATGAGAATCACTTGAACTTGAAAGGTAGAGGTTGCAGTGAGCTGAGATAGTGCCACTGCACTCCAGCTTGGGCAACAAAACTAGACTTTGTTTCAGAAAAAAAAGCAAAACAGTTAACAGGTAATTATGACACAACGCAGTATGTAAGAGCTGATCTAGAAAAAATTATATCTGAGCATGAGGAAGACTTTATGGAAGAGGCAAAAGACAAGAAGAGCTCACCAGGCCAAAACAAACAAATAAACAAAAAACAAAACAAAACCAGAAACAGTAGGAGAACACCATTCTACATAGAGAATAGAATGTGAGCACAGGGATTAGGCACGTGGCATGCAGTTGTTTCCTGGGAACTTGAAAGGTAAAGTGTAAAACACATGAAAGTAAACACTGAGGGAAGAATGCTACACTAAACTTGAATGCTACGCTAAAAGGCTGGAGCTCACTGCCTGCAAGCAATGACTCTTAGACATGGGGTCATAGTTGGATTTGTGCCATAGTTTTTAATATGTTTCACTGAATTAAGTTTTCAAAATACCATGAGCTACATACAACCTGAAAGAAACTGTGAAATTACCTTAAAGGGAGAAAATACTTTTAAAATACCCGTATGTCTTTATATATTGTTCAAATTAGCATTATTCTGATTAGATAGAATTTTGTTTGAAAATAGAATGATTTTATTAGAAACTTTTAGCATAGTATCTATTTCTAATAAGAAAAGCTGAGTGATCACAATATTGGGGTTTGCTCCCGAATTAGAAAACCATTTATACAGAGAGTATAGCTCATTAAAAAGAGCCCAAAGAATCCAAAAAGGGCATATAATTGCCAGGTAAAATTGTCAGAATGAACTCATGTCAAACTGTATTTTAAGTGAGTATTAATGTTTAAAACTATACACCAGGATAAACTCTATTCACTCATTCGGTAAACATTTATTGAGTTGCTACTTACTATATGCTAGGTCCCTTCCTAGGCAATGAAAAACACAACGATGACAAAATCCTACTCATGAGCGCCAAGTAAACAAAACAACTAACAGCAGAAGCAAAATATATAGTATGTTAGAGAGGAACAACTCAAGCAGGAAAAAGGAGTGTTTATGTGCAGGAGGGGCAAGGTGGTGAAAATATTAGGATGACTAGATAAGACCTTGCTGAGAGAGTGGCTTTTAAGGAAAGAACTGAAGAAATGGAAGGAGTAAGCAAGGAGGATATCTAACTCCATACAGAGTCAACCGCCCAGTACAGAGGGATGCAGAGTGTGTTCACAAAATAGAAAGAAGTTCCGTGTGGCTGCAGCAGAGTGGAAAGAGTAGAAAGGCAGAAGCATAAGTCAGGAAAATAGGAAGTCAGATCCTGTGGTTCCTTTGGAGTATTAGGAGAAAATCTGGCATATATTTTGAGTGAAATGGGAGGCAATTAGAAGTTTTTAACCAAAAGAGTGACATAATGTGACATGTTTTAATAGGTTCACTGGGTAAAGAATTGACGAAAAGAGGATTAAACATGGAGAAACAGAAAGACCTATTAGCAGTCTATGACACTACTCTAGATGGCCAATCAGATGACAGTGGAGTGGCTTGGACATGAAAGATGTGACTGGCTTCTGGATATATTGTGAAGTTAGACCTGATGAGATCTGCCAACATCTTGGCTGTGGAGTGTCAGAGATGGGGGTCGGGAGAGGGAGACAGAGAGAGAATGTGTGAGTCAAGGAGGACACCAGGGTTTTTGGCAGAGCATTTGCAAGAGTCATTATTAATGGAACAACAAGACTACATAAGGGGCAGGCAGGAGGAAGAACATCAGTAACCAGATTTTGGATCTGATAAATTTGACATATCCAATAGCTAATCAAGGAGAGATGTCAAGTAGACAGGCTGATACATAGGTCTGAAATTAAGGAGAGAAATGGGCTGGAGATATAAATTTGAAAATCATTAGCATATACAAGCTGGTAAAAGTCAGAAGAAAAAACCTCAAGAACTGAGCCCTGGGTCACTTTAATCTGTGAAAGGTAGAAGACGAGGAGATGTAACCAAAACAGGCTAAGATGGATGGACTAGAAAGTCAGGAGGAAAATCTAGGCCAGAGAGTGAGATTCTGAGAGCCAGTGAAGAAAGTGAAAGTATTGTTGATAGGTTACATAAAACGAGATCTAAAAAATTATATCTAGATGCGTTACAGTGAAAAATCAGTGACAACATTGAGAATAACAATTCTGGAGAGTGGTGAGAGTGAAAATTATGGCAGTGAGTTCAAGAGTGAATGGAAAGGAAACTTGAGGCCATGAGTACAAGCAGTTTAATTTTAGGGACATCATGCCCACGTGGCATTATCATGCATGATCTAATTTTCTTCTTGTTAAACTGTATTTTTCAATCCTTTCATAATGATTAAGGATTAATTACATGGTGTGTTTTAACACCTTAATAGTTTTTAAAAATTACATATATATAGCATTTTAAAAGCCAGACAAAGGTAATAAATAACATCATAAAATTATAGAACTAAAAACCCCTTGAACATTTCTATATTATAAAGCTGGTTATCATTTTGCTCATGCTTATAAACAAAGACCACAGAAAGACTAAAGGGCAGTATTTCCTACCTGAGAAAAATCACCCAACTCTGAGATATTTTATACTCATCAAATATACAAAATGGTTTGTCATACTAAAATATTAAATTCTATGAGATGAAAAAAGATGAAAATTCAAATAATCTTGTTTTGTCAACTGAATTTTTGTAAATTATATCATAGGAAGTCACTGTGGTAAAATATGGTGCCGTGCATGCTGAAATGTCTTTTAAAAGGATAATGGCAGGCATTCAGAGTGCCCCTAAACAGGAGGTTCACTGCATCAGCAGCACCCTGGTTTGGCACAGGAGTCAGCAAATCAGTACTTGTGGGCCAAATTCAGCCCACTGCCTGTTTTTGTAAGTAAAGTTTTCTTGGAACACAGTGCCACCTATTCATTTATTGTCTGTGAAAGATGTCAGAAACCTTCTGGTCCAGAAAGCCTAAAATAGTTACTATGTGGCTCTTTACAGGAAAAAACTGGTCAACTCCTGACTCGGCAGATCAAAGATCCTTTGATATAGTTTAACAAGTTTTACCAATACGCCGAATATTTACATGGAATACAGATCCCCATGTGCAATCCCTTGGGAATATTCAGATTATTCTGAGAATTCAGTATTTGAGCACTCATGCATTGAGAACAAAAAAGCAAATGTCGTAACTAGCAATTTTGCTGGTAACGTAAAGTGCCAAGGTAGCATGTAGTTTCCTTTTGCAACTCAATAGATATTACAAGTATTAAGACATTACAACATTATATTCTGACAAAATTTACTTAAGTTGTGTTATCAAACTAAATGTAAATATACTTAACTGATGAAATAATCAGTATATTATAGATCCAACCTCATTTTTGAAAGAGACTTGCATACCACATTATTTAATGGGTATCACAATTTACCCATTTCCTTATTAATAGGATTTTAGACTATCTCCAGCTTTTTGATATGACAATGCTATAATGAAAATTCTTCAATGTATATGTAATATATATTAATATCCTTAACATACTTTTGTTATACTTAAGATGTTTCATAAACATGTTACAAACATACACATAGAAATACATAAGACATATATGCGTGCATGTATGTATATCTATATGCATGTAGCCAACACATATATATATATAACATACAATAGGCCAACGTATATATGTAACATACAGTAGGGAAACATACACACATACACAGATACATATATCAGAATATATATGTTGGCTGATTGTATGTTATATATAACATGTAATAAATGTCCATAACTTGTGTGTATGTGTAAAGTCGTATTTCCTGCAGGATCCAGTCTCAGAAGTAAAGCTGACACATTAAAGGAATGACATATTTGAAATTTTGATACATGCTATTAAATTACTCTTCATTAAATTACATATTTACCAAATTTATTAAATTACATATTTACCAAATAAGTGTACGAGAGAACTTTTTTTCACATTTGCCCACACTAGTTATGTTTTAATAAAACACCAATATGCTTGGAAAAACTGTATCTAATTGCCTGTTAATTTGCATTTTTCTGATTACCACGTAAGACAGAATATTCCCGGTGAAAGTATAAATTTAATTAATCATGCATATTATTTGAAATTAGAATTCATTTGATAGTACAATAACAATAATGTACTATCAAATAGTGCTATAGGCTTACCTATTGTACTCTTCCCTCTTCTGCCTGGGAAACTGATGATCATCAGATTTCCTGCCCCTTCTTTCTTGAATTAATTCATCATCATCATCATCATTGTCACTGTCATCAGCATGTAGGTTTCTTGACACTTCCATTTTCTTATTTCTGCACTTTCTCATTTTTTCTGCAACCTTCAATGAAAGTGTGACACTGAGAATAAATGTCATTATTTCATCCAATAGAATAAACTGTTCATTCATTTTGTCGCTTGACTCAGTCTGTCATGATAATAGTCATTAAAATACTTTGGACTTCCATTTTATTATATAATTATTAGCATAAGTTATAATTTTTCCATTGAAATTCATATAAAGTCTAATTCATTTCTGTTTGAGTGACTACAACAAAATTTTCCAAACTTTCAAAAAGGGTCCATTCCAAATTTGTGCTTTTATTCCCATCCACTCTTTGCTAATATAAATTTTCACCATTTTGTGACCAGCAGAAATAGAGAAACAAAAGGAGAAAGGCATGAAATCTGTCCTCTTCTATTTTTACCTCCTAGAGTTTACACTGAATGGCCAGATTTAGAGAATGTGACATTGTGGGGCTTCAGGAACAGAAAGGAAGCTTTTCCCTCTCTGGGTAAGCTTTCCCCACTGTCTTTCATCTTTCTTTATTCATTCGGATCCTAGACTTCAAAAATGTGAAGGTGCCTGCTGAAATGCAGGAACCAAAATCGAAAACCACAGAAGCAGAGTGAAACTGCTGAGATGCTAGTAGAGTTCTGGAAAATGAGATGCTTTCCAAATTTCACATTCAGTAACCATGAGATTTTATAGCTGGAGAACAGACAGTGTAATTATCTACTTTAGCCCTGTTATCAAAAAAGATTAAATGACTCATCCAAAGCTCCTAAAGTGGCATTTCCTAGCATTTTGGGGCTCAGAAACCAATAATGCTATTTCATAATGCCGAGTCAGATAAATTATCTGATAAATTCATCAAATTTATCAGAAGAATTAAAAGTATCACTCTGGGAAAGTAACTTAATGCTTCACCGGGGCTGAGAGACCTCATCTACTTTTACTTTTAAAGGTGGGTATCACCAGATTTTTGTCTATCTTTAAAACTTGATGTACAGAAACCAGGTTTCTACTTTGGAGTCAAAAACTAAATTCTTGGCTGAGAATCTGTGATATTTATATGATAAAGTTATCATGCTAAAATTTATCATACTCTATTAAACAAAATCACATTAAGATCTGATTCGACAGAAACATGTAAAAGTGGTGATTAGAAAAATAGTTGGAGGGAGGTGGCCAGGTGTGGTGGCTAACACCTGTAATCCCAGCACTTTGGGAGGCCGAGGTGGGCAGGTCACAAGGTCAGGAGATTGAGAGCATCCTCGCTAACACAGTGAAACCCTGTCTCTACTAAAAATACAAAAAATTAGCCGGGCATGGTGACGGGCACCTGTAGTCCCAGCTACTCGGGAGGCTGAGGCAGGAGAATGGTGTGAGCCCGGGAGGCGGAGCTTGCAGTGAGCCGAGATCATTCCACAGCACTCCAGCCCAGGTGACAGAGGGAGACTCTGTCTCAAAAAAAAAAAAAAAAAAAAAAAAAAAGAAAAAGAAAAAAGAAAAATAGATGGAGGTATCTATATATATTTGTTTTCAAACATATTTAAGGAGTTCATGGCGAAATTATAAGCCCCAACATAATGAGTTAAATGAATAAACTTGCACACCTGAAAGCACAACATACAACATACACCTTTGACTATGAATATTTGTTCCAACTCTCATGGATAGGTAGATTTTTATATCATTTCTCAGTCATTGCGCTTCCTCCCCACTGATTTCCCACTTTTTTAAGTAAGTGCAATTCACCCTCAAGACTATAGGGAAAAATTAGGTCCTAGAGCTTATTACATTCTTTAAGCAATTTCCTATATGCTTACTCTACTTCAGAAGTATCCATATCCATGGTGCATGGATAGATTAGTTTCCCAGTCCCAATGCCACTTAAAAAACTGATAGATAGACTTGGGTTGATTAAGAAACAAAGACTATAGAATGTTCTCCTGAACTTCTATCATTTAGATAGAAAAATAATCTATTTCCACAGAAAATTATGTATTTAGTAGCCCCAATTTACACACGAGCTTTTCATAAGTAAAAAAGTAGAATGCACCAAATAATTGATCAAGAGGAAAAAACCACGTAGCAGCAAGTGGCCCTCTAAGTCTTTCTCAAGTTGAACTTTTTCTTTCTTCAAAGTCAGGAACTCTAGTTTTCATATGCCTACTTCATTCTTCAGTCTTTGTATACTGTGCCGTAACTGTTCTTCTCAGCGTACTTTTGATGTTCTGTCACTATGTGGTGGAGAGGAATGCACATTTTCTAATCCGGTTTTATTCTTTTATAGTTACTTGCACTGCAATTATGATACAATGGTTTCTGGAACAAGTTTCCGTAACAATAGAAACACCATGCCGTTTTGTTTACTCACATGCTTCATTTCTCTGGAGGAGGTAAGTCACAAATCTAAAAGGCTTTTTGGATCACTACACTGAGGCAGCACATTTCTGATGTCCAATTTGCAATTAGTGTTGTTTTCATCATGTGCCTGTAACACTCTTGGTCTTCTTTTATTTCAATGATAACTACTTCTGGGTTCCTTGCTTTTGTATTTTCTGTGTCATTATAAAAATTCTACTGCTCTGTGTTAAAAACATTTCCAGTGTCTGGTTTGTTATTTATTTTCGTTTTTAAAATAAAAATCAGAAGGTGACTGGCAAGCATATTCCAGGGACCCAGCATAGAAATGAAATGGAAAGACATTTATGAGACTGAACTATTTTTGTTCAGAAAATATCTGGAATACTACACATAGGAATATTCCAGATGCATTCCTTCCTGACCATCACGTATATTATTTTTCAAATTAGAGGGTATGTTCTTTACATTTCTTTCTTCCTGTAGTGGCTCTTCCTCTGAACAATCCAAAGTTTTGGATTCTTCACAAATTTTACTCAATCTCTGCTTTAACTTAATTGTGATGAGTTTTAAAGTTTTTTCCACCCTCATTTGCCTTGTTTGATCCACATTTTCTCCTATTTTTGCACATAAAGGAGTCCTGCATATAGAGATGTATGCTCTCTATTACAGTACTTGTTCGCTTCTGTTTGTTGAGACATTTTTGCAAATGCAAAAGTGGAAGATTAATTTGCTAGTTTTGTTTGTCAGATGTCTTTTTTGTCAGGGTGCATGTTTTAAAGATAACTTTGTCATTAAATAATCAAGTATGGAATAATAAAATTAAAAAATAATAAAACTTTAACTGTTAAACTGCTTATTCTATGTTTATCTACTCCCAATCACCGGACTGTAATTACTTAAGTTAAAACTAATTTATATTAGCCTAAAATAGGGGAAAAATATCAACCATCAATCTTAACTTTGTAACTGTTTGTTTGGACTAAGATTAATTCGTTATGTGTTTAATTTACCAAAAATGAATTAAAAGGTGATTTGCACTATTACAAAGGCATCTTCACTTAAGAAAATTTTATCTCAGTGTATCTGAAATAGTGACACTCAACAAACAGTGCATACTTGAGTGCTTTTTTTCCAAAGATTACTAAGTGATGAGTAGGCAAACTTTTAACAGAAATCAAAATCAACACTAATCAGAAACAAAGCCAAATTCATAAAATTTAATTCAAACTATAAACCGTAATATGATAGTGTTATGTAGGATTCTATATAGACTATAGTCTTAAGTCAAGTTTCAATACATTCTAAAGTCCACTAATGACAGTGATTTAAAAAAATTTTAACAATAGTTACAGACTTCCTACACAGAAATAAGTTAGAAAGTTACTGTTTGTACCCTCACACCAAAGCTCCCATTCTGCAAGTCTGGTTCTCGTGACAGGCAGTTGGGTTGACTTTATGACCCCATTCTCTCCCTGAACACAGATACTAAAGTCAATTAAAATTTACAATGGAGAATACATTTTTAATCATAGTATTAGTGACCAGTAATATATAAAGTTGCAAATTTTGAACCATTAGCAATGATTACTCCTTTAACATGAACCCAAGTCAGCAGCCATCACTGTTAAATTGTTCATAATTTTGACTGCTTAAAATTATAATTCATTATTTGATGTTACCTTATTATACTAGGATGTTATAAAAATGAACAGCAAACAATATTTAGGAACTTTTGGCTTCATTTTCAAGAGAAAAGATTAGCTATAAATCACTACAGATTCTGAAAATATTTTCAGTTTTATAGCCAATTAAAATGTTTTTAAATTAAATATTAAATTATAATCAACTGATTCTAAAAGGCAAGTCCAAAGGTAATTTCATTTGAACTATGTTATGTTACCAAAGCAAAGAAAACCAGAAATTTGAAATTAAATTTTTACAAACCTGTGGCTGGTTATTTTCACATCCTTGAAGCCTGTCTTGCTCTCCCTCTGATATCAATTTTAAGTCTTGTTCTGCTCAAAAATCCATATATTTCATTAAAATGAATTACTTAGAACAGTTAGATAAAAGTTATAGTCTTTATAAACATGAATAAAAAACATATTTTTCTTTTATAAAATGAGAGTTTAAATAAAGCTTAATCTCTAGTGGGGTATCTGCTTCTTTAAAAAATACTTCTTTAAAAAATTCTCCAAAACTTCAACAAACCACGTGGCAAGACACTAGATGTCACCAGAGTCAAGCCATACATTCATCTCATAGATTCACTCACAATTTTATTCACCCATCATCAGTGAACAAAACCACCAGAAACAAAAAAATTAAAAATCCAAAAGAAACAGATAAAGTAATACTGTATATTCTCCTTTACTTTATAATAGTACCTTTGTAACAATACACTAAGCATGTTATTTAGTACTAATAATTTCCAATATGACTTTCTCTTTACCCCTTCATCAGTGTACACTCCGTTCTTTATAACTGAAATGTTTTCCTCTACTATTCTGACAAATTTCTATTCATCTTGTAAGACTAACACACCTATGTGATGTCTTCCCTGATTCTATCTTTCCCTAGATAAAACTTGTATATAATGTAAATTTCATAAGACACGCAGTTAAGGTGTCAAAAGCGAGGTTATATTTCAACAGACTATAACTAAATTACAAAAGTGCACATACTCCAATGACAAGAAAAAAAAAGATCTTCAATAAGAATACCAATCATGACCCTGAAAGGATAAATGTCAAAGATAATGGGTGAGTGGTGTGGCTTATCATTACTGCAACACATCAGATTCATTTATACCATTATCCTACAAGTATCCATCATATTCAACTATTTGTCTTGTAATTGAGGAATTACACAGTTGTGATGAAACATAAGCTGAACATATTCAATTCTCATCAGATAAACTGTTCCGAATTCATCAGCTCAGATAGTTGTAGAATAAGTTAATATGAATATACATCTTTTTAAATTACAAGGTGAGTTACTGCTATGTGTAAATTGATTGTATTGTGTGGTTTGCCCTGTCTTAAAGTTTCTTGATCCACTCATGCAAGATGGTATATAAAACACATCACAAAATAATGTGTGAGCAACTTTCAATGTGTAAATATTTATTGCAAAAAATAAAAATTTCACATTCATTGTATTAAGCTTTTATATTTCAAAATCAGTACAATGTTTACTAAAAACATTAGTTTTGTTATTCGAGGAATAAATCCTGTACTTTTTTTGTTTCTGAAACTACTGTGATTGGGTATACCATCCTAGTCTCTCAAGCACTTTTATGGAACAGCTATCTAATAAAAAAAATAGCTTTCTTAATAAAAAAAATAGCTTTCTTAACAAAAGCAGTAAAAGTTCTTTAGTTCAAATGAGTTTCATTTGATTATCTAATATAAATTTAACTTATATCTTTGATGTGTGATATAAAGTACAGCAATGAGTTGCTATGGTTTACCCCAATTACTGCACTCCCTCCTCCTCCCAGTAATTTCAAGGGCAGTAACAATCTAATGTCCTGAGTGCAAACATACTGAAGCCATCTGAATTAAGTTCTCTCAAGTGTCCTCATCACTAACTCCAAAACTACGGAGATAGCTTCTTTCTTTCCTCCCTCATTCCCACTTCACAGTCTCCATGTCTTTGGAAAAGTCTCTCAGTGTGTGGTCTTTCTTCTTCTTGCATATACCTCTCATGGATTATGCCCACTTCTTTCCTCTTCATTAAGCAGTAGGATCTCACATCAATAATTTCTATTTCATAATTTTACCCTCTGGCTGGAAACATATTCAGAAATAAAAGCAATACAACACTTTCCCTTGGCCCTTTTATGTCTTGAACTGCTATCCAACAGCAGTCCACAGGCAAACAGGTATATGGTTGAGCGCTCAACAGCACTGATCACCAGAGAAATCCCAATCAAAACAACAGTGACAGATCATCTCACCACCCCAGTTAAAATGGCTTTTATCCAAATGACAGGGTATAATGAGTGCTGATGAGGATGTGGATGACGAGGAACCCTCCTACATTGTGGGCATGTAAATTACTACAGCCACTACGGAGAATACTGTGGAGAGTCCTCAAAAAACTAAAAGTAGGCCAGATGTGGGGCTTATGCCTGTAATTCCAGCACTGTGGGAGGCCAAGGCAAGAGGATTGCTTGAGCTCAGGAGTTTGAGACGAGCCTGGCCAATAGGGTGAAACTCTGTCTCTACCAAAAATGAAAACAATTAGCCAGGCATTGTGGCATGCACCTGTGGTCCCAGCTACTTGGGAGGCTGATGTGCGAGGATCATCTGAGACCAGGAGGCTTTTTTTTTATTTTGGCATCTAAAAAAAGAAAAAAAAACCCAAAACTAAAAATACAACTACCATATGATCCCAGCAATCCCATTGCTAGGTATATACTTAAAAAGCAAGGGAATCAGTAAATTGAAGAGATATCTGGCCTTCTCATGTTTATTGCAGCACTCTTCACAATAGCCAAAATGTAAAATCAACCTATTTGTACACCAACAAATGGACAAAGAAAATGTACATATACACAATGGAATATAGTCCAGTCATAAAAAAGAATGAGATCCTGTCATTTGCAATGGCATGGATGGATATACATTTTCTCATCACAAACTTCAAAATTACCAGCTCACTTCTTTCTTTCCCCTCTGTCCGTGCTCACAGTCTATCTACTTTGTGAAAGATTTCTACATCTGCAGTCATGATTCTTCCCACTCCACATTTTTTATGGATTACTACCACCTCATCTCTGCTCTTGTTTTAGCAATAGTATCTTACATCTATAATTTCTATTTCTTCACCTCTTTCTACTTCCCCTCTGGCTAGAAAGATGATCTGAAATAAAAGCAAAATCATGCTGTCCTCTGAGCCTGTTATGTCTTAACTGCTCCCCAGTGGCTCCTTTCCAATTCCTATATAGGAAAAAAGTCTATAACATTGCCACTCAAGAGTGTGGCTCGAGGATCAGCAGTGTCAGCATCGCCTGAGAACTTAATAGAAATGCAGAATCCCAGGCCTGCTGAATCAGAATATGCATTTTAACAAGGCCCCCAGATGATATATTGAAGTGTGAGAAGTTCTGTTCTACACTCACTGTATATGACTTTTAATTGTATACATGCACAGATAACCACACATGCTTATATTCACCTATGGTAGATAAAACATAGAACTGCCTGGTCAGGTTCTTCCATCAATGAGGAAGACAGGAAGAATTAAAAATTTTGCTCCAATTCTCCGACAAGTTTTGGTGCTAGAAGCCCACTATATCTTCTTCCCACTTTTCTAAAACCCTTTTCTTCCTTTTTCTTGAGACGGAGTCTCGCGCTGTCGCCCAGACTGGACTGCTCACTGCCAGCCTCACCTCTCGGGTTCATGCCATTCTCCTGCCTGGGTCTCCAAAAGTGCTGGGATTACAGGCGTGAGCCACCGTGCCCGGCCCCCTTTTCTTCCTTTTTCTAAGGAATTATTCTATTTTGCCACGTTCTATGTACCTTCTTTTTCCTTCATTTACCCCTGCACTCACTGCCTTTCTCATTCTTCATTCCCTCTTCTCTCCTTTCTTCTTATTTCCTGACTTTCCTCAGATCTTAGAATACCTTGAAATGCAGCTATTAATTCAGCTCCTTTAGTGGCACTCTCAATTTACTCTCCTGTGGATGTCTGTTAATATATAAAATGTATCACCTTTTCACTTTTCTTTTTTCTTACTGTGCATTTAGTAAGTGACCTTCCTTTGCTTGTTGTAATACATAAATGATGGTGTTTTCAAGTAAACATTATGTGAAATGCATTTTAAAAAAATACAATTATTACCATCTACATTTCCATTTACTGCATTTTTCCTCTGCTGATCAGCAGGCCCAGATGAATGACCACCATACTTCTGGAGAAGATTCTTGGAGATACTCTGTTAAAATTAATATCAACAATGAGTTTCAATATAAAATAACAATAATAGTTGCACAAAAATGTCCTAATTACTCATTTTAAAAATCCAAATGTCGCCGGGCGCGGTGGCTCGAGCCTGTAATCCCAGCACTTCGGGAGGCTGAGATGGGCAGATCACGAGATCAGGAGATCAAGACCATCCTGGCTAACACGGTGAAACCCCGTCTCTACTAAACAATACAAAAAACTAGCCGGGCGAGGTGGCGGGCGCCTGTAGTCCCAGCTACTCGGGAGGCTCAGGCAGGAGAATGGCGTGAACCCGGGAGGTGGAGCTTGCAGTGAGCTGAGATCCGGCCACTGCACTCCAGCCTGGGCAACAGAGCGAGACTCCGTCTCAAAAAAAAAAAAAAAAAAAAAATCCAAATGTCCTATATTAAAAGCAGTTAGACTTAAAAATAAGAGAAGCTGGTATTGAAAACCAAAACATTTCTTTTTTTTGTTTTGAGAGCCAAGGCTGGAGTGTAATGGCACAATCTCGGCTGACCGCAACCTCCCATTCCTGGGTTCAAGCGATTCTCCTGCCTCAGCCTCCTGAGGAGCTGGGATTACAGGCGCACGCCACTACGCCCAGCTAACTTTTCTATTTTTAGTAAAGATGGGGTTTCACAGTGTTGGCTAGGCTGGTCTCGAACTCCTGACCTCAGGTGATCCACCCGCATCGGACTCCAAAAGTGCTGGGATTCCAGGCATAAGCCACCGTGCCCAGCCTGAAAACCAAAACATTTCAATAGAGAACCTCACATACACTGTTTAGATGGAGCTTATTTTTAATCTTCATTAGGCTATTGACTCTGTAAAACTGAGTATGGAAGGCAAAAGGAAACCTATTTACAGACAAAGTATTAACTTAGGTGCATATTTCAACAAGACACTTACTTCAGAAGACCTAACTCTAATTTGCAATCTCCATCAAAAGTAAGAGGGCACTACAAAAATAAATTTGCTACATTAGGGCATTTAACATTTAAATTATTCCCAATTATAGAATTTTTTATTATTAAAAGAAGATAACTGGCATGACAAGAAACTTTGGAGTACTCCATGTTGTGTATAAAAAGAACACTGATGAAACTGCTTCATTTAGGTAAACAAGGGCTTGAAAAAATTAAAGTTTTTCTTGATAAAATTTTTACTGATAAAAAAATGGTTGAATAAAACTACAAAGTAGTAAGAAAAACTTCTGTTTATGTTTAAATAAATGCAAGCAAGATATATTCTGCCACTCTTTTCCAATTAAGAAATAACTTCAAAAACTAGAGCAAGCCTTAATAAAAAGGGAAGAATAAGAACATTTATTCACAAAGCATCTAAAATGTTCCAGATTCTCATTTGCACATTTTCTTTTCTACACATTGTAAATGATGATGATGATGATTAACCCATTCCCTGCTTTCTGGTCATTCGAGGATGTTTAAAGCAAAATGAACAATTGTTATCCATTTTTCTCTCTGTTCAGAATATCCTCCTTTCAGACTTTCAGGGGGCTTGCTTTTTCTCAGCCTCTAGATGGCAACTTAAATGGCACACAGAAAGATCTTCTCTGACTACACAATTCTACTCCCACTCCCATCCCAATCCTAATTACAAACTTCCTCCATTTTCTGTAATTGAACATTTTCTGTTTTCTTTATAGGAAGCACTTGTAGTGACTTATGCGTTTGTTGTTTCCTTGTTTTTGTGTTCCTACTACTCTAGGATAAGCCCTCATCCTGTGTATTCACTGTCTTACTGCCTAGCACACAGTCCGTACACAATGACAGAAATTTATTTGAGGTCAAAACATTTAAAATCTTATTAGGAGGTCCTGGGTGCCAAATCACCCTATTCCCGTAGGATATCACCAGTAATAGACCGCTAAAACTTACCCTACTCCAATCTGGAAATCCACATACCTATGCTATACTTTCTCATTGTTCTCTTGTCAGTACTGGCTACTTGACAGTACTCACTAAAGGTTAAAAAAAAAAAAAAGACTCGCAGTATGTATTAAGGCACTGAATCCCATTGTGATTCATTTTGTCCCATATTTGCATACATATATTCCAGTTTACAAAATGTTTTCACATTTCTTGCCACATTTGTTCATTACATATACCTAAGAGCTAGATATCAGTACCATCTTTACGAAAAAGGGCACTGACATTCAAATAAGTTAAATAATTTTTCCCAAGGTTCCATAGCTAGTAAGTGACAGGACCAGGACACCAACCTATCTTTTGACTTCCACTCAGTGCTGGTACCACTATGCACCAGCTGCTTCTACCTAAGAGGTCAGGCCGTTCCCATCTCTTTCCACAGTTGTGGCCTTGGAATACACCATTATTATTTTCTACTTATGTTACCACAAGCATGACTGCCACAAAGAAACTCAAAGCATTCTACTGTTAAAAAGAATTAAAACACTATTAAACCAAATTGTTGTTTTTATACTTCCACACGTAGACTATTTCCCATGCTTTTCCTTCTCATAAAATGTTCCTTGCAGATCTACACTGATGATCCAAACATATCAATACTTTCAAGTCCTAGGCACTATCGTTTCAAGTTCCAAGTTCTAAAAAAAACCTTACAGCTTAAACTCTTTATCTCTGCATCTCATTAGGATATTTACACATCCAGATATGCCATAGAATTGTACATGTGCTCCTAGGTTGACCTGGAATAATTCTTTAGTTTTTAGACAAACTTATCTTCAGAACCCGAAGTGATTCCCTGTATTTTCTTTTTCATTATACTATGTTGGCTTCTTAAATGGATCCTGCAAATTAGCAGAATTGTACTATGCAGCAGTAATCTACTTAGCACATAATTATGGTATTCATCATACACTGAAATGTGAGAAAATAATTCCTTTATGGGCGTACGCACAGGTGAGAAAGTAAAGCTCAAGCATCCTATTTTATGATTTAACACCACTTGATATTTATGACAGTAGACAGTACCTTAGAACTACGGGATGATCCTGTATCTTCCTCTTCTGATCCTGATGATGACTTATCTATAAAATGTTATTCACAGACACATTCATGAGACTATTAGTTACTGTAAATTTCAAATACATATAACAAAGTCTATCTCCATTCATGAGTATTTAAATAAAATAAAAATAATAAGAAAAACTAATTTCAGGTTTGATGTAGTTTCAGGAAAAAGGAGTTTGTAATATCAGAAAAATAGCAAAAAAATAAACATATTATATTTGGTTCTGTGATTTTTTTTTTGACAGGGTCTTGCTGCATCACCACAAATGGAATGCAATGATGTGATCACAGATCACTGCATCCTCAACCTCCTCAGCTCAAGTGATCCTTCACCTCAGCCTCCCAGGTAGTTGGGACTACAGGCCTATACTACCACACTCAGCTAATTTTTGTAGTTTTTTTTTTTTTTTTTTTAAGAAGAGACCGGGTTTTGCCATGGTGCCCAGGCAAGTCTCAAACTCCTGGGCTCAAGTGATCTGCCTACCTTGACCTCCCAAAGTACTGGGATTATAGGCATGATCTGCCACACTTGGTTTCCTTTTTTTTAAAGTAATACCATTAAGGCAAATACTTTTTTTCAGAGATATTCACTAACTTACCACTTCTAATTTTTATACACAAAAAAATAAAATTATTACAATTTGTTTGCTCTCGTGGGGCACTTTAAATAATACCATTTTTGTTTCTTCCAGTTGATGGTTTTGTTGCTTCCTCCTATTAAAAAACAAACAAACAAAAAAACTTTACAAAACATCGTATTTCTTTATTCACTGTTCGTATAAAATCATGGCATATCCTGAGAGAAGACAAAAATATAAACAAAAGACAGATTCCACCCTCTATTCAAGTGGGGATATATGAAAAAGAAACAAGAACAGAAACATATAACACTAGGTCTACAATTGTGAGGGCATAAAGAGAGAATAGTCAGTTCTACTTGGAAAACTCTGTAAATGCTGCAAAGTCAGGGCCATATTTTAAAAGACAGACAAAGTAAAGAGTGAGGGTATAAGGGTTTCTAGGCAAGGCAGTATGCGTAGAAGGATGGGACATGAAACCACATGGCAAATGAGAGGCATTAAAGTAAAACTGGCATGCAGTCAGAGGGAATGGAATGGAGAGAGAAAACAGGACAATCAGGCCAAACTACAAAAGATATGTGTCATGCTGGAATGTAAAATTCCCCCTTGATGCAATCGGAATCCACTCAATGAGCAGATGAGTTAGATCATTACAAATATATTTCAGGAAGGTCACCCTGGCAGCAATGTAAAAGGGAGTGAACATGGTGAGGCAGGGGCCCAGCTATAAAAGAGTATTCTAGAATTATAGGTCACAATGTGAACTACAGTAATAAGATATGAAAAGTGGGAAGTAGGTAAAAATACAGAACTTGGTAAGAGAATGCATTGGTGATGTGAGACCTGGAGTGCAGCATTTTTCCTCTTTCAATGTTTCAGTGCTATTTACCAGGTGTTACGTACTAGGAGGGGGAAGCCAGATGACAGAGTAGATTACAAAGGGCCAGGAGTCAGGAAAGAATCACAAACAATGTGTTCACTTTAGGACCTATCAACTTTGAGGCACCCAGGAAAGTTAGAAGACAGATCGGGATAAATACATTTGGAACCGAAGTAGATGGCCTTACTCAGGAAAAGGACACAGTGTTGATAAGACAAATATTTGTAAAATATACTACACTAGTAGAATTAAATAATGCAAACCTATATAGAACTCTGAACTTTTGAAAATAAAAACATGAGGGAAAAACATGGAATTCTACTTTTCAATTATATATTTCCACATTTGTTTCAAGAGTACAAAATATTCCTTAATCTATGCAGACACTTATTTCTGGAATGTTATGGCAATATGCATTTTTGAATTGCATGGAAATATTTAATTCTTGTTTTTTTGGAGACAAATTCTCACACAGTCACCCAGGCTGGAGTGTAGTAGCATGGTCTTGGCTCACTGCAACTTCCACCTCCTGGGTTCAAGCAATTCTCATGCCTCAGCCTCCTGAGTAGCTGAGACTACAGGCATGCGCCATCACGTCTGGCTAATTTTTTGTGTATCAGTTAAGACGAGGTTTCACCATGTTGCCCAGGCTGGTCTCGAACTCCTGAGCTCAGGTGATCTGCCTGCCTCGGCCTCCCAAAGTGTTAGGATTACTGGCGTAAGCCAATGTGCACAGCACATACTGAGCTGTTCTTTTTGGTTGCTTTCTACTTCTTTCCTTCCATAAAGGCAAACCTAAGAACTGTTTATTCCCACCATTTTTCATAAATCTCAATCCCATGCATCTATCTCTCTGGTAAGACTTGTTTTCTGTTATCATCTTGAGGGCTTGTATTTCTTTCTAGGATCTCTGTCATCATTATTAAGATTGAGGGGATGTATGTGAAAAAGCATGGGGAGGGGAAAGATTTCAAAAAAAACCAATCTACCTTTGTAACACCAGGGTTCACTATAGGATTGAGGGAAGGTTTCAGACCAGGGTGTGTAGGTCGACGAGGCTGACCACTGACGATTTCAGGATGGATTTTAACCCCATCTTCATTTTCGCTGTCAGAACTGCTGCCCTCAAGCAAAGTTATATTTCCTGTTCTCACAGTACCATATGTCGTTTTCACTATAGTTAAAGCAAAGAGTATATAAAAAAATGTGTAATTAACTGTCAGTGAATAACACAAGAATAGGCAGTCTTCAGATAGCTTACGATTCTTCCTCGTTGAGAAGATTGCTTGTTGAGAAATAGTCCTTGTTGGTTGTTGAGAAATAGTTCTTCGCTTCGTTAAGTGTTGTTCTGGAACATTCTACAAAGAAAACAATAGCTTTAAGAGAATAACATGTATCAAGTTTGATAACACAATATTCACCAGTACTACATGATCTAACACAAAGAATACAGGTTTTAGAGTCACTCAGATGTATTAATAGATTCAAACCTTAAATCTGCCATTTACTAATCTACATGCTCATGGGGTGAGGATTATGAGAGATGATACAGATATCCTCAAAATGTTACTCTTTTGCCCCTAGTTCATTATTAGACAAATACTGTATCGATTAGAGTATTTTCTTAACCAAAATAACCTAGAAGAAAGCTTACCCATAGGGAGTTTTGAGTATTACTGAAAAAATGAATATATTCAAAAATATAAATATGTGATAATATTTTGGTATTTTCATAAATTTCATCTTATGGAGAAAATGTGAGAACTTAGTTTTTAGTGGTATCTGATTTAAATGGGTAGGCACTGCAAACAATACAAGCAACTTCTATGCTGTTTATAAAAAAGCTGAAACAAATTATAATATTAATTCAGTTCCTTCTGAGACAGAGAGAAAAAAAAAAACAAGAATAAAGCTTGTAGGGCAATGACTGATGAGTGAAATCCACACACAGCTACTAAAGAGGAAGCTGTCACTGAATACGCTGACAATAGAGACAGAAGTGTAATAAAAGAACAGACACTAAAACATGTTGTGCAAGGGAAAAGGCTGAGGTAAATCATTTTTAAAAGGAGAGGCGGGACAGAGAAACATCAAAACAAAAAAGAGACACAGCCAGTTAATCAAGGATGAACTTAAGCCAAGGAAAGAAATAATTTTAAGCACAATAATGTATGCGGAGAAATATAGACACATAACAAAAACTTGTGTTCATAATGGATCCCTGTAGTGACACTTATTAGAATTTGCTCTACAATAAGCTTTTTGTAAAAACTTGTCTAATAAAAGAGTTAATTTTATTACACTAAAATACATGTATCACTACCTGAAAGCTGGAGCACTGTTACCCCAGAGAGAGAAAAATGGAAAAAGAAATATTCCATCAACTTTCCACCTGGAGAAAGAATAAGCAAGCAGAATTCTAAAGAGTAATGTGTGGCTCGAAAATATGTATTTAATAGAACATGAGTTGGGGCTTTAAAAAGTTTAAGAAATTGTATCCTAAAATCGAAACCTAACCTTCCAGTTGAAGAATATTAGAAACTACACTGAATCTATCTTTCCTACTTAAGACATATTTCTAATTTCTTTCCTTCTTATTTTGACGTGTTTTCTCAACACAACTCATCTGAACTTATATATCTTAAACATTGTAAGACGCCAGGCATAGGGGCTCATGCCTGTAATCCCAGCACTTTGGGAGGCCAAGGCGGCTTGATCACTTGAGGTCAGAAGTTCACGACCAGCCTGGCCAACATGGCAAAACCCCTGTATCCACTAAAAAAAAAAAAAAAAAAAAAAATTAGTCAGGTGTGGTGATGGGCACCTGTAATTACAGCTCCTAGAGAGTCTGAGACATGAGAATCGCTTGAACCTAGGAGGCGGAGGTGAGCTGAGATCACGCCAGCCTGGTGACAGAGCAATCCTCTGTCTCAGAAAAAAAAAAAAATAAATAAAAGGGATATAAATTTAAGCCATAGTTTAGAAATGAAAGAGATTTAATTATTAGAACATACCATGTGTATTATATTACTTATAACGTTCCATTATATAGAAACTCATTTGTGTGTTCATTTATTCATACTGAAAACTATTAAAATACTTCTTACACACAGTCACGATTATAGGTACTCCAAATACACAAAAATATGTTTCCTAACCTCCACTCCCGTAGCTCATAGTAATACAGTAGCTTTGAAATTATTATTTAAATAACTAAATAGAAAAGCCTGAGATTTAAAATTTTAGAATGAGATACAATAATTCTGGGTAGGTATTTCTGAAAATTACACTTACAAAAACCTTCTGAAATTAAAGTCTTACCATATGAATACTAAAGTCTCTGCTTACTTCTGTAAGTTGTTATTTTGAACAAAACATGTATTCTTCAGTTAGAGTAAGGCTTTAAAATAGACTCTTAGTGACTTAGAAAATATAGTGGAATCCCTTTGTAATATAGGTTTTGAGGAAGAATTTAAATTTCAAGTCTTTCACAATTTAAAAAAAATTAGATATGGAGTCTTGTTACGTTGCCCAGGTCTCAAACTCCTGGGCTCCAGCAATTCTCCTGTTCCAGCCTCTTGAATAGCTGGGATTGCAGGCACATGACCTCATACATAAATAAATTCTCATAATTTCCAATATTATTTTAGGCTAATTAGAGAACAAAGGATAAAATTATTTTAAAACTCTCTGCTAAAAACTGTATTAATAACAAAATAATAAATGTCCAAGAAGAAAAAAGTAAATATATACTTCGGGCAACAGGGAAACCCCATGATTACTATAACAAGTAATTGGATCCATTTGAGCTTCGTTTAACAAATAAGTAGTATAAAAGTCACGTTAGTATGATTTAACACAGTAAGTATCTTTATCCCAATAAATTTTGACCAAATTTCACATCTCCTCTATTGTGGGGAAGCTTTTGTAATATAATTTTCCTGCCATTATGTAGTTTCTAGCCCATTCTCTTTTTCAGTTCCCATTCCCTCAAAGTATTTACCAGTTATCTGTTACTTACCAAAGTAAAAAAAAGAAATGTACCTAGTCATAGTTCTATAAAATGGTTTTCTCTAACCAAATTTCTATTACACAGATAAAACAAAGGTAGACCACTGTTAAATTTTAAAAGTAAATACTATACAAAACTAGATTCAGAGTGAGAATATTAATTTCACAAGACCACTTTACCTTGGATTTAAAATTGAAGTCACCATCCTTTTTTAGTCGCATACGCACTAAAAAAGTATCCAGTCTGCAGGAAAGCCTATAGAGCAAAAATATACAAGAAAAAAAAATGAGCAGGTTCATTACTTACAAAACAAATAAAACAAAACAAAAATCCTAGCCTATATCTGTATGCCCCCTCCAAAAAACAAAAAAAGAAAAACAAAATCTAGGAAAAAGTCAGCTATCAATATATCACATATCTTGCTGTAAGTAAAACATGACCTTTGTTTTAAAAAATATTTGTTACCTATTTCTGCCTTCAGCTCTCCAAACTTTTTTTTTTGTTTGTTTGAGACAGAGCCTCAAACAAACTCTTCTGTTGCCCAGGCTGCCGTGCAGTGGCCGGGTTCACGCCATTCTCCTGCCTCAGCCTCCCGAGTAGCTTGGCTACAGGCGCCCGCCACCACGCCCGGCTAATTTTTTTGTATTTTTAGTGGACGGGTTCATTGTTTGCCAGGATGTCTCGATTCTGACTCGTGATCGCCGTCTGGCTAATTTTTTTTATTTTTATTTTTTTTAGTGGAGACGGGGTTTCACCGTGTTGGCCAGGATAGTCTCAATCTCCTGACCTCATGATCTGCCCGCCTAGGCCTCCCAAAGTGCTGGGATTACAGGTGTGAGCCACCGCGCCCGGCCCAAACCTAGGGGATATCCAATGCCTACCCAGTCTTACTTCCATAGCAAACAGTGTCAACCAATACACTGGCAGAGACCCACAGTAATTTGTCCTGAAGGCTGGACTGAAAGCTCAATTAACCCAATCATGCCTGAGGTTGCAATTTTTGGAATTTGAAAAATCAGACCTTGGCGATGGCCTTGAGTGGTAAGCTATAAATAATTCTTACAGGCTTAGCATTTCAATAATGGAATACTAGGTATACATGGGTTTAGCTGACATAACTGAGTCCTGGTAGTTGTACCTCTATTTCCCTAAGTACTATATCTAAGTATCTTCCTTCCCATGGGCTCCCACTTCCAGATCCTTCTTCTGCAGGGCTCCATGGCAGTCTCCAAACTTTAAATCTTCAGCCTAGGAAAGCACAGCTTCCTAAAAGAATGAGCTCAAATAATCAAGGGTAGGAGTTCTCTGTTTCCCTGTTCCTGGAAAGTAAGCTAAATGGAGTTTCAATCATCCACCTCCAGCACAGGCATATGACCAACTACCCCACTGAAGCTCCATGACTGATTTGCCAGCTAATCCTACTCTTGCCTTAAGCCTACACAGATATGAGAAGAACATTAGTTAATTGGGAAAAGTGGCAGAGAAAAGGGGATGCCTGGCCTGGACCACAGATCCATGCAGTTCAGCAACCTCCAGTACCCTAGTACTCGATGGGCTCCAAGCTACCCCTCTGTAAGTTGGGGTGGAAGATCATACACATTTCTATATGCTCTAAGACTCTTCCCAGTGGCTCAAATTCTCTTAACATCTTTCCAAACAGACAAACAAACAAACAAAACTTTGATATCTGTCAGTTTTTCCAATCAGAGAACCAAAAAAGCAGCAACCCGTTTAGGACTCTCTTAAACCCACTACTTTAACTTACTTAACATGTCTTTCTTGCTAACTCCCAAAATCCTGTGTTTTTCATTCCTCTAATTTATCACAAAGCCCACTATTCTGATCTCTTTTCTAAAACCCTTACTCTTATCCAACTCAGTGTCTTTGGCCTTCCCCTGCTAATCCCACTCTTATCCGCTTCCATTAAGGTTCACCAGCTCATTCCATTCTCATCCTCTTCCATTGGGATCATTAGACCCACTCTCCCTTTTCTATTATTAAAACACTCACCGACAGGATGATACACAAGAGCACTAGGCTTTGAATTGAGGAAATTGAGTTTGAATCTCATTTGTGTTACAAAGTGTACCCAAATAAATCATTTACTCTCTTTGAGTTTCAGGTTCTTCACCTGAACAACCACTTGACCCAGACGTTCAACACAGATAGAAATACTAAAGAATATTTTGTTTAGTCTCTAAGATCCCTTAAAATCCTGAAATTCTATGTGCTTTTGATTCTGTCTATTGAAAAATGAAGAATATTTAGCTGGCATGAGCACAGTAATAAAAGAAAAAACCACCAAGAAAAGCAGAGAAGAAACAAACAAACAAACAAAAAAATCAAGAAAAGAATACAGAAAACTCATGAAAAAAAAAAAAGGACTCCAGAGAAAAAGAAAAAGCTTTATGGAACTAGGCAAGGTACTTGCCTAAAGGGAAAACCACATAGAGAAGTCAGAAAGTAGAGAAATCAATTAACATTTCCTTTGAATGTGAGCAAAATATAATTAACATAACATAGTCTATATGCAGACCACCTGCAGCAAACTATTCCTCTCCAGGACTTGCCTGATGTTGCTTATGGAAAACCTAGGGCCCTGTAGCCCAGCTGAGTGAGATCTGCCCTAAAAACGTTGATGGTAAAAATAAGGTGCTGGTTACCACCGCAATTGTCAAGTACATTAGGACAAATTTCTGAACTAACCAAGCTTCTAAGAAAGACTCTAAAGAGTGTTAACGTAAAACAAAATGTGACTTTCTGAACTGATCTGATTTGGACCCGTACCTTGATCCCATTGCTGCACACGTCTCAAGAGAAGTGATTTGGGGGCCAGGCACGCTCATGTTCAAATCATGGGTTGGCAACTTGTTAATTAACAGGATCATGGGCTAATTATCCAACCCTCCGAATCATGGTTGCCTAATTATTTAAAAAGTAGGTGATAGCACAAATACTTGCAAAGCAACATGAGGACTACAGGAAATGATAAATGTGAAGCACATAAGCCCAGAGTAAAACAACCAACAGTTATTAGTTTCTTTTCTCTGCAGTCCCTTAGAAGACATATCACTTTTCAGAATCTGTGAAATCCTACCTGTTCATGCAGTCTTCAATGGTAACAGCAGGCGCTACTAAAGAAAAAAATACATTTTAAATCAATAATAGAAACACATAAAATATCAGAATCATAAGGGAGCATGGCAGCAACTGCCTGTAATTCCAGACAGGAAAATAAGATCACAGTCAATTTCTCTTAATAATGACTGTATATCAAGCCAGGTGCCATGTGTGCGCATGTAGTCCCAGCTACTCAGAAAACTGAGGCTGAAACATCACATGAGGTCAGGAGTTGAAGGCTGCAGTGCAGTATGACTGTGCCTATGAACAGCCACTGCACTACAGCCTGGGCAACATAGCAAGACTGCCATCTCTTAAGAAATAATAATAATAAGGCCAGGCGTGGTGGCTCATGCCTGTGATCCCAGCACTTGGGGAGGCTGAGGTGGGCAGATCACTCGAGGTCAGGAGTTCAAGATCAGCCTGGCCAACATGGTGAAACCCTGTCTGTACTAAAAATACAAAAATAAGCTGGGCATGGTGGCGGGTGTCTGTAATCCCAGATACTTGGAAGGCTGAGGCAGGAGAATTGCTTGAACCCAGAGGGCGGAGGTTGCAGTGAGCTGAGATCAGGTCATGCCACTGCACTCCAGCATGGGCAACAGAGCAACTCTGTCTCAACAACAACAATAAAAGAAATAATAATAATTATTAAATAAATGTGCATCATTCACTCAACTGTGATAATTATAGAAGTATATATAGCCACTGGATATAGTATAATACTTTACTACTGACCATAGAGTTCCTTTTGTTTCAAAACTTTTTCTTAATTGCATATAAAGCTAAAAACATGGTTCACCTATTAAAGGTACTTCTTCATAGAAAAAATCAAAAAGTCAAATACTGCATTCAAAATGTAGGATGAGTTTCTATTTCTCTCCTCAAACAGTGGATTTTTATCATTAATGGTCAATAGTACTTTAAACTTCTTTAGCAAAGAAAAAAGCCTTGTAGACTGGGCAGGGTGGCTCATTCCTGTAATCCCAGCACTTTGTGAGGTCAAGGTCGAAGGATTACATGAGGCCAAGAGTTAGAGACCAGCCTGGGCAACAAACATAGCGAGACACTCATTACTACAAAATGAAACATAAAAAATTAGCTGAGCATGCTGATGCATGCCTGTAGTCCTAGGTACTTGGGAGACTGAGATGAGAAGATTGCTTGTGCCCTGGAGTTCAAGGCTGTGGAGAGCTATGATCACACCACTTCATTCTAGCCTCAGCAACAAAGCAAGACCCTGTCTCAAAAAAAGGAAGTTATATATAGATGACTAAAAGTATGATCAAGAAATGGACCTCATATTCTAGTTAAATCACAGATCACAAATTTCTGAAAAATATAATACCAGAAAAGCACTTCACTTTAAAACTATGTCAGATAGAACAACTTGAATTTGACAATCCAGAAGATACTTAAAAAATTCTTGGCAGACCATCATCAGTGACACTGCCATTGTGACAGAAGTTTAGCATTAGAGACTAACAGAATACCTGATATACTTTAGGATAGGTAGCCAATTCTCTTGAAATAATCCACATTTGTCAAACACCCGTCTGTTAGAAATGTGTTCTGAAAATGTTTTCTTTAGGGATGAAATTCAAAAGGAAGCAATAGAAGTGCAGATATCAGAAGAGGCAAATGAAGAGGGAATTGCACTAAGAAAAAGAACCAGGTACTGGGTTTTCTACTGATGTCATCAGAATTCCCAGAATGCTGAGAACTAGTATATTCAGCATATCACCTTATATTTTTCTCCATATTACACAAAAGATGTCAGTTTCTCCAAACTCCTCATCTGTAAACTACACTTCTGATCAAAACTTGAAACTGTTAAAACATGGCTGTATTATAATTCCATGACAGAGGGAGGAATGTGTCTGACAGCAGGTTCCAGTTGTTGCTACCAGATTTCAGTTTCAAAATGTATCCAGAAGAACTTATCAAGTACTTGAGTGTAAATCAAGTTTTTCCACAAGAAGCAGATAAGACAGACAATACTTTTCCTCACACGTGACCTTTAGGTTTTGACAATTCTGGAAAAATGCTGGCACGTGTACTCATCAGTCTAGATTATTTTCCCTGACCCTTTGTACATAGCTGCTGTAGTTACCAAAAAGCTAGGTAGGATCTTGGTAGATTTATTCTTTCTTATTTGAACACCAGAAGTATGAATCACATCTATAGTAAACCTTACAACTCTAAAATCATTCTTTTGAAAAGGGTACCACTAATGAGCTTGTAAAAGTTAAATCCATTTTACTTTTTAGTAATCTTATTTGTTAGAATTGATATTCCCTTCTTGAAATTCTCACTTTTTAAATTTTTGCAACGTCACTTCCTCTGACTCCTCTCCCACTTTTCTCTAGCTACTGCTCATTCTCCTTTGTCACCTCCCTTTTCCTTTGGGAAATCTTGCTATGCCTAGGGTTCTGTTACTGGCTTTCTTGTCATTATACACCTTCTGCACTATGGACAAGCTCATTGAGATCTATGACTTTGCTTAATAATTATAACAGGACCATTCTATGTCTGCAAATCCAACCTCAGAGTTTTATCTGCAGCTAGAAATCCTATTATCCGATTTCCTACAGAAAATATTCTTCCATGGTTGTTCCATTCAACTCAACATGTATTGGAAAAACATTCGTCTTCCCTATTCCCTATACTTCTCTATTCACCTGAAATTCCCTGTTCAAATTCAGTATAAACACTAGTACACAACCTCAAAACTTATGATCTAAGATTTCTCTCTGCCACCTAACTTTTTACTTTCATCAATCACTAAATCATATTAACTGCACCTCTTTTCTGCCTCTGCTTTATATTTCCACTGCCACAATATAAGTATGTTTATATTTCTGAGTTAAACATGGCCTCTTAACTGATGTCTTTCACGGGAGGAGAAAACCCTACCAACTATTAATATTTCTTAAATTGAAAAAACTAAGACAGCAAATGAAAAGGGCATAAGGCCAAGAAAATAAATGAACATTTTTAAATGAATAAACTGAGATTCTTATAATTATTTCACCTTGCATGGGTGAAAACATCACAGTAGATTGAGACTGGAGATAAGGAAACTATAGCTTTGACTACAGACAAAGTTTGTCTCCCAGTCTACATGGTTACCTTTCATCTACCTTCTAAGTGAGGGGTCAGCAAACTACAGGTCACAGGCCAACTCCAGTCTGCCATATGGTTTTGTACATAAACTTTTTTTGGAGCACAGTCTATCTATGCCTGCTTTCACACTTCAGTGGCAGTGTTGAGTAGCTATGACAGAGACTACATGACCTAAAATATTACCTATCTAGCCCTCTACAGAAAAAGCTTGCCAATCCTTGTTTGCACCATAACCAGAATGCCCTAATCCTCCTCAAATCTAATCTTGAGACTTCCCTGTTGAAAAATTTCTAGTGAATGCCTGCAGCAAACATTGCTGGTTCCCTACCTAAGAGCAATTCTTTATTCTTTCTTGCTGGAGAAATGCAAGTCTACTTAGATATTTATCATCCAATATCCCTCCTAGCTCCAAGAAGAGAAATGATTATTCTAAGCAAATCACAGTAATTACATTTGCTTTTCCAGTGCCTGGTTTAGAAACGAGCAGCTAGTGTAACCAAGCCAATAAAATGTCACAGGAAGTCCAACGCAAGCTTCTGACTTTTCTCCATTTTCTAAAAGAAACACGTGAAAAAAAAAACAACCCTTCCAGCCTTTAGATATTGTCTTGTGAGAACATGGTGTTTGAAACTGCTGCTAAGTAGCCAACCATGAAAGGAGGTATCAACAAAACACCGCGAACAGCGCAGCTGAAAGAGGGACGAGTGAGATATGATGATATCACTGAACCACCAAAACAACTTTGGCTCCCATTGTTTTAGCTGTTGTTAGTTAGGTCATCTAATGTTTGCAGTCAAAAGCACCCTACCGAAGAATTTTTCCGTGGCCTACAGATAAGATCTACAAATTTCTAGATGTTTAAAAAGTCTTTCCTAAGCTTGACTTAGCTAGGTATTCAAATCATTTCCAACCACTCTCATAGCATACTTTTTTTTTGTGCTAGCAAAACTGAACCAACTGCTCATAAACTCTGCAAAGTTCCCTCAAGCATCTTACCTTTTGCACTTGCTTTTCCTTTTGGCAAAGGGGCAATCCTGTTAGCTGTTCCTTCTGCCAAAGATACAATCTTGTGAGATATTCCTTTTGACAGGGAGCATTCTTCTGCTTCTTTACCTGGCAAATGTCTACTCACTCTGCATGCTTACCTTAAATCCTACCCATGTTTTAAAATCTTTCATTCCCCACCATGGACATAACATATTTGGCACACACTGAATGCGATAAATACATAATAAACAATAATTATAAACTCCCAGAGGGCATCTGACACACAAAAAGCACTGAATAGAGTAGTAAATAATAAAAATGACAATAATAACCATGGCTTCTGACTATATATTTTTAAACGTTTGCATTCTGTACTTATTAGAAAAATGCTTACTACCTTAAAGACACTTGATATTTATTAAGTGGACATGAGAATGAAAATGTTTTCTTTGAAAACTCTGTTGTATAAGCATAAAAATTATGAGCACCTTAAAGGCCAAAACTATGTCTATTCTACTTTTGTCTCCTGTAACTTGGAAAGCCTAACCTACAGGCATTCTTTCATAAATATACATTAAATCAAAGGTGTCCTCATACACTTCAGATTGTACAAGTGCATTAGGTGTCACATCGAGGTAGGAAAGTAGCATCTTCGTTCTTCTGAAACATTTTTGTATGAAGAAAATTACCAAGCAAACCCTCTGAAAAATGGCACCCAATCACGCCTCTATTTTGGGAGGGAATGTGAAGTTGTAGGGCTGTGTGGCAGAGCACGTATCCTACCTCAAAAGAGGCAGCCCCTGCTCTGTTCTGGTAATGGTTGCTGTACTTTTACTATAATGTGTTCAGCCTAGAGTTGGGTTATTCAAATATTATTATAATAATCTCTTAGCTAATAGTAACAGAGTGTCTTCTAATAAATTGATGTTACCATGACAATTAACTAGCAGATAGAACAAATTTCACCCTAATGAGGTAAATATATCTCATTTTATTTCCACTTGGGGGGAATTAAGTCAATACTAGTGAGACCTTCTTGGTATAAGAATATGTAACATGGCCTGTGCTTCTCAATAAGGAATTTATTTTCTGACTTCTCCACACACTGGGTATCTTTAAAAAATAACATCCTATTGGTATTGGTACAGTTCTTATTGTTTGTTTGTTCATGGTACCAGAAAGGTCTCATTGAAATTCTAGTTTTAAGGAAAGTTACTTTTTTATGACACAAATCACCGTGTCAGAGTTGACCTCTGAATAACACAGGTTTGAACTGCAAGGGTCCACTTATCTGAAGATTTTCTTCTGCCTTTGCCACCTGAGATGGCAAGACCAATCTCTCTCTACCTCCTACTCCTCCTCAGCCTAGTCAACTTGAAGACTGAGGATGAAGAGCTTTATGATGATCCACTTTCCACTGAATGAAAATACATTCTTTCTTCATTATGATTTTCTTTATAAGTTTCTTTTTCTCTAGCTTACTTTATCGTAGTAACAATACAGTATATAATACATATAACATAACAATATGTCTTAATTGACTGTATAATCAGTAAGGTTTCCAGTCATCAGTAAGCCACGAGTAGTTAAGTTTTAGGGGGGAGTCCAAAGTTATACACAGATTTCAAACGGAATGGGGGACTGGTACTCCCAAATCCCACACTGCTCAAGGTTGAGCTGTAATATGTATTTATTAAATGCAAAGCATTTATTTTATAAATTAAAATACCCAATTTTATACAAGTCCAATTCATCATAAGGTGACTATAAAGAAAACATACCACATATTAACTTAAAAATCTTTTTTCTTATTTACAAAAAAATATCATCTAGAATTTCAGAAACTATGATAATGAATTTTTTTCAGATAATACTGCTTGAGATTATAAATTGCCTACAAGTAACCTTTTAAATAATTCTGAAATCTAGATTACTAAGAAAGTAATTTAAAAATATACATTCAATTTATACAGTGGTTTTTTTAAACTGCTGTTTTGTGATCAAAACTGCCTTCCTCTTACTTTTTTTTTATCTATGTCAGGACCATTGAGAGAAATTCACTATCAGAAGTCGTACCTGGATTCCTATTTTGAAGACGTTTACGTCTCTTGTTTGCTTTATATTCAGAAATTAGTCTGCGAATGCTATGTGTAAAAATGTAGTAAATACAATTACTATTTTAATACCAATATGAAAAACATTTACCAAATACATTACATTCTTAAGAGTATATCAAACAATATCAGAACTTTAATTATACACATTTAGTTTGTAAGCTTACAAAATTCTTACTAAGCTTCTAATTAAAGAACAAGCAAAGTACTTATGAAGTGAGGACAGTATAACTCAGTAAATTAACTCATGTAAAGTTGACATAATGGGAAATGATCTGACTCATAATAAGTCCTAGCTCTGTAACCAATGGATATTTGTTCTTGGACAAGTTGCTTCTCTTAGGCTCAATGTCTTCTTCCAAAGAATGAAGGTTTTACCACCTTATTCATTAGGTTATTATAAACGTTTAATGAAATCACATTTTAATGTGCTCAGAGAAATAGTAAAGCAATGGAATAATTTGTTCTTGAACATTTTGCTGAAATTATTTTGGAATCCCAAATGAAACCCAATGTGTATTTTCCCATATGTTCTAATATTAAAATATTATGATCTTTTGAAAATGTTAAGTCCTAATTTTGCTTATTACTTATTCTATTATTTGTAGCTTATGATTTAGGACATCTCAACTATTTCATAGTTTGTAACTAAATTTATAAATAGATTGTCTCATTAAAATAGATAACATGATTATCCATTGTTACTTATGTCAACAATCACACCAAAGGCAGAAAGCTAACAGATGTCAAGACCTGGCTTGGACTACTACTATTTGTCCTCTACAGACTCTAACTCTGAACCAGTGGATCTTTGTTAGAATGATGCTTCCTCTCCATGGTCATCTCCAACTGACAAGGAAGACAAAAACCCTCATATTTTTGAAGTGTCATGAAGGAGATGCAAGTGGTTATTTTCTCATTTCTGAGATACGTACTAACAATATATTTGCACACAACACACCATGGGTTGCTCAGCTCTATTCTTATTTCACAGATTACCTTACCCCAATGTTCTTGTAATGAAAATGTGTAATTTCATTATTGGCTAGCACCTGTTTTGCTTTGACTCACACTGTTTTCGGGAACTTGTCAGCAAACTTGTTAAATGGCCCTCTTGTAACTGTGTAATATGGACTGCTTCACAGATTGGTGCGTCATGCTTATGCAGGGGTCATGCTAATTTTCTCTGTGTTGGCCCAACTTCAGCATATGTGCTGTGAAGCAAGCACAAAGCCCTACTTTTATAAATGGATGCTGATCAGTCATGGATGAAGCTTGGCTCTGTTCAGTCCAACTCACCTACTTGAGACTTAGATAATTCTGACAAATGGCTTTCTATGAGGTAAAATTTGAACATACTTTAAAAACTTGAGGTAGAGGGGCAAGTGGGCTGGGAGATTTTTATTATTATGGAAAACAGATCACTTGAGGGGTCAACCACAAGTTGGTGCCCACTGCTCTGAGGAAGGATAACATGGGACCTTCCTCTATCTAAGAAAAACTGCTACATAAGATATAAAAGAGCTTGGGGTAAAAATCTGGTAACAAAGAAGAAAAAACTTTGATATCTTCCTGCAACACTCTCTGAACACATCTAACAGCTTAGAACTATCCCAACTAATATTTGCTAGACAGAAGACAAACAAGGGACTCAAAGAATAACTTACCACGAAGGTCTAGGATTCCAGGCTAAGATGTGGGCTCCACATGAGGTTTTGAGTATGGGGGGAAGGGTCAACTTGCTCACTATGTGTGTGGGTAAAGCTAGGATGTCCAGCAGCCACAGCAGGGTACTGGTGCTTTGGAAACAATGGCTGGGCATATAAGCATATTTATGTGAACTACAAGTTGTGACTTGGAAACCTACGTATAGATTACTATAAAGACTGAGGATCTGAATCAGAAGGGGCAAAGGTCAATCTTTACCAGACTGCAGGAGCAGTTTCAATGACAAACAAGCAGTAACAGAATCCATATAAACAACAGAATAGTTAGAATGTCCTTTCCTCAACCTCCACCCCCTGCACCCCACTGACTTGTAAAACATGATTGTCTTCCTTGGACTTAGAACCTCTTAGTTTCTTGAAAAATTCAAGGTGGAGGGTATATGAGATAGCTCCCAGGAGACAGTCCAACATTTTCTGATACACTGGACATTTCAAGACTCACATAACTAATTATAAAAATCAAGGATGTGAAACTATTTTATCCCATGCGTAGGGGTTATACTTGGAATGAAATGGAAAACATTAGGATCCCTAAGCATAAAAGTCTTAAGAGTCTCGAGTTAAAGAATCCTACACTCATTGCTACTTCTAACTTGTCTAGTCTTATGCTTGATTTCTGGCTGATGAAGTGGACTAACTCACTGCCACTCCAACACTACCTGAACCCAACTATGAAATCTCACCTGATGTATAAGATGCAATGGTTACAATTACTTTAAACCTCAATTTAGCGTTCACTAGCCTTTTAAATACTTACGCTTGAAAGTTATAAGCAATGGCGTAGTCTTCTGCAGTCCATCCAGATATATCTCGGCAACAGACATCAACATTGTGCTGAAGAAGCTGGAAGACTACACCTGTTGATCCATTACAAGCAGCAAGTATCAGGGCTGTTCTAAAATAACAAAGAGATTGTTTCACGCTTACAAACTTTAGCAAAGTTATGTTAAAAGCTAAATTTATATACTTTACCAATTTAATATGCCTGTCCATGTAGAATTAACCAATTATATGTACTAATAGACACAAGCATCTTGGGTGCTGAAGGGGTCATCTTTGTAAATTGCCACCAAAGCCAAATGGAAGGAACAACAAGGAAGCCTCTTGTCCCACTGGGATATGACACAGCAGAAGTTGCTAAAATAAAGTCTTTGGATGGGCAGGATACTATGCTTAGGTCAACTATCTAAAGTAGCTAAAAATTTAAGCAAAGAATTATCCATTTCTTCCCTAGTCTGACATAATATATTGTAATTCAATATCAGCTTGGGGTCAATAAGTAAGAGCTATCTGCAGGTTTAAAACAATAACAATAATGCTAATAATAGACATAGTAGTTTCAGTTAATAATGCTGACAATCATATGCGAGGCACTGGATTAAATGCAATATATACACACATTACTTATACACAACCACCCTTGAAGGATATATTATCCTCTTTTTTCATATAGGAAAACATACTTGGTGATAAGTAATGTTCCCAAGGTCACACATCTCGCAAGTAGAAAAGCTAAGAATTAAACCCAGTCTTGTGTGAATCTACAGCCTATCTCTTTTTTTCTCATTGTCACCCATGGCTTGTATTCATTAAAAGAAAAGTTTACCCATTTAAAGCTATCTTTTTTCCCTCTGCCCATACTAATTAAAAATAACATCAAAATACGCCAGAGATAAAAAGAAGAAAAAACCCAATGAACCCGCAGTATCTGGCAAGAGCAATTAATAGTTACATAGGAATAACCTAACATTAATATTCTTGAAAGAAAGCAAGCTAAAGCAAAGAGTCACCCAAAAGACAAAGTGATTTTCAACTCTAATTTATCTTTAACATGGTATTTTTAAAGGAAAAGCAGGTAAGAAGCAGAGGTTGAAAGTACTATAGAAGAGTTAAGAAATTTCAATATTGAGTCACAAAGTGAACTAAAAGTTGAAGTCCATACTTTTAAATGAAACCAATATGAAATCCCTTTAGTTAATATAAGATAATATGACTTAAAATATCACCTCATCCATCAACAAACATCAGTCAATATAATGAGATGAATCCTGCAATACACCATTTTTATGCCGCCTAGTCCAAATAATTGTTTTTCTACCTAACTGATGATTTGTGTTATTTCTCTCTACCCCAATAATAATAAGTTAATCTCATCAATGTAATATTTCTGACAAGTGACTGTTACCACTCTAGAACAACACTCAGGTTTAAAAATGCACAAAAAAGAACTACTGTACCTTCCAAAATTATCTATTGCAGTTAAATCTGGTTTTTTCTTCAACAAAAATGTCACCATTTGCTCTTTTTTCCTATTTATGGCAAGTAAAAGTGATGTATATTCATCCTGCAAAACAGCAAAAACAATTTATAATTCACAAAATTACATACTTCCCAACTGAACTGAAAACCTTATGTTAAGATCCTATGAACATAAACATGAAGCAGAAAGCAAATTAAAAGCAATCCCTTCCTTCTCACTCCACTGTGCTCGCCCACACGCTGCTCCTTCCCTTTTAGATACCCCTCCTAGGGTGTCTGGAAGGCACAGCAGCAGACTGGAGCACATATGCCTCATATAAAGGGGTAACCACTGCACAGCATACTGAACAGTGATATGAGCTCAAGGGAATCTAGATGGATCCTTTAAGAGAAGCCTGAAATCTAGATCTGTGTATGTGTCTCCTAAATTTTACATGTTGACACAACTTATGGAAGTAAGCTAAACTAAATCTATGGGGCACATTTAGACTACAGACCTCGTGTTTTCATATTTGCTATGAATGTATTTTTAAATAGCTGTATGTAAAGCCAATATTTGCATGTAATATATTTCCTTCTAGTTTCAGATGTTTTACTAAAAAAAAAAAATCATGTTAACGGTAAAACAAATACACTTGAAATACTTTGAAAAGAACATTGGTTGATCTATACCTGGCTTTTTGCTTCAATATCTGCACCATATGCAAGCAGTTTTCCTGCCATTGATATATTCTCATTATCAATGGCATAGTGCAGAGCAGTGTTGCCATACATATCTCTAACATTTGGGTCAGCGCCATGTTCCAGCAGGATGGATGCACAAACTTCTTCTTGACATTGTACAGCCTGTCAGTATCAGACCAAGAAATAGACTGTAAATTCTAGGAAATCTTCCACAGGATTCACCAACTCATTATATTTCAGTGAGGTGAATTAGTTTTATTCTGTGAATTTAAATTAAATCCATCCCATGCTGAAAGAGTTGGCTACCACATACCTTGATCAGAGCTGTCCTGTTTTCACTGTCAGTGAGGTTAAGCTGGCATTTTCTGGCCACCAAGTCAGCTACCACTCCCGGATGGCCGTGGGCACACGCCAAATGTAGAGCAGTCCTAGGAGAGGGAGAGGTCATTTTAGGCAAATGTAGTGCACAGTCCCAACATACAATGATGCATGGAATTGTAAACATCAAATAGTATGTTATCCCTCTGCCTTCAGAACAAATAGTTACTCTTCTTGTCAAGAAAGACAAGGTTTCCACATCCCAGGTGCTGCTGAGCCTGCCAGGGTAGAAAGCCCAGTGCCCTTGGTGACAGCACTGACCCCACCCCCACCCTTGCAGCCTACCCACATCCTAACCAACTCTGCCCCCTACCAGTCCCCTCACTCCATCCAACCCCCATCCCATCCAATCCTCACTCCACTCCACTCCCCACCACAGTCCCCCACCCCATCCAACCCCCACCACAGTCCCCACTCAATCCAACCCCCACCCAACTCCACTCCCCACCACACTCCTCCACCCCATCCAACCCACACCCAACTCACCCCCACCACAGTCCCCCACCCCACCCACCTCCACCTGACTTCCACCCCACCCACGCCTTCACCCCGCACCATATCTCCCCTACCCCGAAACCAGGAACGGGGGCTTCTCCCATATCCCCAGGCCTCCTTCCGCAGCCCCCAGCGCCGGCTTCCAGTTCCCCTGACCTGTTCTTGTTGTCTTTGTTGTTCACGTCATTCAGCCTGAGCAAGATGCTCTCCTGCACCTTGTTCACATCACCCGCGATGGCAGCTTTGTGGATCATGCCCAGATCCTTCTGCCGGACTCGGTACCCGGGATTTGAGAAGCCATCCTTGCCACGATTCTCCCTCCAGGGAGCCATGCATCCCCCGCAGGTCCCCAGGAATGACCCCCCAACCCCCATCCTGAAGCCAAAGATCTTCTCCCAGGCTGACGGACCGGCTTCAAGACACCTCAGCTCCCACTCGCTTTCTGCCGCTCTGGAGCACAGCACCAGCACGTAACCAGGTCCAGCCGCTACCTCCGTCAAGGACACTCCAGTCTCCAGCCGCTCGGAGGAGCACCTAGCCTAGCAGAGCCGTTAGGCACCAGCGCGCATGCGCACCTCAGCCGCCCCACGAGGCCCTCCGCCGAGAAACCGCTAGCTCTTCCGGGCGCCACCTGCTGGCGGCACCCTCTGCCCGAACCGTTAGGCACCAGCACGCATGCGCACCTCAGCCGGCCCACGAGGCCCTCCGCGGAGAAACCCTTGCTCTCGCGGGCGCCACCTGCTGGCGGCACCCTCTGCCCCGAACCGTTAGGCACCAGCGCGCATGCGCATCTCAGCCGGCCCACGAGGCCCTCGGGAGAAAGAGCCCTGGGCCACGCGCACTCTCGCGGGCGCTCCGCGTAGGCGGCCCCCTACCCAGCTAGTAGGCCATGCTCCCCAGAGTGGGCAGGGATCCCTGGCGCGCACCACCCGCCCTGCCCCAGGGATCCACTGACTGCTCTGCCCATGCCTGCTGCTAGGACATGGCCTGGGAAGCTCAGCAGCCTCCTGGATGAAGGGTTTGCCGCCGCCACGGGGAGACTTCAGGACTTAGTTGCTTCCTGGCAGCCGGCAATGCAGTCCTGCTATTGGGGAGGGGGTGGCATAAAGAGCCAGGCATTTGATACCCAGCAGGGACTCCGAAGAGGAAGCCACAGAGCTGTAGATCTGCCCTGGTTGGCCCTGCCCTGCCTTTGCCCTGTGCTACCCTGGGCCTGCTCTACCCTGCCTTTGGCCCTGCCCTGACCCCACCTTGGCCCTCACACCGGCCCTAACGCAGACCTGGCCCTAGTCCTGGCCTTGGCCTGGCACTGACCCTGCTCCTGGCCCTGGTCCTTCCATGGCCCTGGCTCTGCATGGCCATAGCCCTGGCCCCCTCCAAGACCCCGACTGCGAGTCGCAGGCCCCGGAGATGCAGCGGTGAGCCCAAGAGTACAATGATCTTTGGCCTGGCACAGCGTTTTAAATAATATTCTAATGTAATCTGTCAGGGTCAGGACCAAGACGGGGCCAGGGCTGGAGCTGACAGGATCATTGCCAGGGGGCAGGACCAGGGCCACGGCAGGACCAGGGTCAGGAGCAGGACCAGGGCCACGGCAGGACCAGGGTCAGGAGCAGGGCCAGGGCCACGGCAGGACCAGGGTCAGGAGCAGGACCAGGGTCAGGAGCAGGGCCAGGGCCACGGCAGGACCAGGGTCAGGAGCAGGGCCAGGGCCACGGAAGGACCAGGGTCAGGAGCAGGGCCAGGGTCAGGAGCAGGGCCAGGGCCATGGCAGGACCAGGGTCAGAAGCAGGGCCATGGCAGGACCAGGGTCAGGAGCAGGGTCAGTGCCGGGCCAAGGCCAGGACTAGGGCCAGGTTTGCACTAGGGCTAGTGTGAGGGCCAAGGTAGGGTCAGGGCAGGGCAGGGCAGCGTAGAGCAGGCCCAGGGTAGCGGAGAGGGAATGCAGGGCAGGGCCAACCAGGGCAAGTCTATGGCCAGGGCAGGGCCAGGAGCAGGGTAGGTGTAGGGCCAGGGCAGGGCCAAGACAATGGTGGCTCCAGGGCAGGGCCAAGGTTAGGACCACAGTCATGTCCAAGGCCAGTGCCAGGGGCAGGGCCAGGGTCATCTAAGGACCAGGGACAAAGCTAGGCCCAGAGCAGGGCCAGGACAGGTACCTGGCAGGACCAGGGTCTGAGACAGGGCCATGGAAGGGCCAGGGCCACAGCCAGGTCTGTACTATGGCTAGGTCCAAGACAGGGCCCAGACAAGGCTAGGGTGAGGGCCAAGGTAGGGCCAGGGCAGGGTCAAAGATAGGGTAGGGCCAAGACAGGGCCAGGGAACCATAGGTCCAAGGCAGGGTAGCGCCAGGGCAGTGCCAAGTCTAGGGCAGGGCCAGGGAACAGCCAGGGCAGGAACAGGGCCATGACCCTGGCAAGGGGAGGGCCAGGTTCGGGGCAGAAGCAGAACAAGGGCAGGGACAGTGCAGGTTCATGGCACAGCCGGGTCCAGAAGGGTCTGGGCCATGGGAAAACCAAAGACAGGGCTGGGGCTAGGACAGTGGCAGGGCCAGAGTGAGGACAAGGGCCGGAACAGTGCAAGACCAAGGTAGGGTCAGACATTTCAGGGTCACCACACGTTCAGGGCCAGGGCAGAACTAGGGTAAGTTCTCAAGCAGAGAAGGGCCAGGGCCAGGACAGGTTGAGGGCACGGCCAGAACAGGAACAGGGCCAGGGCCAGGGCAAGGCCTGAGCATGGTAAGGGTCAAAGTCAGGGCCAGGGTAGGGACAGGGCCAGGGATGTGGCAGGACCAGGGGCAAGGCCAAAGCCAGGGCTGAGACACGGCATGGTATGGCCAGTGCAGGACAGGACCACAGCTGGTCCATAGAGAGAGCAGGGCCAATTCCAAGGCAGAGCCAGGCTAGTGCCAGGACTGAGGCATATCAGGGATGTCCAGGGTGGGGCCGGGGCCAGAGCCAGAGCCGAGCCAGGGCATGGCCAAGGCAGGGTAGGTCAAGGCAATGGAACGGCCAAGACACTTCCAAGTCCAGTTGAGGGCCAGGGCCAGGGCCAGGTCTGGGCTAGGGCCAGGTCCAGAGCAGGGCCTAGCCAAGGCTAGGGTTAGGGCCAGGGCAGGGTCAAAGCCAGAGTAGGGCAAAGGCAGGACCAGGACAGGGTGATGACACAGCCAGAGCACAGCAGGGCAGGGTGATGCCAAGACTAGTGGCAGACCAGTGCCAACTCAGGGGCAAGGAAAGGCCAGGGCCAGGGCAGAGCCAGGAAAGGGTCTGGGTCAGGGCCAGGACCAAGGCAGAGCAGGGCTAGGGCCAGGCCAGAGTTAGGGCAGGTCCTTGGCAGGGCCAGGTTCCAGGCTAGGGCCAGGGCAGCGGCAGGGGCAGGGCCTGGATAAGGGCAGGACCAGGGTCAGGGCCAGGGCTTGGGCTGGACCAGGACAAGACCACAGCGAGGCCATAGTGGGGGCAGGGCAAAAGGCAAGACAGGGTCAGGGCAGGTCCAGGGAGGGGCCAGTGCCAGGCAGGGCCAGGACACAATCAGGGCAGGGTAAAGTAGGGTAATGGCACCACTGTACCATGGCAGGGCAAGGTCAGTGCCAGGAAAGGGCAGAACAGGCAGGGCCATGGTGTGGCCAGGGCAGGGCCAGGACAAATCAGGGCCAGGACACAACCAACGCCAGGTCAGGGCCATAACAGGACCAGGACCATGACCGTTGGCAGGACCAGGGTCAGGACAAGGGGCGGGGCCAGAGCCAAGGCAAGGACAGTGCAGGTTCAGGGAAGGTCCAGGGCAGAGGCAGAGCCAGGGCCTGGGCTAGGGAAGGGCCAGTGCAAGGGCAGGGCCAGGGCAGGACAGGACCCGGACAGCCCAGGTAACAGTAGGGCAGGTCCAAGGCAGGGCTGGGCCGAAGGCCAAGGCCATGCCCAGAGTAAGGCCAAGGCAGAGGCAGGGCCCCAGCATGGGCAGCCTTGGGCAGGGCAGGGCCAGGGTAGTGCAGTGCCTAGTCAGGGCTGGGCCAGGATAGGACCAGAACCGGGGCAGGGCCAGGGCCAGGGTAGAACCAGGGCAGGTCATGGCCAGGGAAAATCCAGGGGCAGGGTAATAGCCAGGGACATGATAGGACCAAGGCCAGGGCCAGGATAATGCCAGAAGTAGGGCAGAACCAGGGCCAGGGGAGGGATATGGCAGGGCTGGGTCTTGGAACAGGGCCAGGTCATGGCCAGGGCCATGGCAGGACCAGGGCCAGTGGAGGGCCAGGGTAGGGCTAGGGTAGCACAGGGCCAAGACAGGGCAGGGCCAGTGAAGCACAAGGACTGGGCCAGGAGATGGAAGGGCAGGGACAAGGAAGTCCAGGGCCAGAGCCAGGTCTGGGATATAAACAGGGCAGGGACACCCACATGGCAGGACCAGAAGGGACCAGGGCAAGGGCACGGACAGAGAAGGACCAGGGAAAAAGAATGGCCAGGGAAGGGCCAGGGCAGAACCAGAGCCAGGACAGGCCAAAGGTAGGGCCAAGGCAGGCAAAGCCAGGGGAGGGCAGGGCCAGAGCAGGGTGAGGGTAGGGCCAGGGTGAGGTCATGGCCAGGGCAGGACTAGGATAGCAAAGGGCCAAGGCAGGGCCAGGGCAGGGCGGAACCAAGGAGGGGCCAGGTCCAAGGCATGGCCAGTGTGTGGCCTGGACATTGTCAGGGCCAGGGCCAGGACAGGTCCAACACAGGGCCAGAGGCTGGGCCAGGGTGAAGGCTGGGCCAGGGCCAGGGCTAGAGCGATGGCAGGGCCAGGGAGACGGCAGAACCAGGCAGGGTCCAGAGCAAGGGGAGGGCCAAGGCCAAGGCAGGGCAAGGCCAGGGTAGGAAAATGACAGGGTAGGGCAAGGCCAGGGAAAGGCAAGGCCTGGGAAGGGCAAAGCCTGGGAAGGGCAAGGCCAGGGTAGGGCCAGGGCCAGGGCCAGGTCAGGGCTAGGGTAGCATAGGGCATGGCCAAAAGCAGGGCAGGGCCATAACATGGGCAGGATTAGAAAACAGGGCCAAGTCAAGATCTAGACCAGGGCATGGTGGGGACAATACAGGGCCATGACAGAGGATGGCAAGGCAGGTCCTGTGCTATGTCATGGACAGGGTAGGCCCAGGATCAGGCCAGCGCAGGGACAAGGCCAAGGCAGTGTCAGGACAGAGCAGGGCTAGTGCAGGGCCAATGCAGGGTGAGGGCAAGGCCAGGGAATGGACAGGCAGGGCAGGATCAAGGAAGGGCCAGGACAGGGCCAGGGCAGGGTCAGGGCCAGGACAAGGGTACGGCCAGGGCAAGGAATATGGTAGGACCCGGGCTGGGCCCAGGCTGGGATGCGCAGGGCAGGCCATGGCCTGGTCAAGGCAGGGCCAGAGCCAGGCCATAGAGAGGGGAGGGTTAACACCAAGACAAGGTCAGGGCAGGTCCAGGGTCAAGGCAGGGCTAAGGCCCAGGCAGGTCCGCAGCAGTACAAGGGCAGAGTAGGGCACAGCAATGGCAGGACCAGGCCATGGCAGTGCCTGGTCAACTCCAGGGAAGGCCCAGAGCCATGGAAGGACCAGGGTCAGGACAAGGGGCAGAGCCAGAGCCAAGGCCAGGCCAGCACAGGTTCAGGGACGGTCCAGGGCAGAGGCAGGGCCAGGGCCTGAGCCAGGGAAGGGCCAGTGCAAGGGTAGGGACATAGTAGTACAGGGCCAAGACAGGGACAGGGTGGGGCCAGGGCAGGGCAGGGCTGAGACAGGCCAGATAACAGTAGGGCAAGTGCAGGGCAGAGCAGTGCAAGGCAAGGTCCATGGCAGGGGCAGGGCAGGACCAGGCCGAATGCCAATGCACCGGCCCTCCCTACAAGGCTCCTACCACCTGGCCACCGCTGCAGGCCTGCCCCCACTCTGGCTGCAGCCACCTGCCCTCCTAGTGCAGCCGCCCTCCTAATGCTCTGGCGTGCTGCAGTCTCTGTCACTGCCACCAACCTACAGTGGGGTGAGCCGCGGTCTCCCAGGCTCCAGCCTCCAGTGTATGGCAGGTGTCTCCTCCTCCCCTGGCACAGAGCAGCTGGGCAGGCAAAGCCAGGAAAGCCTGCCAGAAAAAGAGGAGGATGCAAGGGGTGGTAGCGTCAGAGCCTCACCTTGTCATGCCAGCCACTGGGTGGCAGGGACCAGTTTCAGTGAAGGGACTCACACCCACCCTCCAAAGTCCAGCCTCTCCTTTTGGCCCAAGCTGGCCAGGAACTGGAGCCTGGGGTGGGTGATGGAGACACCACAGCACCCAGCTCCTCACCCCACAGGAACCGCTGGGCCCACTGGGGCTGCACTCCTCGGGGAGCAGGAGTAGCAGAAACTCAGACCCAGCCAACCCTCCACACCCAGGTGCCAATTCCCATTCCAAACGCCTCCACGCACAGGGCACTGTCCCCTGTGGTGTCCGCTACTCCATACCTGGGGGTGCCAGGCAGTCTCTGTGGCACAGACCCAGAGTGCAAGGGCTCAGTAGCCACAGCAGGTGTGGGGGCTCTGCCATGCTCAGGATTCCCATGGAAACACTGTGCACCTGCCATGCTCCAGTATGAGCAAGAGGAGGTCACCCTCTGGAGTGTGGAGTCCAGGGAGAAGAGAACTGCTCCTTCCTTGGATGCCACCACTGTCGCTGCCAGCTCTGCCTACCGCCGCCAGCAGTGCAGCCCCTGATAACCCCCAACTCACCCCCCTCCACGACTAGTCCTGCCCTCAATACTGCCCCCCACCTTCACCCCCCAATGCTGCCAGCAGTGTAGTACCCGATAGTGCCCCTAACCTGTCCTCCTCCATGGGCATTGCAGCCCCAGAGAGTGTCAATAACCCACTCCCCGCCATGGGCAGCACAGCCCTGTATAGTGCTACCAACCAGTACCCCCAATGCAGGCAGTGACACCCCAGATAGTGCCCCCAAACCAGCCCCCACTGCAAAAAGTGCAGCCCCAGATAGCCCCTGTCCCACCACACTGGTTGGACTGCAGTCTGTTGCCACCAACACCAACTGCAGTGGGGCAAGTTGCTGGGCCGCAGGCTCTAGCCTCCAGCAGCCAGGCATGGAGCAGCTCTCGCTGATGGCTGCCTCCTACCAGTTCAGCCACAGTGCTGTCTCCGTGGTCATCCTCTTTTTGAGTACAAAGGAATAAAACTAGGTATCAATAACAAGAGGAATTTTGGAAACCATACAATCATATGGAAGTGAAACAATACACTCCTGAATGAATCACTAGTGGATCAATGAAGATACTAAGATGAAAATTGAAAAATTTCTTGAAACAAAAGGTAATGAAAACATAATATATCAAAACTTATGATACACAGAAAGCAGTACAAAGGCATAAATTTATAGCTTTAAGTGACTACCATCCAAATAGAAGAAAAACTTCAAATAAACAATATATCTTTTAAGAACTAGTAAGGAACTAAACCCCAAATAAGAAAAGAAATAATAAAGATCATAGCAGAAATAAAATCGAAATGAAAAAAATACACAAGATTAAACCAAAAGTCGGTTTTCTGGAAAGTTAAACAAAATTGACAAACTTTTAGCCAGGCTAAGAAATAAGAGAGAAGATTCAAATAAAATCAAGAGATTAAAAAAAGGAGATATTACAACTGATACTTCAGAAATTCAAAGGATCATAACTGGCTATTATATGACAATAAATTTGACAGCCTAGTAGAAACTGACAAATTCCTAGATGCATACAACCTACCTAGGTTGACCCATGACAACATCCAAGACCAGAACAGATCGGTAACAAGTAATGACATCGAAGCCATCAGAAAAAGTCTCCCAGTAAAGAAAAGCCCAGAAACTGATGGCTTCACTGCTGATGGTTTCCCACCAAACATTTAAAGACCTAGTACCAATCCTACTCAATCTATTTTGAAAAACAGGAGGGAGGGAATACTTCCAAACTTATTCTATGAGACCATTATGACCCTGATACCAAAATCAGACAAAGACATCAAAAAAGGAAACTACAGGCCAGTGTCTCTAATATTGGTGTAAAAATCCTCAACAAAATACCAGCAAATCAAATTCAACAATACATTAAAAAGATAATTCATCAAGATCAAGTGGGATGTATCCCTGGGATGCAAGGGCCATTCAACACACAATCAGTGTGATACACCATATCAACTGAATAAAGGACAAAAACAGTATGATCGTGTCAATTGAAACTGAAAAAGCATTTGATGAAATTCAATATCCCTTCATGCTATAAATCCTCAAAAAACCGGGGACAGAAGAAACTTACCTCACCATAATAAAAACCACAAGAGAGAGACCCACAGCTAGAATCACATGGAATGGGGAAAAATGAAAAGCCTTTCTTCTAAGATATAGACCATGGTAAGGATGTCCACTGTCACCACTGTTATTTAACACAGTACTGGAAATGATAGCTAGAGCAATCAGTGCAGCCCGTGATATGGCCTCCAAGTTACCCCACCCCCTGCCACCAGCACTGTAGCCAATAGTGTACCCAACACACCCAAACCGCTGCCCTCCCCACACCATGGGCATTGCAGCACCTGATAGTGCCCCCAACCCAAATCCCCCCATCTGTCCCTGCACAGAGTGCAGCCCTCGATAGCATTCCCAACCCCCTCACTGCTGCCAGCACTACAGTCTGGGATAGTGCCTCCAACCCACTCCCTGCCGACGGCAGTGCAGCCCCGGACAGTGTCCTCAACCCACCCCTGATGCAGGCAGTGCAGCCCCGAATAGCACACCCAATCGGCCACCCAAGGTGGGCACTGACGCCTGAGATAGCACCCCCAACCTTCCCCAGGCCACAGGCAGCGCGGCCCTGGACAGCACACCTACCCTGTCACCTTTCTACACTCTGGCTGGCTGCAGTGTCCGCTGCTGCCACCAACTGCTGTGAGGTGAGCCAGTGAGGCGAGCCCGGGAGGCCAGCCGCAGTCCTGCAGGCTTCAGCCTTCAGCATGCGGCAGATGACGCCTCCTTCTCCCAGCTGGGTACCAAACAACTGTGCAGGCAGATGCAGAGGAGCCTGGAATTGCACAACTCCCACCCTTAGCATGCTTTATATACCGAGGTTATAGACTACATGTTCTGACTGGATGAGAGAAAAACCTCTAGGCCTCTAATTGGACTTCATATTCCAATACTTTTTTTACATTCCAACTTTATATTCCAACCTCAAACCTCTGATTGGACTTTATATTCATATTCTGATTGGATGAGAGCAACTCTCAGGATAACCAATCAGAATGTGAAGAAAAAGTCCAATCAGTCTAACCTTGTTCTTTTCATTACACGTTTTCTTTGCAAGGCCAAAAAAATTCCAATCAGGCAAATAGTAAATATGTAAAATACAGGCTGGGCATGGTGGCTCACGCCTATAATCCCAGCACTTTGGGACGCTGAGGCAGGCGGAACACGAGGTCAGGAGATTGAGACCATCTTGGCTGACATGGTGAAACCCTGTCTCTTCCAAAAAAAAAACAAAAAACAAAAAACAAAAAACGCTGGGCATGGTGGTGGGCACCTGTAGTCCCAGCTAGTCAGGAGGCTGAGGCAGGAGAATGGCGTGAACCCGGCAGGTACAGTTTGCAGTGAGCCAAGATCGCATCACTGCACTCCAGCCTGGGTGACAGAGCGAGACTCCATCTCAAAAAAATAAAATAAAATAAAATAAAAAGTAAATATGTAAAATATAAATAATATCTATAACTATTTTTTATATAAAGCCTCTGTATTTGTAATTTCTCCTATTCATAAAATTTACAGGTAATTTTTCACAGGTGATATAAAATACAATTATTTTCTACAAGGGGATAAACCTATAAATGGAAAGGGTAGCATTACAGGACAAATAAAACATATTACTACTAATATAAAAAAATTAAGCTTAGATCAAGTTTTCTGACAGCCAAAGAAAAAGAAAAAACATGTTATTTGCATGACTTCATAGAAAAAACATATATAATACACTAGCTTTTTCTCTTCTTGTCCCCCACCCTCGGTGTTTTTTTTTTTTTTTTTTTTTTTTGAGGCAGAGTTTCACTGTGTCACCCAGGCTGGAGTGATCTCAGCTCACTGCAACCTCCATGCCCAGGGTTCTAGTGATTCTCTTACCTCAGCCTACTGAGTAGCTGGGATTACAGGTGCCCGCCACCATGCTTTTTTTTTTTTTTTTTTGTATTTTTGGTAGAGATGGGCTTTCACCATGTTGGCCAGGCTGGTCTTGAACTCCTGGTCTTAAACTGCTGACCTAAGGTGATCCACCCGCCTTGGTTGGGCTGCACCAGTTGACCAGCACCAATTGTCCGGCACTCCCCAGTGAGATGAACCCGGTACCTCAGTTGAAAATGCAGAAATCACCCGTCTTCTGTGTCACTCACATTGGGAGCTGGAGGTCGCAGCTGTTCCTATTTGGCCATCTTGGGCGCGCCAAATTTGCATTTTTCTTTACTTACTTCATATGCAAGGGATGATCACTACTTTGAAAAATCCATTAAAAAGCCAATGGTTTCCAATAATTCTACTTACAAAGGATAAAAGAATTATTCTGAAATTCATACGCTTCTTCATCTCTATTTACTAATTCAAAATCCATTTTGAAGTTCTAACACATACAAGGAAATGTATATTCTCAGCTTTAAAAAAAAAGGTAATCAGCTGGGCACAGTGGCTCATGCCTGTACTCCCAGCACTTGGGGAGGCCAAGGCAAGTGGATCAAGAGGTCAAGAGTTCAAGACCAGCCTGGTCATGATGGTGAAACCCTCTTTTGTATTTTGTGAAAATGCAAAAATTAGCCAGGTGACATGGCAGGCGCCTCTAATCCCAGCTACCTGGGAGGCTGAGGGAAAGAATTGCTTGAACCCAGGAGGCAGAAGTTGTAGTGAGCCGAGATCACGCCAAGCACTCCAGACTGGGTGACAGAGTGACACTCCATCTCAAAAACAAAACAAAACAAAAACAGGTAACCAGCCCCGGCGTGATGGCTCAACCTGTAATCCCAGTACTTTGGGAGGCTGAGGCAAGTAGATCACTTGAGGCCAGCCTGGCCAACATGGCAAAACCCTGACTGTATTAAAAATACACCAATTAGCCAGCGTGGTGGTGCATGCTTGTAATCCTTGGGAAGCTGAGGCATGAGAGTAACTTGAACTCGGGAGGTGGAGGTTGCAGTGAGCCAAGATCGTGCCATCACATGCCGGCTTTTTGTCTCAGGAAAAATAGCAAAACAGGTAATCAGATAATTATGACATAATGCACTATGGAAGAGTTGATCCAGAAAAAATTGTATCTGAGCATGAGGAAGACTTTATGGAAGAGGCAGAAGACAAGAGGAGCTCACCAGGCCAAAACAAACACACACACAAACCAAAACAAAGCCAGAAACAGTAGGAGAAAACCATTCTACATAAAGAATAGAATGTGAGCACAGGGATTAGGCACGTGGCATCCACTTGTTTCCTGGGAACTTGAAAGGTAAAGTATAAAACACGTGAAAGTAAACACTGAGGGAAGAATGCTAAACTTGAATGCTACGCTAAAAGGCTGGAGCCACTGCCTGCAAGCAATGACTCTTAGACATGGGGTCACAGTTGGATTTGTGCCACAGTTTTTGTTTTCATATGTTTCATTTGAATTAAGTTTTCAAAATACCATGAAGCACATATAACCTGAAACAAACTGTGAAATTACCTTAAAGGGAAAAACACTTATTTTTAAAATACCTGTATGTCTTTACATATAGTTCAAATTGGCATTATTCTGATTAGATAGAATTTTGTTTGAAAATAGAATGATTTTATTAGAAACTTTTGTATACTTATAGTGTAGTATCTATTCCTAATATGAAAAGCTGGATTTACCAGTAGAAAATTGTAATTACTTTTTCTATAGTAAACACATGTAAAAGGATATCACTATCCTATACCTATATAGATTTACTAAAAGGCTAAAATTTCCCATTGGAGATTATTATGTTAGTTACGAGTTCAGCCTGAGCCCTTAAAAACACAATAAACAAAAATAAATCCAGCAATAATTTACCAAAAATACATGTAGATGAGTTTAAGTCTTAGTCTTCTGTTTAAAACTAAGCTTCTAAAAACTCTGATAGCATTTATTAAACAACTCCTCTTGACCCAAACTTCAAAGTATGTAATTCTGGAATATGAAATATTGTTCATTTTGAGCATAGTTGATAGAAGGTAACTTTCAAACAGAAAACATCTGATTAACATTGCCACACTAAGGAAAATGGTGACCTGTAGCCATGCTAACAGGTAGCCAACCAGAACCAATTATAAATCTAGTCAATCAATGACACTGGCCTCACTAACACCAACCAACGAATGCCAGCCACTTGTCTCTGAAAGACATCCAGAGACAAACTCACCCCCATCAGCATGCCTGGAAGTGCTAACTAATCCACAACAGTCTCATGCAGACAACCACATTGCTCCAGAAGATGTCAACCCAGTTATGCCTGTGAGAGTTGGCCAAGCCTTCAACTCCACTCTTCCACAAATCTTACATAAGGATCAGCAGATCACAAGAGACTGTGCCTGACCAGCACAGATCTCTTACTAGAGAAGACAATAAATCCAACTTTTTTTTTTGAGACAGTGTCTCACTCTGTCACCCAGACTGGAATGCAGTGGCAAGATCGCGGCTCACCACAACGTCTGCCTTCCAGGCTCTAGGGATACTCCTGCCTCAGCCTCCCAAGTAGCCGGGATTACAGGCACGCCACTACTGCCAGCTAATTTCTGTATTTTTTGTAGAGATAGGATTTCACCATTTGGCCAGGCTGGTCTTGAACTTCTGACCTCAAATGATCAACCCGCCCTGGCCTCCAAAGTGTTGGGATTACAGGTGTAAGCCACTGCGCCTGGCAAAATTCAACTTTTCTCTATTTATTTCAGATGCTAAGGGCTCATAATCCTTTGGAAATAATTTTTACATCCATTGCATTTACCAACCCTGATATTTTCTTATTCCTAATAAAATACTAATGAAGTTTGAAACTCCTGTGATCCCTTGAACCATGATTAAAATGATCATAATTATCAGTAATAGAATAGTGAAAACCCGCACAACATTGGGCTTTTCTCCCTAATTAGAAAACCATTCATATAGAGAGTACAGCTCATTAAAAAGAGCCCAAAGAATCCAAAAAGGGCATATAATTGCCAGGTAAAATTGTCAGAATGAACTCATGTCAAACTGTATTTTAAGTGAGTATTAATGTTTAAAACCATATACCAGGATAAACTCTATTCACTCATTCGGTAAACATTTATTGAGTTGCTACTTATTATATTATATCCTTTCCTAGGCAATGAAAAACACAGCGATGAAAAAATCCTACTCATGAGTGCCAAGTAAACACAAAACATCAGAGGCAAAATATATAGTATGTTAGAGAGGAACAACTCAAGCAGGAAAAAGGAGTGTTTATGTGCAGGAGGGGCAAGGTGGCGAAAATATTAGGATGGCTAGATAAAACCTTGCTGAGAGAGTGGCTTTTAAGGAAAGAACTGAAGAAATGGAAGGAGTAAGCAAGGAGGATATCTAACTCCATACAGAGTCAACCGCCCAGTACAGAGGGATGCAGAGTGTGTTCACAAAATAGAAAGAAGTTCCGTGTGGCTGCAGCAGAGTAGAAAGAGCAGAAAGGCAGAAGCATAAGTCAGGAAAATAGGAAGTCAGATCCTGTGGTTCCTTTGGAGTATTAGGAGAAAATCTGGCATATATTTTGAGTGAAATGGGAGGCAATTAGAAGTTTTTAACCAAAAGAGTGACATAATGTGACATGTTTTAATAGGTTCACTGGGTAAAGAATTGACGAAAAGAGGATTAAACATGGAGAAACAGAAAGACCTATTAGCAGTCTATGACACTACTCTAGATGGCCAATCAGATGACAGTGGAGTGGCTTGGACATGAAAGATGTGACTGGCTTCTGGATATATTGTGAAGTTAGACCTGATGAGATCTGCCAACATCTTGGCTGTGGAGTGTCAGAGATGGGGGTCGGGGGAGGGAGACAGAGAGAGAATGTGTGAGTCAAGGAGGACACCAGGGTTTTTGGCAGAGCATTTGCAAGAGTCATTATTAATGGAACAACAAGACTACATAAGGGGCAGGCAGGAGGAAGAACATCAGTAACCAGATTTTGGATCTGATAAACTTGACATATCCAATAGCTAATCAAGGAGAGATGTCAAGTAGACAGGCTGATATATAGGTCTGAAATTAAGGAGAGAAATGGGCTGGAGATATAAATTTGAAAATCATTAGCATATACAAGCTGGTAAAAGTCAGAAGAAAAAACCTCAAGAACTGAGCCCTGGGTCACTTTAATCTGTGAAAGGTAGAAGACGAGGAGATGTAACCAAAACAGGCTAAGATGGATGGACTAGAAAGTCAGGAGGAAAATCTAGGCCAGAGAGTGAGATTCTGAGAGCCAGTGAAGAAAGTGAAAGTATTGTTGATAGGTTACATAAAACGAGATCTAAAAAATTGTATCTAGATGCGTTACAGTGAAAAATCAGTGACAACATTGAGAATAACAATTCTGGAGAGTGGTGAGAGTGAAAATTATGGCAGTGAGTTCAAGAGTGAATGGAAAGGAAACTTGAGGCCATGAGTACAAGCAGTTTAATTTTAGGGACATCATGCCCATGTAGCATTATCATGCATGATCTAATTTTCTTCTTGTTAAACTGTATTTTTCAATCCTTTCATAATGATTAAGGATTAATTACATGGTGTGTTTTAACACCTTAATAGTTTTTAAAAATTACATATATATGGCATTTTAAAAGCCAGACAAAGGTAATAAATAACATCATAAAATTATAGAACTAAAAACCCCTTGAACATTTCTGTATTATAAAGCTGGTTATCATTTTGGCTCATGCTTATAAATACAGACCACAGAAAGACTAAAGGGCAGTATTTCCTACCTGAGAAAAATCACCCAACTCTGAGATATTTTACACTCATCAAATATACAAAATGGTTTGTCATATTAAAATATTAAATTCTATGAGATGAAAAAAGATGAAAATTCAAATAATCTTGTTTTGTCAACTGAATTTTTGTAAATTATATCATAGGAAGTCACTGTGGTAAAATATGGTGCCGTGCATGCTGAAATGTCTTTTAAAAGGATAATGGCAGGCATTCAGAGTGCCCCTAAACAGGAGGTTCACTGCATTAGCAGCACCCTGGTTTGGCACAGGAGTCAGCAAATCAGTACTTGTGGGCCAAATTCAGCCCACTGCCTGTTTTTGTAAGTAAAGTTTTCTTGGAACACAGTGCCACCTATTCATTTATTGTCTGTGAAAGATGTCAGAAACCTTCTGGTCCAGAAAGCCTAAAATAGTTACTATGTGGCTCTTTACAGGAAAAAACTGGTCAACTCCTGACTCGGCAGATCAAAGATCCTTTGATATAGTTTAACAAGTTTTACCAATACGCCGAATATTTACATGGAATACAGATCCCCATGTGCAATCCCTTGGGAATATTCAGATTATTCTGAGAATTCAATATTTGAGCACTCATGCATTGAGAACAAAAAAAAGCAAATGTCGTAACTAGCAATTTTGTTGGTAACGTGAAGTGCCAAGGTAGCATGTAGTTTCCTTTTGCAACTCAATAGATATTATAAGTATTAAGAAATTACAGGCCAGGCACGGTGGCTCATGCCTGTAATCCCAGCACTTCGGAAGGCTGAGGCGGGCAGATCACAAGGTCAGGAGATCGAGACCATCCTGGCTAACATGGTGAAGCCCCATCTATACTAAAAATACAAAAAATTAGCCGGGTATGGTGGCGGGTGCCTGTAGTCCCAGCTACTTGGGAGGCTGAGGCGGGAGAATGGCATGAACCTGGGAGGTGGAGCTTGTAGTGAGCCGAGATCACACCACTGCACTCCAGCCGGGGCGACAGAGCGATTCTCCATCTCAAAAAAAAGAAATTACAATATTATATTCTAACAAAATGTATTTAAGATGTGTTATCAAACTAAATGTTTTAAATATATTTTACTGATGAAATAATCAGTATACTATAGCTCCAACCTCATTTTTAAAAGAGAGTTTCAAACTACATTATTTAATGGGTATGACAATTTACCTATTTCCTCATTAATGGGATTTTAGACTATCTCCAGCTTTTTGATATGACAATGCTATAATGAAAATTCTTAACATATATAAGCATGTAACATATATTAATATCCTCAACACACTTTTGTTATACTTGAGATGTTTTATAAACACGTTACAAACATACACATAGAAATACATAAGACATATATGTGTGTGTGTATGTGTATCTATATGCATGTAGCCAACATATATATATATAACATACAATAGGCCAACGTATATATGTAACATACAGTAGGGAAACATACACACACACACACACACAGATACATATATCAGAATATATATGTTGGCCTATTGTATGTTATATATAACATGTAATAAATGTCCATAACTTGTGTGTATGTGTAAAGTCATATTTCCTGCAGGATCCAGTCTCAGAAGTAAAGCTGACACATTAAAGGAATGACATATTTGAAATTTTGATACATGCTACTAAATTACCCTTCAATAAAGATTTACCAAATAAGTGTACGAGAGAACTTTTTTTTCACATTTGCCCACACTAGTTATTTTTTTATAAAATACCAATATGCTTGGAAAAACCGTATCTAATTGCTTGTTAACTTGCATTTTTCTGATTACCACACAAGACAGAATATCCCTAGTTAAAGTATAAAATTCATTAAGCATGCATATTACCTGAAATTAGAATTCATTTGATAGTACAATAACAATAATCTACTATCAAATATTGCTATAAGCTTACCTATTATACTCTTCACTCTTCTGCCTGGGAAACTGATGATTATCAGGTTTTCTGCTCCTTTCTTAAATTAATTCATCATGATTATCATCATTGTCACTGTCATCAGCATTTAGGTTTCTTAACACTTCCATTTTCTTATTTCTGCACTTTTTCATTTTTTCTGCAAGCTGCAATGAAAGTTTGATACTGAGAATAATTGTCATTATTTTAACCAACAGAAAGAACTTTTTTGTCTTCATTCATTTTATAACTTCAGTCTGTCATGGTAAGTCATTAAAATACTTTGTGTTTACTTTCATTTTATCATTATATAATTATTAATGTAAGTTATAGTGTGATTTTTTCCTTTGAAATTCATATAAAGTCTGATTTATTTCTGTTTGAGTGAATACAACACAATTTTCCAAACTTTCAAAAAGGGCCCGTTCCAAATTTGTGTTTTCCCATCCACTCTTTGCTGTCTAATGTAAATTTCACCCTCTTGTGACGAGCAGAAGCAGAGAAATAAAAGGACAAAGCCATGAAATCTGTCCTCTTCTATCTTCACCTCCTGGAGTTTACACTGACGGCCAGATTTAGAGAATGTGACATTGTGGGGCTTCAGGAACAAACAGAAACGAAGCTTTTCCCTCTCTGGGGTAAGCTTTCCCCACTATCTTTTATCTTTCTTTTTTCATTCGGATCCTAGGACTTCAAAACTGTGATGGTGCTTGGTGAAATACAGGAACCAAAATATGAAACCACAGAAGAAGGAGAATGAAACTGTTGAAATGCTAGTAGAGTTCTGGAAAATGAGATGCTTTCCAAATTTCACATTCACTAACCACGACATTTTATTGCTAGGGAATAGTCAGTGAAAGTAATTATTTACTTCAGCTGCTTTATCAAAAAAGATTAAATGACTCATCCAAAGCTTCTAAAGTGGCATTTCCTAGCATTTTATGACACAAAACCAATAATACTATTTCATAATGCTGAGTCAGATAAATTACCTGATACATTCATCAAATTAATCACAAGAATTCAAAGTTATTTTTTTTTTTTTTTTTTTTTTTTTTTTTTTTTTTTTTTTCAGTTCAAAGTATCACTTTGGGAAAGTAACTTATTGCCTCAGCAGGGGCTGACAGGCCTCATCTACTTTTACTTTTAAAGGTGGGTATCACTAGATTTTTGTCTATCTTTAAAACTCGATGTACAGACATCAGGTTTCTACTTTGGAGTCAAAAACTAAATTTTTGGCTGAGAATCTATGGTACTTGTATGATAAAGTTATACATCCAAAAACGTATACTCTATTAAATAAAATCACATTAAAATCTGATTTGACAGAAACATGTAAAAGTGGTAATTAAAAAATAGATATATCTATCTACATTTGTTTTCAAATATATTTAAGGTGGTCATAATGAAATTATAAGCCCCAACATATTGAGTGAAATGAATCAACTTGCACACCTGAAAGCACAACATACAATATACTGATTCCTTTGAGTATAAATATTTGTTCCAACTCTCAAGGAGGGATGGATTTTTATGTCACTGCTTCCTTCCCATTTATTTCCCACTTTATTAAGTAAGTGCAATTCATCTTCAATAGAGAAAAATTAGGTCCTAGAGCTCATTACATTGTTTAAGCAATTTCCTATATGCTTGCCCTAGTTCACAAGCATCCATATCCATGGCTTATGAATAGATTAGTTTCCCTGTCCCTATGCCCCTTGGAAAATTGATAGACAGACTTGGGTTGATTAAGAAACAAAGACTGTAGAATGTTCTCCTGAGCTTCTATCATTTAGATAGAAAAATAATCTATTTCCACACACAATTATGTATTTAGTAGCCCCATTTTACACAAGAGCTTTTCATAAGTAAAAAACTAGAATGCACCAGATAATTGATCAAGAGAAAAAACCATGTAGCAGCAAGTGGCCCTCTAAGTCTTTCTCAAGTTGAACTTTTTCTTTCTTCGAAGTCACGAACTCTAGTTTTAATATGCCTACTTCATTCTTCAGTCTTTGTATACTGTGCCGTAACTGTTCTTCCAGATGTACTTTTGATGTTCTGTCACTGTGATGGAGAGGAATGCACATTTTCTAATCCAAGTTCTATTCTTTTATAGTTATTTGCACTGCAATTATGATATAATGGTTTCTGGAACAAGTTCTGTATTGGTTTTGTATTATTATAAATGTCTGTTAACAAGAGAAGCACCATGCCGTTTTGTTTACTCACATGCTCCATTTCTCTGGAGGAGGTAAGCCACAAATCTAAAAGACTTTTTGGATCACTAAACTGAGGCAGCGTATTTCTGATGTCCTCTTTGCAATTAGTGTTATTTTGGTGATTTTTTTCATCCTGTGCCTGTAACACTCTTGGTCTTCTTTTATTTCAGTGATAACCACTTCTGGGTTCCTTGCTTTTGTACTTTCTGTGTCATTATAAAAATTCTCCTGGTCTGTGTTAAAAACATGTACAGTGTCAGGTTTGTTATTATTTTCACAGCATACTTTATTTTCATTTTTAAAATAAAAATCAGAAGGTGACTGGCAAGCATATTCCAGAGACCTAGAGTAGAAATGAAATGGAAAGACATTTATGAGACTGAACTATTTTTGTTCAGAAAATATCTGGAATATTACACACAGGAGAACTCCAGATGCATTTTTTTCCTAACAGTCATGTATATTATTTGTCAAATTAGAGGGTATGTTCTTCTCATTTCTTCTTCCTGTAGTGGCTCTTCCTCTGAACAATAGAAGCTTTGGATTCCTCACAAATTTCATCCAAACTCTCCTTCAACTCAATTGTGATGAAATTTTAAAGTTTTTTCCACCCTCATTTGCCTTGTTTTGACCCATGCTTTCTCCTAGTTTTGCACACAAAGGAGTCCTGCATATAGAGCTGTATGCTGTCTATTACAGTACTTGTTCACTTCTGTTTGTAGAGACATATTTTGCAGATGCAAACTGGAAGATTAATTTGCTAGTTTTGTTTGTCAGATGTCTTTTCTGTCAGGGTACATGTTTTAAAGATAACTTTGTCATTAAATAATCAAGTATGGAAAAATAAAAGTTAAAAAATAATAAAACTTTAACTGTTAAACTTCTTAATCTATGTTTATCTACTCCCAATCACTGGATTGTAATTAGTAAGTTAAAAATAATTTGCATTAGCCTAAAATAGGGGAAAAATATCAACCATCAATGTTGACTTTGTAACTGTTTGGACTAAAATTAATTCGTTATGTGTTTAATTTACCAAAATGAATTAAAAGGTGATTTGCAGTATTACAAAGGCATCCTTCACTTAGGAAGATTTTATCTCAGTGTGCCTGAAATAGTGATACTCAACAAACAGTGCATACTTGAGTGCTTTTTTCCAAAGATTACTAACTGGTGAGTAGGCAATCAAAATCGACACTAATCAGAAAACAAAGCCAAATTCTAACAATTTAATTCAAATCATGTACTATAAAATGATACTGTTATATACCTGTTCTGCATAGACTATGGTCTTAAGTTTCAATATATTCCAAGGTCCACTAATAACAGGTTAAAAAATTTTAACAATAGTTACAGATTTGCTCTATGAAATAAGTTAGAAAGTTACTGTTTGTACCCTCACACCAAAGCTCCCATTCTCTTGACAGGCAGTTGGGTTGACTTTATGACCCCATTCTCTCCCTGAACACAGATACTAAAGTCAATTAAAAATCACGGGACAGGTGTGGGGGCTCACACTTGTAATCCTAGCATTCTGGGAGGCCGAGGCAGGCAGATCATGAGGTCAGGAGTTCAAGACCAGCCTGGCCAACCTGGTGAAACCCCATCTCTACTAAAGATACAAAAAATTAGCTGGAAGTAGTTGTGCACACCTATAATCCCGGTTACTCGGGAGGCTGAGGCAGGAGAATTGGTTGAACCCGGGAGGTGGAGGTTGCAGTGAGCCAAGATCCAGCTACTGCACTCCAGCCAGGGCCACAGGGCAAGACTCTGTCTCGGAAAAAAAATAAAATAAAATAAAAAATCACACTGAAGAATACATTTTTCATCATAGTATTAGTGACCCATAATATATAAAGTTGCAAATTTTGACCCATTAGCAATGATTACTCCTTTAACATGAACCCAAGTCAGCAGCCATCAGTGTTAAATTGTTCATAATTTTGATTGCTTAAAATTATAATTCAATATTTGATGTTACCTTTTTTATTATTTAGGATGTTATAAAAATGAAGAGCAAACAATATTCAGGAACTTTTAAGCTTCATTTCCAAGGGAAAAGATTAGCTGTAAATCACTATAGATTCTGAGAATATTTTCAGTTTTATAGCCAATTAAAATGTTTTCAAATTAAATATTAAATTATAATCAACTGATTCTAAAGGGACAGTCCAAAGGTAATTTCATTTGAAGTATGCTATGTTACCAAAGCAAGGAAAACCAGAAATTTGAAATTAAATTTTTACATAACTGTAGCTGGTTATTTTCACATCCTTGAAGCCTGTCTTGTTCTTCCTCTGGTGTCATTTTAAGTCTTGTTCTGCTCAAAAAGCCATACATTTCATTAAAATGAACTACTTAGAACAGTTAGATAAAAGCTATAGTCTTTATAAACATGAACAAAAAAACATATTTTTCTTTTATAAAATGAGAGTTTAAAGCTTAATCTTCTTGAAAAAATACTTCTAATTCTCCAAAACTTCAACAAACCACATGGAAAGACACTAGATGTCACCAGAGTCAAGCCATACATTCATCTCATAGATTCACTCACAATTTCATCCACCCAACATCAGTGAACAAAACCATCAGAAACAAAAAAAATTAAAAATCCAAAAGAAACAGATAAATACTGTATATTTTCCTTCACTTTATAATAGTACCTTTGTAACAACACACTAAGCCTGTTATTTAGTACTAATAATTTCCAATATGACTTTCTCTTTACCCCTTCATCAGTGTACACTCCAGTCTTTATATCTGAAATGTTTTCCTCTACTATTCTGACAAATTTCTATTCATCTTTTGTTTTGTTTTGTTTTGAGACAGTCTTCCTCTGTCACCCAGGCTGGAGTGCAGTGGCGTGATCTTGGCTCACTGCAAGCTCCGCCTCCCGGGTTCATGCCATTCTCCTGCCTCAGCCTCCTGAGGAGCTGGGACTACAGGCGCCCGCCACCACGTCCAGCTAATTTTTTCTATTTTTTAGTAGAGACGGGGTTTCACCGTGTTAGCCGGGATGGTCTCGATCTCCTGACCTCGTGATCCACCTGCCTTAGCCTCCCAAAGTGCTGGGATTACAGGTGTGAGCCACCGCGCCCAGCTTCTATTCTTCTTCTAAGTCAAACACATCTATGTGATATCTTCCTTGATTCTATCTTTCCCCAGATAAAAGTTTTATGTAATGTAAATTTCATAAGACATGCAGTTAAGGTGTCAAAAGTGAGATTATATTTCAACTGACTATGACTAAATTACAAAAGTGCACATACTCCAATTGTTATCCATTTTTCTCTGTCCGGAATATCCTCCTTTTAGACTTTCACGGGGCTTGCTTTTCCTCAGCCTCTAACAGGAAGCTTAAATGGCACACAGAAAGATCTCTGACTACACAATTCAACTCCCGCTCCCATCCCAATCCTAACTACAGACTTCCTCAATTTTCTGTAATTGAACATTTTCTGTTTTCTTTATAGGAAGCACTTGTAGTGACTTATGCGTTTGTTGTTTCCTTGTTTTTGTGTTCCTACTACTCTAGGATAAGCCCTCATCCTGTGTATTCACTGTCTTACTGCCTAGCACACAGTCCGTACACAATGACAGAAATTTATTTGAGGTCAAAACATTTAAAATCTTATTAGGAGGTCCTGGGTGCCAAATCACCCTATTCCCGTAGGATATCACCAGTAATAGACCGCTAAAACTTACCCTACTCCAATCTGGAAATCCACATACCTATGCTATACTTTCTCATTGTTCTCTTGTCAGTACTAACTACTTGACAGTACTCACTAAAGGTTAAAAAAAAAAAAGACTCACAGTATGTATTAAGGCACTGAATCCCACTGTGATTCATTTTGTCCCATATTTGCACACACATATTCCAGTTTACAAAATGTTTTCACATTTCTTGCCACATTTGTTCATTACATATACCTAAGAGCTAGATATCAGTACCATCTTTACGAAAAAGGGCACTGACATTCAAATAAGTTAAATAATTTTTCCCAAGGTTCCATAGCTAGTAAGTGACAGGACCAGGACACCAATCTATCTTTTGACTTCCACTCAGTGCTGGTACCACTATGCACCAGCTGCTTCTACCTAAGAGGTCAGGCCGTTCCCATCTCTTTCCACAGCTGTGGCCTTGGAATACACCATTATTATTTTCTACTTATGTTACCACAAGCATGACTGCCACAAAGAAACTCAAAGCATTCTACTGTTAAAAAGAATTAAAACACTATTAAACCAAATTGTTGTTTTTATACTTCCACACGTAGACTATTTCCCATGCTTTTCCTTCTCATAAAATGTTCCTTGCAGATCTACACTGATGATCCAAACATATCAATACTTTCAAGTCCTAGGCACTATCTTTTCAAGTTCCAAGTTCTAAAAAAAACCTTACAGCTTAAACTCTTTATCTCTGCATCTCATTAGGATATTTACACATCCAGATATGCCATAGAATTGTACATTTGCTCCTAGGTTGACCTGGAATAATTCTTTAGTTTTTAGACAAACTTATTTTCAGAACCCGAAGTGATTCCCTGTATTTTTTTTTTTTCATTATACTATGCTGGCTTCTTAAATGAATTCTACAAATTAGCAGAATTGTACTATGCAGCAGTAATCTACTCAGCACATAATTATTGTATTCATTATACCCTGAAATGTGAGAAAATAATTCCTTTACGGGAGTACACACAGGTGAGAAAGTAAAGCCCAAGCATCCCACTGTATGATTTAATATCCCTCGATACTTATAATGACAGTAGACAGTACCTTAGAACTGCAGGATGATCCTATATTTTCCTCTTCTCCTGATCCTGCTGATGACTTATCTATAAAATGTTATTCACAGATACGTTCAGGAGACTATGAGTTACTGTAAATTTCAAATATACAAAGTCTATCTCCATTCATGAATATTTAAATAAAATAAAAATAACAGAAAAAATAACTTCAGGTTTGATATAGTTTCAGAAAAAAGGAGTTTGTAATATGAGAAAAATAGCAAAAAAAATATTATATTTGGGTCTACAACTTTCCTTTTTGTTTTGCATTTATTTTTTTTTTTGAGACGGGGTCTTGCTCTGTCACCTAGAATGGAGTACAGTGATGGGATCACAGGTCACTGCAGCCTCAACTTCTTCAGTTCAAGTGGTCCTCTCTCCTCAGCCTCCCAAGTAGTTGGGACTACCGGACTGTGCTGCAGTTTTTTTAAAAACAGAGACCGGGTTTTGCCATGTTACCCAGGCAAGTCTCAAACTCCTGGGCTCAAGTGATCTGCCTACCTCGACCTCCCAAAGTGTTGGGATTAAGGCATGAGCTGCCACACTTGGATTTTTTTGTTTAATAATAGCATTTAAGCCAATACTTTTTTAGAGATATTCACTAACTTACCACCTCTAATTTTTGTACACAAAAAACAAAATTATTATTATTTGTTTGCTTTCATCGAGCACTTTAAATAACACCATTTTTGTTTTTGCTAGTTGATGGTTTTGTTGCTTCCTCCTATTAAAAAAAAAACACAACTTTAGAAAACATTGTATTTCTTTATTCACTGCACCTATAAAATCATGCCATATCTTGAGAGAAGCCAAAAATATAAACAAAAGACAGATTCCACCCTATATTCAAGTAGGGATATGTGATAAGAAACAAGGACAGAAACATGTAACACTAGGTCTACAATTAAAATGAATAAAATACGGTGAGGGTGTAAAGAGAGAATAGTCATAGACTGCTAATTCCAGTCTTATCTGCTTCCATTAAGGTTCACCAGCTCATTCCATTCTCATCCTCTTCCATTGGGATCACTAGACCCACTCTCTCTTTTCTATTATTAAAACACTCACCGACAGGATGATACACAAGAAGACTAGGCTTTGAATTAAGGAAATTGAGTTTGAATCTCATTTATGCTACAAAGTATACCCAAAGAAATCACTTACTCTCTTTGAGTTTCAGGTTCTTCACCTGAACAACCACTTGACCCAGACGTTCAACACAGATAGAAATACTAAAGAATATTTTGTTTAGTCTCTAAGATCCCTTAAAATCCTGAAATTCTATGTGCTTTTGATTCTATTGAAAAATGAAGCATATTTAGCTGGCATGAGCATAATAATAGAAGAAAAAATCACCAAGAAAAGCAGAGAAGAAACAAACAAACAAAAAATCAAGAGAATACAGAAAACTTATGGGGAAAAAAAAGGACTCTGGAGAAAAAGGAAAAGCTTTATGGAACTAGGCAAGGTACTTGCCTAAAGGGAAAACCACATAGAGAAGTCAGAAAGTAGAGAAATCAATTAACATTTCCTTTGAATGTGAGCAAAATATAATTAACATAACATAGTCTATATGCAGACCACCTGCAGCAAACTATTCCTCTCCAGGACTTGCCTGATGTTGCTTATGGAAAACCTAGGGCCCTGTAGCCCAGCTGAGTGAGATCTGCCCTAAAAACGTTGATGGTAAAAATAAGGTGCTGGTTACCACTGCAATTGTCAAGTACATTAGGACAAATTTCTGAACTATCCA